AGAAAGGGAATCTGGAATTAAGGTAGCAAATAAAGTAAAATACCTAGGAATCTGGCTTACATCAAAAACTATAAATTTAATTGAAGATAATTACTCACCAACCTGGAATAAAGTTAAAAAAGATTTGGATGTATGGAGCAAAGTTAAACTCTCATGGTTGGGTAGGATGGAAGCGATAAAAATGAATGTGCTACCGAGGATGCTGTTTTTATTTCAAAACATCCCGGTCATAAGGGGGTCCAAAATCTTCAAGGAATGGCAAAAAATACTTTCGAGATTCATATGGCAGGGCAGAAGGCCTAGGATTAGATTTAAATTGCTTACGGATAAGAAGGAGAGAGGAGGACTTGCTGTTCCCAACTTAAAACTCTACTACGAAGCAGCCTGTCTATGTTGGGTTAAAGACTGGATAACCCTGGAGAATACCGACCTATTAGATCTAGAAGGAGTAGATAACAGGTTTGGCTGGCACGCCTACCTTTGGTTAAACAAAGGGAAGGTGCACAAAGGATTTACAAACCATATCATCAGAGGCTCTCTTTACGAAGTCTGGGAAAAATACAAAAAAATGTTAGAGCAGAAAACACCCTGGTGGTTATCCCCTACAAATATCTTATCAATTAGGAGGATAAATGAGGAAGAACAAAAACTGACATATGAAGACTTACTAATTAGATCGCAAGATAGCTGGAAATTAAAATCATACGAGGAGTTAAAGGACAAGTTGAAAGGCTGGCTACAGTACCACCAAATTAATGCTTTATGGACGGAAGATAAAAAATCAGGGATGAATGAAAAAAAATCCAGGTTCCAAATTGAAATAATAGAAAATAAAACCAAGATAGTGTCTAAAATGTATAACATCTTATTAGATTGGGACATGAAGAAGGAAGAGACTAAAGAAGTCATGATTAAATGGAGGATAGACTTAGGACATAACATCGAATATGAAAAATGGGCAAAACTCTGGAGGGAGGGAATAAAGTTCACGGCAAGTGCTGCAATAAGAGAAAACCTAGAAAAAATGATATACAGATGGTATTTAACACCGGAAAAATTAAATAGGATGTATAAGACCGGCAATAAGGAATGTTGGAAATGTAAAATAAAAGAAGGCAACTTTATCCACATGTGGTGGACATGTGAGGAAGTAAAAAAGTTCTGGAATCAGATACACAACGAATTAAAAAAAATATTCAGATACAATTTTCCTAAAAAACCCGAGGCCTTCTTGTTAGGGATGGTGGGGAATGAGATACAGGACATAGATAAAACCTTATTCCAATATTCAACAGCAGCAGCAAGAACTCTAATTGCCCAAAATTGGAAAAATACAAACTTACCAACAGTAAAGGACTGGCAAACGAAACTATATGGCTTCATAGAATTGGCAAAAATGACGCAAAGAATTAGAAATCAAAAGAAAGCAAAGTTAAATGAGGAATGGATCAAATTTTCAGCATACATAGAAAGCAATTTTAGAAATTTACCAACTATAGCAGGTTTACTATAAAACTTTCGATGCGTAAACAAACAAAAAAATTAACACCAGCTGTAAAACGTAATGTGTAAAAAATGTATACCCGAAATCAGTAAGGGAGGAAGTAGAGGATGACTAAGTGTCGTACGTAAATTCTTAAATGTTTGTTATTCTTTTTGTCTTTTTTGCACCTGTTAATTTGGGTTTCGGTTTCTGCTGTATTTTAGGTATCTTTTGCTTTTTATCCTTGGTTGTTTGTCTTTTTCTTTTTGATGTTCTTTTTTGTAAAGTTTTGTTGGTGTAATGATAAAGGAATGTTAATAAAAAGAATTAAAAAAAAAAAAACACACAAGGCCAGCCTAGGACATTTTGGGGCTGGAGGCAAAGGAAAAGATGGCCTCCCATACACTGTTCCAACTGGGCATGGAGCGGGGGGAGGGGGGCTTCCAAATTTGATGGGCATTGCTATTAAAATGGTGTACATGTGCCGCGTCTTGTGATCAGTTATGTAGGGCAGGGCTTACTCACCCCCACCCCAATATTTTATTCAAGTTGGCACTTCTGCAGGAAGGTACTTGAATGGTCCTTCGTAACAGGTTGTGGGGCTGAACCTGAGGGCAGCAGACTGGCTGTGTGGCCTAAATAGCTCTGTCCTCCAACAGAGGAGAATACCCCAGGAGCAGCTTTCAGGAGGAGTAGCCAAGGCTAACAACTCTGATCACCACACTCCTTGATATTTGATGTCTGAGACAGCTAGCTCAACCTGCCTAATGGTTTTCACCTGCCAATGGAAGGAAGTCAACCATGTCTTGGGAGGCAGCAGCTTCACCCTGCCTAATGGCGCATAGGCACATAGGAAACTGTTTTGCTGGTCTATTTGCCATTAAATTGGTCTATTTGCCATTTAGCTGCCTCGCCAGCTTGCTGCTTCTCGGATCCTTATAACTTAGAGGTGCTCTGGCCTGAGCTGTGGTCCTTTTTCACAGGGCCATTTCATTACTAAGTGAAATGATTCTAGCCTGAATGCCTGTTTCTAAAAGTGGTTTGGGATAGGAGGCAAGACTGTATGTGAAAAAAGAATCACATATATGCTATTAAATCCATGAAACTCCATTCATCATAGGTGATGAATTCGGACTTTGTGAATTTTGAATAGGCAGTTGCGACTCCATTGAGTTACTGCAGAGATTGGTTATGAAGAGTGTTTATGAATTGCTTTTACAGTTCTTTCTCACACAAAAAGTAGTTTTATGACAGCTTATGGCAAGAATTGATGCTGGATTCATGCAGCATGATTAGACCTTAAAATATTTTCACTGGGATTTGTTCACTAACAGTATATAATGAACCTTAATGTAATGAATTAGAAGGCTGTGTGGAGAAATTCTGCAGAAGTCTTATTCTCTCTCCCCTCCAATCTCCCCCGGCTTTTAAACTTGCAGTTTCTATTTTAAAGCAGCAAATCTCAGGTCGGCATTTTACAACCAAGGCCCCAGCCCCCAGATGCTCTCACACCATAAAAAGCTGTGCAAGTGTTGCTGGGCAGGAGAATCTCTCGTGCTGAATAAATGGATGTCAAGTCAACTTTGACAGAGGAGTGGGGAAGGAGCCTAGGACCCTCGTACCTACGGGACCGCCTCTCCTGGTATGCCCCACAGAGAAACCTACGGTCTGCAAATAACAACACCCTCAAGGTCCCAGGCCTCAGAGAGGTTAGGCTGGCCTCAACTAGAGCCAGGGCCTTCTCGGCTGCGGCTCCAATCTGGTGGAATGCTCTGTCACAAGAGACTAGGGCCCTGCGGGACCTGACATCTTTCCGCAGGGCCTGCAAGACAGAGTTGTTCCACCAGGCCTTTGGTCAGGGCGCAGCCTGACTCCCTCCTCTGGCAACCTGCACAGAATTTTGCCTAATCGGTTGCCAACAATTTGATTTTAATTAATTTTATAATGAAATGTTTTTAGAATGTTTTTAGAATTTGACTGTTTGACTATTTGACTGTTGTTAGCCGCCCTGAGCCCGGCTTCGGCTGGGGAGGGCAGGATATAAATAAAATTTATTATTATTATTATTATTATTACAGTGGTTCTGCCCCTCAAGCACGTGATTAGACCTCTCAAAGCTAGATTTGATAACACACAATTTTGCTTCTATGGCCACAATCCGGGGATCCATTCGTGGAAATCTCAGTCTCACTACGAATACAAAAGAAAGTTCTTCACACAGTGCATAGCTAAAATTGGATAGCTTTAAAAGATTAGAGAAATTCAGGGAAAATAAGGCTGCTCTGGTCCATGGGGTCACGAAGAGTCAGACATGACTAAACAACAAGAAGGCTATCAAAAACTACTAGCCATGTGCGCTACATTCCATCACCAGGGTTGGAGCTGCTGGAAATCACAAGTCAGTAAGATTAGCTCACTGATGGCATTTTCCTCTTATTCTCGCTATTATCTACTGGGTAAGAGCCCATTAATTTAACGTGCAGTTTTGGAAAGAGCAGTAAGGCAACCTTGATCACTCAGCTTCTAGTTCTTCACTTCCACACTACTAATGCTCAAGTGCAATGAAGACAGTTATCTGGAGTGCTGTTGTTTTTAAAGTACAGTGGTGCCTCGCAAGACGAAAAGAATCCGTTCCGCGAGTCTCTTCGTCTTGCGGTTTTTTTCGTCTTGCGAAGCCCATTAGCGGCTTAGCGGATTAGCACTATTAGCAGCTTAGCGGGTTTAGCAGATCAGCTGATAAGCGGCTTAGCGGATCAGCTGATAAGCGGCTTAGCGGATCAGCTGTTAAGCGGCTTAGCGATCAGCTGTTAAGCGGCTTAGCGATCAGCTGTTAAGCGGCTTAGCGGATCAGCTGTTAAGCGGCTTAGCGGATCAGCTGTTAAGCGGCTTAGCGGATCAGCGGCTTAGCGGCTTGGGAAAAAGGGGGGGGAGGGAAAAAACCCTGCAGGAACTCGCAAGACATTTTCGTCTTGCGAAGCAAGTCCATAGGAAATTCGTTTTGCGAAGCACCTCCAAAACGGAAAACCCTTTCGTCTAGCGGGTTTTCCGTCTTGCGAGGCATTCGTCTTGCGGGGCACCACTGTATATGACTCCATAAGATCTGAGTATCAAGTTACGATTCCAAATACATTTTGTGAATATTTGAAAATAGATATCCCCCCTCCCAAACTGGTTTCAAACCAAGAAATGCAGTCACTTATATGATATCCTAGTCACTGTTGTGAGTTTTCATACATTTACAACTCCCCCCCCCCAAATTGTAGTGAAAGGACCAACCTCACCCCATTCAGCTATGCTTAGGAAATAACTGGATGGCCTCAGTACAGTCATTAGCTGTCAGTCTAACCAATCTCTCAAGTGTGTTGTGCAGATAAAATGGAGGAGGCAGAGAATTATGTAGACTGCCCCAGGCTATTTGAAGGGCAAGGTAAAACGTGATCAATATTCATGTTAATACTAAGACTTCTACATTTACATGCATTACATAAGGCTTTAAGGAAAACAGTAAACACAAAAATGAACAGACCATAACTTTATTGGAGATATATTCAGCTACAATTATTACAAAAAAATCTATTAAAGGTAATTGTGATCCATAAGGTGCAGACTGCAAATTTCTGCAGCATGATTACAGTATGAATGAATTACATTTTATGTCCCTTAGACAGCTGCAGCATGTGATGGGAAATATTTTATTGTCCATCAAATTATGTTATTCATTCTACTTGATTTTAACCATCTTTACAGTCAAACTATTTACAATAAAAAAGCCTGCAATTTTCAATGCTTGTTCAACTTCTGTTTCTCTAGATAACTTGCTGCTGTAGTAAAACTGAGTGCATCAATCATATCAATTTAAACAGTCTGTGGTTATCCAAATTAAACATATGCAAGTGGGGAAGCTATAAAAGGACTTAGGAAATAAAACTGAGAGATTAATGTTGAGTTACTCTTGCATGAAGTTGCAATTAACAGTTTTGGGCTGGATCAAAACTAAGATAGTTGAACTTAAGTTCCACTGAAAGCAATGGATCAAGCTAGTCGTAAGTCCCACTGATATCTATAGGAACTAAGTTCAACTCGCTTAGTCTAGATCCAACCCTTTGTATTCTACCTGACTTTATGGATATCTGTTATCAAACTTCTGCTGGTGAAAATGTAGGTTTCAGTTACATTTCATGGTTGTAAAGTCTTAAGGATTTAAAGACACAGTCTTATAAATATTAACACATCTTCGCTTCACTGAAAGTGAAAATATTTGCCATTAATAGTGTAACGTTGCCCTAGGTTCAGTCTCTTTAATTACTCACACACAACTAATTCCATTACATTCAATGAGGAAGGTAGAACAGCGCATAGCTCAAATATTGTCAAATAACTTTTTTTTTCCTGTTAGAATGCCAGTTTATGCCACTTGCAGATGTGGCCTTACCCCTTACAGGACTTCTCACAGTTCAATCTGGTTAAAAATTCTGCCCTCTGCACTTGACCAGATGATACCTACAGATAGATCCCTTTGTATTCAAAACGAAGGAGAAATCTTATTGACTGTTATGTATGCATGTTCAGTGAATTTACAGCAAGGCAGGGCAAGGGAAGGGGGCTGGAAAGAGTCCATTTTAAATGTTAACCGTTTCACAAGACAGTAAAAGGATGGCAAAAAAAGACACTGCTGGGACCCCGAGAGTCCCTGGGCAGTGTTCTGCTTGTGCAGTGTGGATCTTACGCCTCCTTTTTGCAGCCCTTTGCATCCACTGAAAAGATAGGGGAGGGACAGGGACTGGTGGCCAGCCAAATGTTCCTGAACTACAATTCCAATCAGCCCCAGCCTGCATGACCAATGGTCAAAGATAATGGGAATTGTAACCCAGCAACATCCAAAGGTCATAGATTCCCCATGTCTGGGTTAGTGGATCTCCAGAAGGAAATAGGATGAGGTGTGGGTAGCTGCATCTGGGAGAGAAGACTCATTGGAAATTGGAGAATACCCCTCCCTTCCCACTTGCAGAAGCACCTTCCAGTCATGCAAGGGGCTCTCTGGATCCTAGACCAAAGTCTTTCTTCCTTAAAATATAGAAAAAGTTACAGACAAAAAACCAACAAACAGCCTATTTCAGTTGTGCAATTTAAGTGACACATTGCAGGTATTCTAATCATCTTTTTTCAAATTCAGTAAATCAAAGCAGCAGCAAGGCCCAAACCACATTAATTCCTCTAATTAAGTATCTTTCTCCTTGAAATGAGGTAAAGCACGGTACCAAGTGCAATGCTTATTTGTGCTACATGAACAGAACAGCACAAAACAAAGCCATAACAAAAATAAAAATGCAGCATAGTTAGGAGGACTGTTTTAAGTATACAGTGTAACAGAACACACAAACACACACACAAATCCAAAATTAGGTTCATGCCAATTAACCCCTCTGCTGTCTACATGAGGAGTCTGTGTGATACATTGTGAAGACAGGCTTGCAACAGTCCATTTCCTCTCATGCTTGTAGCATGTCAAGGGATTTCGATCCCAACCTTCAAAGGGTGAGATTTAGGTCTAAATAGCATACATTTTCCAATACTCCAACTGTACTAAAAAGGGGACGTGGGTAATGCAGTTGCACAGCATGGAAACTAGTGTGTTTTTGCATTCTAACAGCATTATGTAATATTTGAATTAAATCATACAGCAAAAAGGTTGTTGCATTAAACACGCACACACACAAACAGCAGCAGGACCTACATTTACCATTGGCCCCTACTCAATATTTTCAGTTTCAGTTCATTAGCTTTCTTCAACAGGGAGGCATTGAATACTTCTGATTAGAGAGTGTAATTATTCCTATTGCCATCAGGCTACACTCTTAACCTTTGAAATTATCCAAGTATGAAACATTTATGTGAAGCATTTACTATCTTTCAGTCTCATGAGATTGGTTTTGATTTTACATATGGCATTTCACAAAAAGAAAAGAAAAACCAAAGCTTATATATTTGATTGGGATAATACATGCCCTTTTTTTGAATTACAGAAACTTGCGAGCTTTTAAATGCTGATCTGGGCATCAGCAAAGAAAACGATCAACATTAGTAGCTATTATTTACTAGAGCTGCAAAATCCTTGCTGTGGGCTGCAATTGTAGATTTAACAGTGTTTATTCATAAACTACCTATGCATGAATAGAATTTAGATGGTAATCCTCAATCCACTTACCACTGAAAAGTCTTGTTAAACTCTGTAAGAATACTTTTACAGCACCTCAGATTAGTGGTTTGAGGACTACAGCTTTACCTAAACGTTGTAACAAATGTCACAATACAAAGCTAAATTTCGGGAATACTCTGCATGTAATGGGTATTTTCACAGCAGCTGCTCATACTGAAGCTGAAAAGGGCCCACTGGAATCAGCTGGAATCACCTGAAGGGTGTTTCTCTGTGCCATCCTGGACCCAGGTTGGTTAGTGCTGCCTAGAAGTCAAAGGCAGGAATATCAATAGGTTCACAGGAAGTTTTAACCTCTGCGTTCCTGTGAGCAGTCTCCAGGTAGTTTTGCCAAGCTAAGAAGAAGAAACAGACAGAAGACCACGCATACCACATGCAGACAGGTTGAACTCAGTTAAACATCTCTGTGTGTGCATATAATCACTCCCCAAAAGTTTGATCTGTAGGCAGCCATTCATGGAAAAAGTAAGATGCGGCCCTGGGTGCCAGGAGGAGAAACACCCTTCTGTGAGCTTAACAGACCCCTCTCCTGTACTGGCATACTGGACCCAGATGGGATGTTTGAAAGCTGACCAATATCAATAGGGTTATTGGTGGCTGCCTAGGGTGGAGGAAGCACACTTTGTAAGACTCATCTTCCAAAGGCCACTTCAGCTGAAGCAAACAGGTCTACCTTGTAACGACAAATGACCCTGTAGCTCCCTGGCATACCTCCTAAAGAGGTGTGTTGGTTGAAAAATGCTGCTGGAGCGAGCAGTAAATTTGTTGTGGTGGGCAACTTTAGGAAGTCACAAGCCAGGGAAATGCCAGCCTTAATCTGCTTTGCCCGGGTTGAGTGCAGAAAAGAAAACAAGGAATCTTTTTATGTTTGAGTCCTAGAGATGTAGCGCTTTAAGGCATCTTAGGGAGTGCCACACTTTCTCAGTGGGGTGGAGTGGGGAGCTGCAGAAAGTAGGCAGAATGACCTCTTGGTATCAGTGGAAGGTCAAGTTGGCTTTTAGGATGAAGAAGGGATCCACGTGTATGGGAAGGTGCACAAATGTTTGGCCAATGAAGCCACTAGTCTTGTCAGTACAGAGACTTGAGTGTCTTGCAAGGCTCCAGAAAATACTCGGATGCCCAACATTTGGACACAGTGGACCTGCTTCCCATAACTTTGCCCAACACTGCTTTTGATTCATTCATACGGAGACTTGAGTGCAAATCAGGATAGTCATGACATACAAAGGCAGGCCGCAGTGGCACAAGCAGAGCAGGCCCAGGCCCTGGCTGTTGTGCAACAGGTGCTGCAGTAGGCTGCTGCTGAATAGGTTAAGTTGGGGGGAAAGAAGTTTGTAATTTCTGCTAACAAAAATTGCATGTCGTTAGTTAATTGTAGCTGCATGAATAGGGAAAATTATTTGACTCAACAGCTAGGGAGTTTAATAAGAGAGGGAAAACCTGGGAAAATCAACAGTGGGAGGGGTAGAATCCATTGCAGAATATATTTTTTTTCGAAATAAAAATGATTTTAACAACAACCAAACCTCTCACACACAGAGACAACACAAATTGTAAGAGAAAAATAAATCTATCTGAGGTAGCCATGGTGAGCTAAAAAGCAGGAGGATACTGAACTCTGACTAGGACTTGGGTAGATGGGGAAATCCCCCATGGAACACAAAAAGCAATCAGTGAAAAATACAAACAGATCAAAGCATGCAAGAAGAAAGGAAATTAGAAGGATCCTGGCCAAGTACACAGTACAAAAAGAGCAAGTAAAGAAATAAGCAGGCGAAAGTAGAAAATGCAAGCCTGAAGCAGAGGAGAAATCAGAAACCTTCCTAAAGCTGCTGCTCTCGAGGAACGTATTTGAAGACCGATTCCAGGAACAGTTAAAACATCCTGTGACTCTAATGACATTCCCGTCTTCGAGCTCTAGGCAGCACTAACCTACCTGGATCCAGTGTGCCAGCATGGAAGAACGGTCATTTTCCAAACTGAAAATGAGGCTTGCTTCCTCATCCAGGGGGGTGGGGGGTAGGGGTGGGGTGTCTGCAGCAAAAAACAAAGAAACTTTTGAGCCATGTGTGTAGTTCATCCCTGCACATGAGCTTGTCTTTTAATCCTTCCATGACATTTTACTTGCTCACTGTGACTGAAGTCACACAAAAATATTTCATTTCACTGTCATCGTTGGAAAGATTTGTTAAACTAAATTCTGTATTTCAGAAAAAGTTGAATGTCTTCTGCCACTAAGGTATGATCCTTCTCTTTTAGAAAGGTAAGCCAGATGTTTTCCCCTCTAAATTTTGAATGCACATGTGTGAGGAAGGGGGGTGTCTTTAACACAGAACACAGTATTATCTGTAATTTAACACATAAAACAGCATCAAGAGCAGACCACTGTGCTGGAAAACATTAAAAAAAACTTGCTCAGCTCTCTCAAACTTCAAGCATAATTAATGGGGTACAATTGCAGCAAACCTCTATTGATATTGGTGGGAGTGCAAGACGACCCACAGCTTTTTAAACAAGGTAAAATTAAGAGGTATTATAGTTACAGTGCAAAAATTAAAATTTCAAGCATAATACATACACATAGCACCAAAAACAAACAAAAATGCATGCAAAAGGGAAAAAAGACACAAAAAGAACAAAGAAGAACTGAGGTATTTAAGTGAAGGGTGCCTACAAATATCTAAAGAAACTTAGGCATAGCCTTAAAAGTATGCTTTCATATCAACTGAAACAACAATAATGAGCTAGTTATTCTAAGGTAAAGGACCTAAATCACAGATGTATCAAAAGTATGGCAATTTCTCTCACACAACAACTTCCATGGCATTTAACAGCACAGCTTTGGTAGGTGAAATATGCATGCAATTCTGAAAAGTACAGTAAGAAATTTACGTGGAAATCGCTCTTAAAGGTGTAAAGGTGCTCCGTTTGTTAAATATGTATCCAATATAAAATCTGCAGCATATTTTAGGTGCGATATGTCAAAAATTCTTTTTAAAGCAACAGTTTGCACTGTGCAGTTAGCTATTATTACAAAGTTCCAATACTGGAAGCAATGCCTGCAATCCACCAAGAAAATCTCTTGCACAAGTCCCTTGAAGGGAAAGGAGGTTCCACAAGAGTGATGGACTGTGCTCAGTCTCGGTTTCTGTAACAATGGAAATCAGCGAGAGACTTTTCTGTTTGCAATAACAAATAAGATCTGTACTAACCATTTCCTCTGAATTGTTAAAAAATAACCTCACTACATATATATGAATACGATTTCTATTACAGTCCTGTAATAAGTTAGGTCACAGCTAAACTAACATGTTGTACTGTAAATATGGAGCTTCATCATTGTAAAATGCGTTCTAAAAATGAAGGGAATGTAATACAGTTTGCTCCAAGGAGTTCAGAAATGAAAGGTTGCATTAGTGAGGGCTTATGTACTTTTAAGGCAAGAACCTTTTGATGCAAGACTATGCGGCATCAGTTTTAAAATCTATCTGATGCCAGACATTTCAATTTAAACCTGTCCCTAACAAACAAGTGCAATAATGATTGGGAATGCCATCTTAATGCAAAGATGGCATGGAAAGAACAAGGACAATACTGGCACACTTAATCCTTACACCAAATCATCCGGTGCAGTTTATAAACTGCTTCGTGACTGGCACTAGTGCACAGATTTGAGGAATTTCAAGATTACTATATATATATACATATATATATAAATCTAGTAACTGCAATAGGCATAAGCTCCCTGGCCTTTACACACTAAGCAAAGCTGTACTGACAAAGTAAACCAAAGATACCTGACAACAATTATTTTGAACACTTGCTAAATGTCATCATTAAAGCACTCTTGTGATTAAACAAAGCAGAAGTGAGGAAAGAAGACAAGATTGTGTTTGCGCAAAAAAACCCTATAACTACATTTCGTTCCAAAATTATGTGTACATGTTAAATGTTGTTAGCTATTTGTTATCAAACTTTAAATGCTGTCTTCAGTTTGTTCCTCTCAACATATATCTTTTAAATTTCTCTATTGAGTGTGTGGTTGTTGTTGTTGTTTTTAAGAGGTGTCTCAGCTATTTGGAACCTGAGGTTGATTTGCTTTGAGGCTTCGTAGAGCTCTTCTTGCTGCAGCAGATTTAGCGATCCGATAGCTTCTTCCAACACCTTTGAACTTTCCCTTTCCTACAACTTCCACAGTTACTCTGACCTTTCCATCGTAGGTTCTTTCCGCAGGACTGCGTGAGTGGAGGGGGAAGCAGGAAAAACAGAAATAAACACATATGCCAATTAAAACAAAGATACTCAAAGTGGAATCAATTCCGGAAGAATAACCATGTTAATCTGAAACAGTGTACGGTCCCGTGAAACACAATTTATTGCAACATGAGCTTTTGTAGAAGCAACAGCCTGCTGCAGGGATGCATGAAGTATAAAGACATTGTGTACGTATACAGACATGCATCCAGTGGGAGGAAACAAAAACCCTTCACATACTTCAAATGGAAGCAAAAGTGTAGTTGGAAGTTCGTTACTGTTTTTCCTCAGTTTTGAGATTTCTTTCCCAGAAGAGTATGTCATTAAAATGATTACAAGGACACTGGGTGGCATCCAGCTAAACAGTTCTACTAGCAGACACACTTCTAACTGTGCAGCAGAACATTCCCCTCCTTCTCCCCTCCGGTCCCTAAATCTGCTCCAAAGTAATGAAGGAAACCCTAGAACATATTAAAGGGGTGTACACTGTTGGGGGGGGGGGAAGCTTGTGCCAGCAGAGCTGTTTAGCTAGACACCACATATTACTATTAACTCAATTTCTTACCTGCCCTTCAATATAAGGTCACAAACAATTTTAAAATGCAGCAATTTTAAAATACAGGTTTTTTAAAATAATACAAATATAATTCCTACTATACAGTAAAACACAATTATAATCCATTGCAAGGTGCATGACTTCAGGAATATTTTACAGAAATATTAAGCAGATTAATTCTTACCTAAATTTAGCTGTCTCTGGCTCCATTTCCAGCAGCTCTCGTACTGGGGAACGGGGCACATTTGCAGAGAATTTCTCTGTGATTAAAAACAACAACACCATGTTTGTAAACCCTCTTAATGAGAAACAATGAATTACTGAACATTTCTTCTGAGAGCTCCAATGTTACCTATTAATGGCCTCATCATTGGATAGTACACTTGCCAAACCATTTCAAGAGACATTCCACTATCCATGTAAATGGCACCAGCGAGTGACTCAAATATATCCCCCATGGCCTTTGGTACTTCTATGTCCTCCTCTTTTTCTTCATCTTCTTCAGATCTTCGGAGCTAAAGCAAATACCAAAACAAAACTGTGTTACAAAATTGTTGCAAATTTTCAATTATAAAGGATTTATTCACTCAGAACTGCAAATTTCCAACTTCTAGACGAGCAAGAATGGATTAAACAAAAGTCTGACATTAAACTGGTATTAAGCTAGCTTCGATATCTAGTCCTCCTCCTGTGTGCTATTCAAGTTCCTTGAGATCAGCCTTCTTTTTCTTAAAAGTTTTCTGTTCTTACAGCTGTGAAGAAATGTTTGAGCGATGCCTGTTGAAGTCTGAGAAGCAAGAGGGTGACTAAGATATCAGTGACTGGGAACAGGCTTCAGTGTCCCCCACTCCCAACTAAATAAACCTCCAAGAATTATATGCAAAATTGTAGCATTAGGCAAAAGAGAAATGGTGTAAATATGCTCCATTTAAGTAATTTATACTGGTCTCAGAACACTGTTTTTATTGGCACAGAATTTGAACTTGAATTACTTGGCTACAAAGTTTAATTTAAAAAATAAATACAAATGCAACACACAGCCCTGGTCATAGGGTCAGTAGTTCACAATAATTCTGAAGTAGTGTGACAAAAGTCCTTGCTTGTATGCGGCACAGACAAGGATGAAATTTAGAATGCAGCCAGAATCCAATAACTAGTTGCCATTCACAATGCCCTATTCACTAGAAAGCCTCTACTTGATCTTGCCATGTTGTGCTAGATGTTTAAATTCTTCAATATAAACTCACACTAAAATGAGCTTCAACACACACAAATGATTTTCCGGCGCCACTAACCTCGGAATCCATTCCTTGCATTTCGTTTTTTTCCATCTGAAACTGCACAAAGTCATCAATAACATGAAACAGCTCGGGAGAGACAGCTTTGAAGTATTTGTGGTAATCGTACTTTACAGCCAATGAGGCAAAGATGGTGTTGTTAACAAGAGCAGATCGCAGGTCTGTTAGAACTCCAGGAGAGTGCTGCCGTGGGTCTTCGTAAAGGTGCTTGGTTATGAGGTAGTCCAAAATTGCATCTCCCAGGAATTCCAACCGCTGGTAACAATCTTAACACACAAGGGTTGAGGGATTGGCAAGAAATAGATAGCAATATAATTAACAATCCTCCCAAATAATCTGTATCTCTTCAGGCATGTAAGCTTAATGCAAAAAGGGGATTTTTCACATGACTTACCAGTAATGGTGTTGTAATGATAGGAGGCATGAGTAAATGCCTGAAGTAGATAAGCCTTATTCTTAAAACTGTAGCTAATTTTCTTCTCAAAGTTTTCAAAGCCAGATATAAGGTGATGTAAGGTTCGCTCAGCATCTGGATGATCAAACATACATCTTGGAGGAATCTTTAAACAGCCATACATCAAGTCTTTATACAGAGAAGACTCTTGATTGGCTAGAGAGGCAGAAACACAGATTGCTGAAGAATGTTTCTGCTGGTGGTTAAAATGCTCTCTGTAGGAATACAGAGCACTCTCCCAATCAGTTTTCTTAATAACCGGAAGCACTTTTAGCCCCAGTGAACAGAGGAAAAGCTGGGCAGCTCTTTCACCGCAGCTGGTCAGATAGCAGCCCAGAAGGGCTTCCACACAGTCTGCAATGCTTTTGTCAGCAATGCATTGTTCTGTATGTAAGTCATAGGAGATGGACTGTTTTCCAGCATCAATACCACAATTTTCCTCTGATGGATTCCAGAAACCCACTACAAAGTCATCCTCTTCAACAGCCTTGCTAGGGTCTAGATAGCACATTGCATCCCAGGAGCTGTAATCAAAATCATCAAAATCTGATGCAAACTGGACATTAGTCAAGGTTGATTTTTTGGGTGCTTTCCACTCATAACTGTTATCAGTGGGTGAAAATGGGGAAAGGGATATTTTCTTCACAAATGCTCCAGAACCCATTAACATATTGTCAATGAATTTGATATGCTCCTGATCGTATTCCATAAAGTCATCCTCAAAGTCAGCTTCCTCCTTGGGTACTCGCCACATTAAGTCGTCGTCATCGTCATCATCATAATCATCATCAAGTTTTCCATTAGACATCAATCCCTCTTTTGTCTGAAAGTAGGAAAAAAATAAAACAGGAAGGGCCACTTAGTTTAATTACAAAAATAATTCTACAGCATCACAATAAAATGGTTATGGACAGTATTAACTATGCATTTCTCTTTCTTTCTTTCTTTCTTTCTTTCTTTCTTTCTTTCTTTCTTTCTTTCTTTCTTTCTTTCTCTCCTACATTAGATCTAAATACATTATTATTTATGCTGTCCAAGAACTATGGATGCCTGAACCACCTAGAAACAATGCTAGGCATTGGGAGACACTGTTCTACAGTGGTTTCAGTCCTTTTTGGAAAGTTCGTCTCAGAATGTGGCAGAGCAAAACTACAGAGAAAACAGAAATCTCTATTATCTTGGACTACTGCAATTATATTGTGCTTAACCAGAAAAATGTCAATTTCTCACTTTAGTAAATAGAGCTTTTTGCAAATCAGTGAGAAGCCGATTTGCTCAGCATGAATGAAACCAGTTTAGACTATTGTTAAATTATATCTATAAACAGATGCAAGAGCTGTAGACCAAATATTTTAAGCAGGGGTTGACATTGATGTAAACAATTACTCGGATAGTACTGAAACACCATGCTAGGAATTTGATAGCTTGGTAAATGCCATAGGCTTAAAGAAAGTTTTAGCTTTCAGATACGTATTATATTTGGGGCGGGGGGGATCACAACAAATTATGATTTTTTTTAGTTTTAATACATAACATTTTGGATATTCTGCCAACACATTGTTTTTCAATTATGATTTAGGACAAGAATGATACTGTATTCAAATCTGCAAAGTAAACGAAGCTAAGGCTGAAATACATCCAAGCAGAAACAAGTCACATTGATACAATCAAGCCATTTCCTTTCCATTGCTCTCTTGTTTTTACAATAGAGAAAGAGACAATGAGGGACATCCAATTGTGCCTGTTCATCAGTAATATGAATGGACAATTGAACATTGGGTTTTCTCACCCCTGCAGTCCCTTGTGTGCCTCCCAAATCTGCTTTGAATGGTTAGGTGACCTGAGCAATAGGCCTGGGCAACATATGAATAAAAGGTAAAGGTAAAGGACCCCTGGACAGTTAAGTCCAGACAAAGGCGAATATGGGGTTGCAGCGCTCATCTCACTTTCAGGGCGAGGGAGCCGGTGTTTGTCATGTGGCTAGCATGACTAAACTGCTACTGGCGCAAAGGAATATTGGACTTTTTTGTCAACACAGTGTGCGCAGCGACTGGAGCATAGAAATAAAAGGCTGTCCGCAATAGCTTTGCTTATTTTTATTTTCGAAAATGTAACAGTCAAAAGCTGCAAGCCATCACCAGTCCTCACCAGCAGCTTACAAAACATTTGATCAACTTAAATACAGTTTCAAATAATCAATTAACCTATCACATCCCTTCCTGCATCCGGTGCAGAAAGTAACTCCCCTTTCTAATTAGGCAAAAAGTCAAGAGACCACAGGTGTGCAGCTAAGTAGGTCAAACTGCAAACATACACCTGTGAGCTTCAATTAACCAACCCCGTTCCCGCGTAGCGGTCAGTCATCACTGACCACTTTAAGATAAAGAAAAACCAACATGGAACACTGTGGCGGAACCAGAGCGCAGGGAAACATTTACCTTCCTGCCACAGCAGTACCTATTTATCTACTTGCACTGGTTGGCAGGAGCTGGGACAGAGCAACGGGAGCTCACTCCATTACGGGGATTCAAACCACTGACCTTTTGATTGGCAAGCCCAAAGAGGCTCAGTGCTTTAGACCACAGCACCAGGACTGGTATGAGGAGCAGACCACGATGTCAGCTTCACTGAGTAGTATATCACTGGTGAAACTGCCACTGCTCCTAAGTCCCTCTGCTAGCAACTTCCTCCAGCGAGCGTTGCTAGCAGAGGGACTCAGGACAGGAGCAGTGGCGGTTTCACTAGCAATAAATCTGCCCTCATACTGCGTAGAGGGAGAAAAAAGCTGCATTGGTGAGGCGCCGTTCCTCCCTCTGCATCTCCCTCTGTGCGGTTGCTGCCCCCTTCAGCTGAGCAGTTAAAGGATCCCCCAGCCCGGTGCTGGCTCCCCCACGAGTGGGAAGAGCACCGGGGACGGGGAGCCCTCCCCATCCTCGGCAGAGCCACATGAAGGATCCCTGCTGCTCTCCCCTCTCATCCATGAGCAGGGAGAGCACTGGGGATGGCTCAGCTGGGGATCAGGAACCCTCACCACAGGCTCCTATGGTGACTGCAACAGTGAGGCAAGAGGACAAGTTTTCTTATGGATCAGTAACTAGTTAAAGAACATTTTCACAATGGAGGGAATCAGTGGATTATCAATGATCTTTACTAGGGTTAGTGTTATTTTAACATGCTCATGAGCAATGAGGAGTTGTGTGAGTGCTGAGATGGTCAAGTTTGTGGATGACACCAAACTATTCAGGAGGTAAAAACTGAAGAGTTCCAAAAAGCCTTTCCAAACAATCAAAGACGATCAAGTTTAATGTAAGTGTAGAATGACTCCCATCTTGCAGCAAAAACTGACAGGACCTTAAAAAGCTGTGACCTATGAAAGAGATGCTATGTCTTGATGGATGAAGAAGATGCCAATGTAAAAAATAGTGACAGAGAAAATAATAATGTTAGGGATCAATTTTAGCATCGTCACATTTGAAATATACCAAGCATAGCCTGATACTGTTGGACTACAACTCCCATTACCCCTTACCATTGGCCAAGATGACATCACACACACACACACACACACAAACACACACACACACGGAAATACAGTTCTAATTTGGCAATCTCAAAATTCCCAGATTTTTATTTTATTATTATTGCAGAGTGAACGAACAAGACTCAGATGGACAGGACAGCTTCTTCCCTTTTTTCCTGAGGAATTCCCATGATCAGTGCATTCAATCTATACAGCTAGAGTGTAATGGATTCCCTGTGTGCTAGTGCTTGTCCTATCCATATACCTTCAAGTTGTTTCATGGTGTTGGCAGACGCATCCCCCCACCTTCATGTCCCCCTCTCAATTTGCGTACCCTCCCTTTCTATAACAGCTCACGTGCTGCTAAGAGATTATAACATACAAACTATATTACATGTCATGTGCACGAGTTATATCATTAAAGCCATTCTATTTTAAGAGTATAATAAAATAATACTGTTTGAAGGGAGTATACTTGAAATGTTTTACTCTACAATAAATATTTCACAGTGCAAACATTGAACAGTCTTTCAGTGTGCCCTCTGGTGGCTCTGTAGTCAAAATATGAATTTCAGAAAACTGATGAGCTCAAATAAAGCATTATTTGCTTTTTCTAATCAAAATATGAATTTTTTTATGGAGGAAAGCTAATCATAAAGCAAAGGACCACTGTAGTCCCCCCCATATTGAGCTGTTTTATATGAATATTGAAAAAGAAATAATAAAATACAAACAAGGCTATTATTCAGGAAGTTATATCACCAATGAATCAGTAGAAGTCTAGCAATCTTTCTAGCAATTTGACATCTGATTATTTTTACCAGTCAATATTCTTTACTCAACAGTGAAACAATTCATAGTACTAGACACATCTGGACTTTGTCCAAACACTATCTGTGTCAGTGTTTCCAGTAAATTGAGCGACGGCTTCAGAACCCCAGTAAATCCCACTAGGCAGTGACAGTTTTGGCAAAGCAAGACAAATATTAGTTCAGATCTATGTTTTTGATCCTTAATGAAGATTTAATGAATGTTAATGAGCTAACAGTCCCATTGCAAAATGCCAGCAAGATGACACCCCACACTGAAAGCACTACAAGTAAAACCTTTACTTTTGTACTCCCTGGGATAAACACACCAGCCACAATATAACGCAAGTCGCATATGAACCAAGCATAAGAAAAGATAAATGTAAACTCACAGCTTTCCTTACATCCCCTCTTGGAAGGAGAAGAGGATTGCTTAGGTCCAGTAAACAACATGCAAATCTGTACATGCAGTCTTACAAATATTTCCATGCATATTTATATATCTGTAGAAGCAAATAATTACTGCTCCTGAGAGGAGGGGTGAAGCATGTGAACCTGAGGATACTGACTGGTAGTTCACGTAACACCAAACCATGGTGGGGGCTACATCTGAACCACCGTGTGTTCGACATTGCAGCAAGTGCATGGGGCAGAGAAGGGTTCTTAAAAGACAACCTTCTGCAGTGAGACATATTAAAAGCTGCATACACACATCTTTAACCCAGACAATCTTGCCCTTTTGGTCACATGAGGCTAGAATTGCTGAAAACACATTCTTTATCAATTTCCATAATAGGTGCCTAGCACCAAGGTAAAAAGGCCATCTAGATTTTAAAAAACCCTTATTTTTCATGAGTATTCATGTTCATTCATAGCAAAGAGATGAATGTTCCTGAGGGACATTAAGAGTTTCCTAACAGCAGGCCAAGGAAAATATTGACAGTATATTTTCACTGCAAGTATTTCTGCTCTTTTCCATTTTATTAGTGAACCAATTTCCACAAATTGCCCTTTGTTAGTACTCCAACATCACTTTGCTCTCTATTTTTATTAATTAAAGCAGTGGTTTAAGAGGAGTTAAACACAAAGATGTAGTAGGTGATATTCTGATGAAGTATGATAAGAAGCAGAAACCCCATTTGCCTGTTTCACTTGTAATGATATACTTATACACCAAGACATTCAATTTTACATGTATTTCAACAAAGGCTTACCATTTCATCTTTTTCCCATTTGTCTGTATTACTCTTGTCTTGGTTTACTATGTAACCAGGAGGAAGCCAGTTGACAGGTGGGTCAAAAATAGATACCACCATGCGACTAGGAAGCCCTTTCTTTTTTCCAAGACGATACAAATTACAATTGCTGACCTTTAAAGAAAAAGAATTTATCATAATCTATAGGCAATCAATAATTCTGAGAACACAGTAAACACAAACTTTGATTTAAAACTTCCATTTATAAGCTTAATTTTGTGGTAATTTTCCCCCATATATATCAAAACCACAGCATTTAAACACACCCCTACATAATTGTTATCCAACTATGCTCAGATATGGGCTGCTACCTACTATTCATGGTTTATCCAAGAAAAGTTAATATACAGTCCGTGTGAAAGACAAGGAATTAGGACAAAACAAAGCTGTTCTTAAGTTTAGGGTGACATGATATAAGACAAAATCCCATGCTCCTAATATTTGCATTCTATCTTTTATTGAAATCAGGAACAGTAAGCTATCATGTTTCACACTCGAATCAAAAAGAAAAACTCTTGGTGAACAAGGATATTTTAGAAATGGGAACAGTTGAGGAAAGGGCAGCCAAAACGATCAAGGGGCTGGAGCAATTTACCCATGAGGGTTTACAGCATCTGGAGATTTTTAGCTTAGGGAAAAAGAAAGAGAGTAAGGGACACAACTGAGGTGAGTGAAATTATGTATGGTGTGGAGAAAGTGGATAGATAAAAGTCTATTTCCCTCTCTAGTTCTGATCTAAGAATTTGGGCAATCCCTAATCATGCAAATCACTGTGTGAAGTGCTTCTGCAGTTTGGGGTGAGCAACAAGGGGTGAGGTGGGGGAAGTTTAAAGGGAGGGAGAGTTGTTCAGATGTGGGGAAAGGTCAGCTGCCCCTAGTCAGATATATTCAGCCGTCCCTTCTCAGTGATGATAAAGCTGCTTGCCTTTAGAAATCCCTATTAATTTATACTAGCATTGGTTATGTAACATCAAAAGCTGCCTTGTGGAGTCAGACCACTGGGTCTATCTAGTTAAATACTGTCTACACTGACTGGCAGCTGATCTCCAGGTTTTTGTCTCTCCCAAGGTAGAAATGCTAGGGATTGAAATGTAGGAATTTTTGCATGCAAAGCAGGTGTTCTTCCATTGAGCTATGGTCCTTCCACACAGCATATTTCTACCCTGCCCTTCATCCCAAGATGGTTTGTAATATAAAACCACAAAAATACATAAATCATGCTAACAAACAAATAAATCCAGTGCCTGAAGTTCTTAAGAAAACTGTGCATTACAGTGCTACTGGCATACCCATCCATTTCCATCCTGTATGTGGACTTATTATTTTTGGAACAGTTAAGGATCATGGAAGTATTACTCACTTTTTTGCTTCTCATATACGACAGGCGTCCCTCATGAGCATCAGGGTAAGTGCAAAACAAATATGTAGTGATGGCATGCTTTAGAAATGAATCACCAAGCATTTCAAGACGCTCCAGATTAAATCCATCGCTAGCATTTGAGAGAGTCAAAGCCTGAAGAATGAGACCAGGGTTTGGGCCAAGGGTTTTTGAGGAGTATCCCTTGGAAGGGCTTGTTACAGAATCCATTCTTTCCTTTGAAAGATCACAAGCATCTGAAGCACTGGTGTTCAGGGCCATTCTGGGACATCCATCTGAGGTAGATTTGTTAGCATTTCCATCAAGATATTTATTACTCAGTAGAGTACATTCATTGCTGGGCTTGAGCTGGTTCTCACTGTTGTATAAATTCTGAATAGGATACGAGGTAGTTGGTTGTACAGGTATTTCCTGCCTGGAGTAATTTAGCTGATTTCCTTGGCAAAAGTCTCGGCTAGCTAAGTCAAAATTGCCGTTGGCAAGATTTTTATTGTAAGAAACACCATTAACTGTTGCCAGTTCTACCGAGACGTCATTTTGGAGTTTACTAGGTGACTCAATCAATGTTCTGTTGCTCACAGACATTTGGTCATGCTTATCTGCAGAAGAGGTTTTATTAGCACCTTGATATGCAGCATTTTCAGGGACTACAATTGCGCTGTGCTTAAAATAATTTTCATTCTCTGCTACAGAAGAGCTAGAAGCAGAGATGAAGGATTTGCTGTCAATAGACTTCTTCCACCCAAAGTCCAGGTTAGGATATCTGTAAAATAAATTAACTGATTAATCATGTGTACACATACATGTAGATAGATGCTGATGTGATTATTATTTTTTACTGTAAATGTTAATTATCTGAAAGCATTTTAATTGATTTTGTTTTTACTGATAATGTTAACTGTTCTTGTAAACCGACAATCAAGCAGTGTATAAATTTTGTTAGCTAAATAAATAAGGCACGGGGCCACAATGTTGGTGCTTTCCATCTACCTACAACAATCACACACCCAAATAGCCCAAACTGAAAACTGCTTTGGGAACTCACATTCCAAGTCAGCTCCTGAACAGGAATTGAGCCACTCCTAGTAGCAAAAGAGGAAGATCCCACTCATAGGAGCCAACTTCTAGGGGCTAATGACCCTCCCCCCCATAAAATATTTGAAGAGGGCAGACCCCCGCAAAATTGATGGGCATTGTGATTCAAATGGTGTGTGTATGCTGCATCTTGTGATTATGTGGGGCGGGGCTTACCTCCCCCCCACCCCAATTTTTTATTTGAGTTGGCACCCCTGATCCCGCTGTAACACTTCATTATGCTGGGCAGTGGGCATAGTGTAACAGTTTGATATCTATATTTTTTGATAGATGCTGGTTATAAAATACAAAGAACCACAAGCGGAACAATATAGTTGCTTGCACTGTTCTACAAATACATGAGCCACATGCTACTATAAGAACTCTGAAACTAAGTGCCTAAATTAGTTCCCTGCCACCCAATTCCTTTTCCTGCTGCCATGCCTTTTAGATGAATGATAAAATCTGGGATTAGGAATAGTCTTTTTATTGATCCTGGTAAACTGCTCTGGAATATTTTTTTGGTGGATGCATGGGATAAAAATCCTTCAAAGACACAACTACAGAGGAAGAGTCTGCATAGTGCTATAAGAGGCATGCTATATAATATATATCATGCTTGCGCATGGAGAGCATTATGTTTGAATTTAGCTTCAATTATTGCACAACATATTAGGTGTGAGGTGTATAAATAGCCCTTCCATGAGCAGAAGATGGTTTCTACATATGGAAGGCACACCTTTGGCAAATGAGAAACTAACAGAGGACATAGCAATGGCAAAATGTCAGACTACTATACAACATAGCTTTATAGAGATTAACTACAGTATTCCAATACCTGAAATCTGAAGGGAGTGACTTAACTCCTACACCAGCATCAATGGCGGTTTGGGATCTGAGTTCCTCGGCTGTCAAAAGGCAGTGAAGACGATAAAGAATGCTGGGGAGGCAAACTGCTTTTCTCCACAGCGATGCTGGAATAGGATGGATAGCACAGAGTTCTGGAACCAGAATCTTTAATAAAGAATAAAATTTGCCTTTAGTCTCTCGATATTTCAGAGCACAGGTGGCAACCCACAGTTTAAGGGCCTGATTTCCCACCAAGGTTTTATTTCTACCCCCTTCCCTTCCCCAAGACCAAACTAATTTTGGCAACAGCAGCCAAAAGGGAAAGGAAAAAAGGGAGAATATACAGCACTGGGAAGGATAAAAGCCCAACACCTTGATAGAGTTGCAGACTCCCACCCTACCCTCCACTCATCAGATCGAACATTTGATGAGTTTGGAGTGGGAAACAGCCTCTCTTCAGACAATCTAAGTGGAGGAGTGCATACCTTGGGGGGGGGGGGGACGTGCAAAAGCGTGCGTGAGGTACAGCCTCCAGAGGGTTGGGGCAAAAGTGAATACCATCCTCAGACCAAAAGTGGTTAGTCAGCCCATTTTAGGGTACTAAAGAGGTGCTGAACACCATAAAATAGGAAATTTGTCATTACCTGTTTGTTCTGTAGACTTTCCCACTTAGCTTTCCTCTTCTCAGCACTACTCAGTGGAAGAGCTTTCCCCTTCTGATTCAGATGACGAGGAGTCAAAAGATTAAGTCTAAAGAGAAAATGGGAATGGCTGTTCTTTAAAACATGCAGTATAACTTTGCATTTCACCCTGGAAGGTGGTGCAAGGAAAAATGAGGAAAAGCTTGATTAAAAGATGTTAAAACCAGGGATGTGGGAAAATAATATTAGATATGTTACCAGACTTAGAGAAATTATTTTTGTTTCCCTTGAAATTCCCCAGATATTTCTCCTGAGCAGGAACCACCAAATGCATTTCAGGTAAAAACTACCGTATTTTTTGCTCTATAAGACTCACTTTTTTCCTCCTAAAAAGGGGAAATGTGTGTGCATCTTATGGAGCGAATGCAGGCTGCGCAGCTATCCCAGAAGCCAGAACAGCAAGAGGGATTGCTGCTTTCACTGCGCAGCGATCCCTCTTACTGTTCTGGCTTCTGAGATTCAGAATATTTTTTTTCTTGTTCTCCTCCTCCCAAAACTAGGTGCGTCTTGTGGTCTGGTGCATCTTATACAGTGGTACCTCGCAAGACGAATGCCTCGCAAGACAAAAAACTCGCTAGATGAAAGGTTTTTCCGTTTTCGAGTTGCCTCGCAAGACGAATTTCCCTATGGGCTTGCTTCGCAAGACGAAAACGTCTCGCGACTTTGTTTCCTTTGTCTAAAAACCGTTAAAACAAAGGGTGCTTAGCTTGAACAGCTGCAGTTGCGACTTGACTTCGAGGAGCAACTGTTAGCACATGGTTTTGTAGCCTTTTCTCATACTTTGCTCACTTTTGAAGCTTTTCCAAAACTTTTCCAGAACTTCTCTTGCATCCATTTGGTAAGTTAAACTTTTAAAACTTTTTTGGGGGGGTTTGGATTTTGGGTTGGGGGCGTTTGGGATTCAAGGACTTGGTGTTGTGGGGGGGGTTTGCGATAATCTGGGAGCTTGTGGGGGGTTTTTGGGAATTTTTATGATTTTCTGTGACCATTGGGCCAGGTTGTTTTTTTTTGAAAATTTTTCTGAGTTTGAATTTCTGAGTGCTGGCTGGCTGGGGGAACAGTTGGAGAGCTTTCTGCAGGAATCTGGGAGCTTGTGGGGCTTTTTTGGGAATTTTTATGATTTTCTGTGACCATTGGGCCAGGTTGTTGTTTTTTTTTTTGAAAATTTTTCTGAGTTTGAATTTCTGAGTGCTGGCTGGCTGGGGGAACAGTTGGAGAGCTTTCTGCAGGAATCTGGGAGCTTGTGGGGCTTTTTTTGGGAATTTTTATGATTTTCTGTGACCATTGGGCCAGGTTGTTTTTTTAAAAAAAAAAATTCTGAGTTTGAATTTCTGAGTGCTGGCTTGCTGGGGGAACAGTTGGGGAGGTTTCTGCAGGAATCTGGGACCATTGGGCCATGTTGTTATTTTTTGAAATTTTTTTTTTGTCTGGGTGGGGGAACAGTTGGGGAGGGGTTTGCAGCAGTTGGGGAGGGGCAGGGGGAGCAGTTGGGGAGGGGTTTGCAGCAGTTGGGGAGGGGCTGGGGGAGCAGTTGGGGAGGGGTTTGCAATTTCTGTGTGGTGGGTGGGTGGGTGTCTGTGGGAGCAGTTGAGGTTTTTGAAGACATTGGTGATTTTTGAAGCTTTTCCAAAACTTATTTTGCAGCCATTTGAGGTTTCTGAAGACTTCGGTGATTGATTGTTGAAGCTTTTCCAGAACTTCTCTTGCATCCATTTGGTAAGTTAAACTTTTAAAACTTTTTTTGGGGTTTTTGGATTTTGGATTTGGGTTGGGGTGTTTGGGATTCAAGGCCTTGGTTCTGGGTTTTAATTTCTGTGTGGTGGGTGGCTGGGTGCTTTTGAATTTTTTGGATTTGAAGCACATCACTGATTTTTTTTTCTTTTTCTGAGTTTACGAAGGTAAGAGCTGTGCTGCCATGGGACCCAAGAAGACTGCTGCTGCGGTGGCCGGCGAGAGGAAGAAGGAGAAGGTGACGCTGGAAATGAAGAAGGAGATCATCCGGAAGCACGACGGCGGAATGCGTGTGACGGACATCGCCAGGGAGTACGGGAGGAATCCATCAACCATCGGGACCATCCTGAAGATGAGGGAGAAGATCCTGGCGACTGATGCAGCCAAGGGAGTCACCAGGATCGTGAAGAACCGCCCAGCTGTTCTGGAGGAGGTCGAGAAGTTGCTGCTCATCTGGATAGAAGAGAAGCAGCGTGCAGGGGACACAGTGTCTGAGGCCGTCATTTGTGAGAAGGCCAAGGCCTTGCACGCTGACCTCATCCGGGAACAGCCAGGAACCTCAGGCGAGCAAGAAGTCTTCAAGGCAAGCAGAGGTTGGTTTGAACGGTTCAAGACAAGATCTGGCATCCACAGCGTGGTCAGGCATGGAGAGGCTGCCAGTTCTGATGTTCCTGCGGCTGAAGACTTTGCAGCGGAGTTCCTGGAGGTTGTGAAGACGGAGGGCTACGTTCCACAGCAGGTCTTCAACTGCGACGAGACCGGGCTGTTTTGGAAGAGGATGCCCAAAAGGACTTTCATCACTCAGGAGGAGTCCAAGTTGCCTGGCCACAAGCCCATGAAGGACCGTCTGACCCTGCTCTTCTGTGCCAACGCAAGCGGCGACCTGAAGATCAAGCCCCTGCTGGTGTACCACTCGGAGAACCCACGGGCCTTCAAGAGACACAAGATCGACAAGGAGCGGCTGAGTGTCATGTGGCGATCCAACAGCAAGGCTTGGGTCACACGTGTGCTGTTTGTGGACTGGGTCAATCTTGCTTTTGGCCCTGCTGGACAACGACCTGCTGCTGAAGGCTTTGCTTCTGATGGGCAATGCTCCTGCCCATCCTAAAGGCCTTGAGGTGGACTTGTTGGAGGAGTTCAGCTTCATCAACATCATGTTCCTGCCGCCTAACACCACACCACTGCTGCAGCCGATGGATCAGCAGGTCATCGCCAATTTCAAAAAACTCTACACCAAGGAGCTTTTCAGGCGATGCTTCGAGGTGACTGACTGCACCACCATCACCCTGCGGGAATTCTGGAAGGACCACTTCGACATCGTCACCTGCTTGAAGATGATCACCATGGCCTGGAACGGGATCAGCCAGAGAAATTTGAATTGCGCTTGGCGCAGCCTGTGGCCGGACTGTGTGGCACCAAGTGACTCTGATGCACCAGAGTCAACAGTGGTGCAGGACATTGTTGCCTTGGGGAGGACCATGGGCCTGGAGGTCACGGAGGAGGACGTCTGCGAGCTGGTGGAGGAGCACGACGACGAGCTGACCACCGTGGAGCTGGTCGAACTGCAGGCAGAGGCTGCGCAGGAGCAGGCCTCACTGGAAGAGGAGGAAGCAACTGAGGAACGGCTGTCCTCCGAAAAACTGAGGGACATTTGCCTGAAGTGGAAGGAGGTGCAGACTTTTGCAGAGCAGCACCACCCTGAGAAGCACGTGGCACATGACGTTGGGAACTTTTTTGATACGAGGGTCATGTCGCCTTTCAGGGAGGTGCTGAAAAGGCGGATGAAGCAGCAGACTATGGACAGGTTCTTGAGCAAGAAGCAAAGAGTGGAAGAGGAGCCTTCTTTGAGTGGTCCCCCAGAGTCTTAGAAAATGTACTGTACACTTTGTTGATTTTTAAATGTTTTTCTGTCATGTTTATAAAGTTAATTTATTTTCCCTTCAATTTTTGAACTGCTCTTTACAGTATGTGTGACTTTAAAGAGCAGTTAATAAACTGTTGTTGTACCAAATTTGGCTTTGTTTGGACTTTTTTTGACCATAGGAACGCATTAATTGATTTTCAATGCATTCCTATGGGATTTCGTGATTCGCAAGACGAAAAATTCGCTAGACGACAAAACTTGCGGAACGAATTAATTTCGTCTTGCGGGGCACCACTGTATAGCGAAAATATGGTAATTTCAACTCTATTTAACAAGTGGGGCCTGCAGCAAAATATTGCAGCACGGAGAGCAGCTGTTCTGGATTCCAAGCATTACATTCTATTCTTCCCCTTCCCATATCTCTCTCTCCCCACCCTCTCTCAAACATACGGCATTCTGCAGCCAATTTTTTCCACTTCTGCAAACCTTGAGAGATCCCATGTTGACTATATTGAAACAATACAAATTAGAACTATTTTAAGCTATCAAACCCTCTTTACCTTGAAGATGTGTGGTCCACATCCAGCAATGGCTGGTTGAGATTGGTCAGGTCAAGGTTATACTTGGTTTTATAATATTCAGCAAAAGTTTCATATTCTGGGGAAGGAAATTTGCTCAGTGGAGTAAGATCTGTGTAGACATCAGCAACATAAAATCGATGAGGCTGATCAAAATTTCGATACCTAGACAGAAGCAGATATTTGGGTTGCAATGTCAAATGTTCTGCTGAACAGGTTCCCTAACATGACCTGAAGTTATACATCAGAAAAGAAGTCCTACTATGCAACCACAAGCAAGTCCAAAATAAAATATAAGTTATTTCCATTAATGCTGAGTGGAATGACTGGATTTATCAAAATAGTTAAGCACTTGCCAGGACACAAAGGGCTACTCTGGGCACATCCAGTAATCTGTGCCAATGATAATTTTATTGGTTTTAATTTTATTTTATTATTTCATTAACCATATTATTTTTTACTTGTAGACTCTCCTGCATATCAGGAGGTGAGCTCCTGTAAGCCAGGGTTAAGCATCTTTAACCATGTTTATATCTATGAAATATTAGCAGCTGACAAATACTGGTCTCTCTCTCTCTCTCTCTCTCTCTCTCTCTCTCTCTCTCACACACACACACACACACACACACACACACAGTATAATCACCTTGGAATGATAACTGCATCCTGGTAATCTTCTAATTTGAAAATAAAAGGTGTCTCTTTTGTATACTGTGTACTGGGAATGCCTGTACGTGCTTCAGATTTTTCAATATCTTCCATAAATTTAAAATCAATGTCCAAAGTGCTGGAGCCATCAACTTGAAAGAAAGAAAATGTATTTGTTTTAGCTGTCAAAACAGATTTTTTTTTAAAAAACAAACCCCCTTGTGTACATTCCCAATCATCATCCATTTACCTATTGTAGCAAAACCTACTAAGTCTTAATGCTGCAATAGATCTGTTAGTATCACAGGACTCTTGCTGAACTATAGTTGTAATCCACAGCATCTGGAGGGCATTCTGCAGCCCACAACTTCTAAGAGAGCACCAAGCTGGTTATCCCTGCTGTATTATATACCTCTGATGTAATTCCAACTATAACCATTACCCTTTTCTCAAACTGTGAATCTAAAATAAACAGAACAATTCACTGGATACAAAGAAGAATAGAAATTAGCCAATGCAAACATATTCTGCACAGGAGTGCCTGAAGTGATGTAAGGGGTAGCTTCTACAACAGTTCTAAATATCCTGTTTTTAAGTGCAAGTGGAAGAACAAAGCTGGATTTATTTCATTTTTCTTGTACAATGCCCCTCACTTAAGCAGAAAACCCCTTCTGCATGCAGATGGATCCAACCCATTGTATATAAAAACTCCCAGGTTGTGGAATTCCCTACCCATAGAGGTGTGCCTGGCACCTTCACTATACAGCTTTCAACGAACTCTCAAAAAATACTTCTTTACCCTGTCCTTTGATACCTAAGGTGTGTGTTTTCAAGACCCACCCACAAAGTATAATTTGTTTTAACTGTTTTTAATAATCATTTTTAAATTTCCACTGGACCTTCTGGAATGCATAATAATAATAATAATAATAATAACAATAACAATAATAGCAAATTAATATTTACAACAGTCTTCTCCTCACCAACATTAAGAGGTAGAACACAATAGGCTGAATCAGCATCGGTAGGTCTGAATTCTAGTGCAGGTTTCTCAAGCCGAAGAATGTGAGAGAAAATGTACTGGTGAAGTCTTGTGATCAACTCAAGCATTTGTAAAGACAAAGTGAATCCTGATTTCTTTAGCTCAATAGATATGGTCACTTCTCCCGAGCGGGTATACACAGGAAAGTGAGGAATCTGAGTGAAGAAAGGGGGGGGGGGAGAAGTCAATATGAGATTGTTCCAACAAAGAACTGGCCAAAGTGCTAACGTGCAACTATTTATGCATATTATTTTTTTTACCTGAAGACAAATGGGTGGAATCTCATAACCACAGTAATAGTTCTGGATTGAGACTGGCTGAGTGGTGCAGAGAACTGATGGACAGAAATGTCTCTCCAAGCATCTCTAAATTCAAGTGGATTATGGAAGGGTAGGTGTGGCTTTAAGATTTTGGGGGAAATTTTTTTTAATTGCTTGGCATATCACTTGGTAGGGCTAAGCCCTGGCTACCTAATGGACCAGCCTCCACTGACTTTAATCATGAAGTAGTAGAAATGAAGAGTGGAAATAATGCAACAAGCTAAAATACCAAAATTCATTGAGCACCATTAATTGCTTGTAGTCATGTTTCAAAGGTATCCTCTCAGCTAACAATATAAACTAAATAAGTTGGGGGCGGGGAGGCTCAGTAGAGCATACCTATAAATCCACCGCCTGGAATGTGGGTGGCTCTGTGGTCTAAACCACTGAGCCTCTTGGGCTTGCCGATCGGAAGGTCAGCAGTTTGAATCTGTGCAATGGGATGAGCTCCCGTTGCTCTGTCCCAGCTTCTGCCAACCTAGCAGTTTGAAAGCACACCAGTGCAAGTAGATAAATAGGTACCACTGCAGAGGGAAGGTAAACGGCGTTTCCGTGCACTCTGCCACTCGTCATGGTGTCTTGTGCGAAAAATGGTTTAGTCATGCTGGCCACATGACCTGGAAAACTGTCTGTGGACAAATACTGGCTCTCTTGGTCTGAAAAGCGAGATGAGCGCCACACCCCAGTCGCCTTTGACTGGACTTAACCACCCAGGGGTTCTTTACCTTTAATAAATCCACCACTGTCTGTTTCCAAGTCATTTTTATAAGATACAAAAGCCACTGGATTGCGACATGCAAAGCCACAGATACCAAAAAGCTCTGAGCTACTGCTTTGAAAGGATAAATTATGCTGGAATGATTGATGCAACTATTTGTAGTGAACTAAAATGAAATGATTAAGTTTGTTTCATGAATATGAATTAGTGATGTGACACAATGACCTGCTTCCAAATCTGCAACATCTCAAAGCAGACTAGATAGACTACAAGCACAAGTTTACTACCTGAGGTATAGGTTTGGCTGTCAGTATTCCAAAACATCTTGCAGTATCTTCAGGAGGATATAGCTTTCGCCGCCTGAAGTTGAGCTCATCAGGTAGAGGGGTAGTTAATACCATTCCAATTACATAAAGGTAACAGGGTTGGTCAGGTTTGGGATAACTATCCGTCAAACATTCTGGAATCTATAGGTATAGGATAAATTGAATTTATTTTTAAAATAAAAAGTTCCCTTATGAATTACTTTTGTGCTTATTTTTTTACTTATAAATTTATCTTTGTACACAAGTAGTTTAAAATGGAAAAGACATCAGGATAAAGGAATACATTTCAGTGTGCATTCTGAGTGTAAGCAAAACAAGAAGATCAGAATCTCTGCTCCACAACGTGCATAATTTCTACCCTTACAAGTGTTCTGCCACAACAACAGTAAAATAATAAATCTGCAAATAAAGTGCAGCAGTATGGAACAAATAATTCATGGAGTGAACTCTAGCCTACAAAATGCACATGATCCAATAAGCTGGTGAATCTTTGCAAGGACTCTGGCTGCACACGGGGGCATAAAAAGCAGTGTATGAATACATTTGTTCTTGTAATAAAGTAGTTCATTAAGCAACCGTTTAAAAGATGGAATTGTTAAGAGTTAAAGGCTAAGTGACTTTACTACACCATAAAACTTATGGGTAGGACTGTAGCGTAGTGCTAGAGCACCTATTTTGCACACCAGAAGTCAGAGCTTCATTCTCTGGCTTTCTGAGGACTTTCACACTGGCACTAATTAGTCCTACATCTACTTGGCTTAAGTAAGAATGCTGCAACATGCGCCATCAACCATGTCTTGTATCACACAAGCAAAAACCTGAAGTAGCAGCCTGCCTTTCTTTACTCTGCTGTCATTTAAATATAAAAAAGTACTATACATTCTTAAATGAAGCAAAAAGTATTAATTTTCCACAATGTCAGATTAGCGTCCACAACATAAAACTTTATACAGAATTATTTCCTCCCTCAATCTCCTTCTCCACCCGCCACCCCCCAGATCTGAATGGAAAAAGTCTGTCTTAGCCTATGTGATCATAGTATCCATTACTCCATGGTAGAGTATCAAGACTCCTTTCCCCAAACATATGGGAATTATTGTTTGCAAAACATTCCTGTAGGACCTTGGGGCTAGTCTATTCATATCCTGCCTCTGCTATGCAACTTAGAAGACTCTTAAGTAAACATGGTTCAACACCACAGCACAGTCACACATAGTGAGGGCACAGAACTATACTAACAGCTTTAGGGTAGCATTGCCTTCGTTTTGTAGAGCCTGGCCTTCCTGGAACACTGGTTTCTTCTTCATCATGCAAATCAAGTTCCTCCTCATATTTCACTGTCTCTTTCCCAACAGGCATCAAGTGATCATCCAGTTCACCTAAAATGCATTGATAAAGAACAAGTTATAAATCCAATTTTATTTCATAAAATGTGGAAATATCTATCCCTTCGGGGCCGGGGGAACTTTTATAAGACCTATGATAAAAATGTTGAGGAACTGTGACATTTCAGTGAACTCAGTAACAAAGCATCAGCAGTCAATCCACATGCACCTTATATTCTTTGCCAATGAAAGGTCTTAAATTCCTCAGTTGTTTAAGGCAATGTCGTTTTTTGGTTGCTTTTTTAAAAACCTTTCCAAGTACATGCAAAAGAATTAAAAATAATCCTTTGTTGGAAGTGACAGGGAACTTAATTTCCTGCACCAATGGCTTGGTGAAAGCTGCCTAAATTTAAATAACCAACGAAAAGCTTTTAAACGTTCTCAGATGCTACACCATTTTTGTTAAATGCTATTGTTTAGAGACCAATCTATAACACTTAGCATCTAAAAGTAATATATTCAGCATGATCCTATTCATGTTTACTCAGAAGGAAGTCCCACCAAGTTCATTGGGCTTTATTTCCAATACACGTTTGCATTATTCCCAAACATATTGCCTGGGATCCAGACTTGTGAAGGTGGAATTCCACTCAAGCAAATGGCATGGCCTCTCCTCTTGACGATAACCCCAATAGTCTCAAAAAAGCTGCAACAGCTGGCAAAAGTGGGGTGGGGTAGGAGAGTTATAATTATGTTTAGTTGTATATATTAAAAATGTAACGACATCTATAAAAATCAATAAAAAATATTTACTACAACAACAAAAATGCTGCAGAGGATCTGAAGAGCTTCCATAACAGCGGGGGCGAGAAGAGAGGAGTTTCAACTTGTGGAAAGAATTGGGGGAAATCAAGCTGAAATACCTTACAAGTGACCCTCACGAGTTAGGGGTGGGCACATGGGGGCTGCATAGAGGAGGAGGTGGGAAACTGGCATTGTATGAGTGGCCTTCCACTCACATGTTTTTGGCTCCAAATCCTATTTCCCTGCAGCCAATGATGTATCAGTTATATAATCAAATATATATATATCTGGAGGAAGTGTTCCCAAATTTCTGTTGTGCTTTCCACAGTTGCATGAAATGTTTTTGGCAGCAAATATGTAGGCGTTGACAAGCATATCAATAAAAAAGTACAAAATTGTATCCTTTAGGTTTTTCATGACTAAATAAATGTTCCTCGCTTTCAAATATGCTTACCAATCTTATGCAATTTTTCACAGCAAATAAGAGCAACAACTCTCTCTGCCAATCTTGTGCAATTCATTGGAGGACCCTAGAAATAAAATTTGAACCAATTGCATTAAAGGAAGCATATGTTCTCATACTCATGTTCTCACACTCACACACACACGAACAGCTCCTATGCAAAGGACACCTTAAATAATAATAAAATCACATTAAAAACACATGACCCTAAATAGAATAGATAAAAATTTGATTACCAGCACAAGTTGTTAATTTTTTCTCATGCAGCAGCAAATAAGATACATGGGATCCTACTGTATAATAAATACCAAACCACAGATGATTAGTGAACACAGAACATGAAGGAATAATATATTTTCCTTTAGATTCCAAAAGCTCTGTGCTGAGACAGCTGCTAACAGAAACTGGGCCCGGACCCAGCTCAATGAAGCACTTCCTATGCAATTTCCAATGAGTTCATTCATGTCTTAATATGCTAGTCTAGTCAGGATGATGAAAAAGATTAAGATTATCTTCTCTCACTTCCTATTTTGGGCTCTATGCTCTACAGTGTTTAGAACAGTCAACTGTGCCCCATTTGATAGTTTTAGCTGATGCAGCATAATTCGCTGCTTGCACCAATTATCGAGCTTATGGCAAATCCATGGGATCAAGCTGCCAAGCAGAACAGGGCTGCAAAATAAGCACTACAGCAAAGCGTTATCTTAAACCAGTGCCAATGGAAAAAAGTAGAACTTTGAACATATTCCAAGCATAAAGTAACCTAAATAAACTGAAATACTTACAACTATTGATGCTCGTAGAGGAGAATTGATAGGTAGATAAAGAGTTGAATAAAATGTGTTATCAGGGAGTTCTCTAGTTTTACACTTGGGAGCTAGATGAGTAAACGGGTCACTTGGCAGTCTAGCACAGTACCTATGTAACACAAGATTAAAGATAATTAAGTTATTCTAGGAAAGAGCCATGCCACTGAAGAATTTAAAATAATGCATTGGGCTTACTCTGGGAAGGGGAAAGTGAGCATCACATGCTAGCCCTGCTTCCAACATCCCTGCAGCTGCTCCACCTCTGATCTTTTTGAAAAGTCTACAGGAAACCTGAATGTTCAGCTGAACACAGTTGCAAACTGCCTCATAATCAGAAAGGTTCCTGGTCATGTGAAGGGTGAATGTACTTATAAGCCCCCTCAGAACTCCTTGCTAAACAAGGAAAGGTCAGGGATTTAGTGGAAATTTTTAAAATCAGATACTAGAAATGAATGGGGAAGGAGGAGCCAATATGTTAAAAGTCAAGGCTCAGAGTCGTCAACTGGAATCACTGTTAAGGATGAACAGTAATAACTATCTGACAGCCATCGAGCGGGAACAAATTGAGCTTAAGGGCAGAGAAGTTCTAATATACAGTGAGAATGATTAATTCAGTTGTTAAAGCTTAGGTAAACTGGATTCTCTGCTTAAAATTTCAGTTAAAAATGAGATTTAGTAGAACATTTGTACACCAGAAAGTGTTACAGAAATAAACAGTGTCCTAAGAGTAAGGGGGGGGGGCGCAGGTGGCGCTGTGGGTTAAACCACAGAGCCTAGGACTTGCCAATCAGAAGGTCACGGTTTGAATCCCCGCAACGGGGTGAGCTCCCATTGCTTGGTCCTTGCTCCTACCAACCTAGCAGTTCGAAAGCACGTGAAAGTGCAAGTAGATAAATAGGTACCACTCCAGCATTTCCGTAAGCGGCATTTCCGTGTGCTGCTCTGGTTCGCCAGAAGCGGCTTAGTCATGTTGGCCACATGACCCGGAAGCTGTACGCCGGCTCCCTCGGCCAATAAAGCGAGATAAGCGCCGCAACCCCAGAGTCGGCCACGACTGGACCTAATGGTCAGGGGTCCCTTTACCTTTAAGAGTAAGGGAGCACCATGCATGGGTAAGGTGGGTGAAAGGCAGTGATTAATCAAATTTGAGGTCTGTCCACTGTCTGCAGCCAGAAAGGATCCTGCCAGCAGAACTTCCACCCACTAGTGCTTGGCTCTAACTCCAACCCAGCACAAAGGGGTTTTGGGTTGCTGTGTAAGACATACACTGGTCAGCATTTATTTATGCCAGTGAGCCACGCTAAGTGGAAGATAACATAGCAAGAGAGCAGGGTAACTGGTATGATTAGTTGCTTCCCTAAGGGGAACAATTTCAAGTTCACGGAACAATACTTGTTGATCCTTATAGGGGGATTTAAAACATAAGCAGATCCTTCTGTACCATTAAAACATTCTTCCGCACGAGTATCCTAATAATGATATAAATCAATATTTTTAAAGATATTATTGCCTTATTCTTTTAATAAAGGGAATCCATAGCACTACCAGAACAATTTCCTCAGATCTAAAGACAGTTCCCCTCAGGCTAAAGCAGGCTGTATTAGAAATTCAGCAAATTATGTCAAAATTGAAACACCAATAAATTTCATACCTATTAATGTGCCCAATAGCAGTGTTTATTGTGACTCTTGGACCGCCATCTTCTGGTCTTAGCACATATGGTGGGAATATATCATCGTCATCTATAATGGGTTCATTTTCGGTTTCACTAGTATCCACAGACTTTGAGCATTTGTTCCTCAGGATCTTTAAAATATACACATGACAGTGATGATAATTCCATGCAACTCAGAACTGATCTATGTATTTTGCAAAGTTTAATGTCTATTTTTTTCCTGTTCTCCAGGCATTTCGACACCTCTTAAAATATAGCCAAATTTTGCAATATCAATTGGTTCCCAATATCAAGAAGCTGGATTCTGTCTATACAATTAGACATGATTTTGAATCAAGACGGCAGACTAAACCTTTCAAAACTGCAATGATTTTTCCCCAGGCGCTTAAATAATTCAGTATAAGAATGTGGGGGAATGAAGAGAGAAACTACCTAGAGCTGTATTAAGCAGCTGCGGCTAAGCCCTAGCCTATGTTACAACCTCCTCATACTGTATACAAAAGCTACTGACTAGCTCCAATAACTGATTTGCCACTTTTAGCTACCCCCACCACCTTTAAAGAGGGCACTTGCCCTGGGCATCACAAATGGAAGGGGCTGAATCAGTATTGGCCAACAGTACATTTTGTGGGAAATTTGCAACCTGTTACAGGGTGTAGTGAAAACAGAAATGGAGGTGGAAGTCTCAAATGAATGTTCATACCTGGAATATTTGTCTAAATTAAGGAAAGGGGGGGGTCTTCCATCCTTTTACTCATCTGCTATGTAGTAGGCCTGGGGGAAAAGGCTGGCCAGCTCCTTTTTCAGACCCTGAGGCACCCAGGGACTGAATTTTTATTTAACCCACCCCTCACACTTTACTCACTAGGCCCCTTCCTGCAGCTTTTCCAACCCATCCAAACAATTGATATTCAAACCTTCTGCCCTAGTCACTTCCTCCTATCATTTTTCAAGGCATAATTTTCAATTAAGCTTGGATTCTCAAGTCTCCAGCCCTTAAGTCTTCTTCAGCCCAGGTTCACCAGATTTCTTCTAAGAACAGTGTTTTGATTGGGGCCAAGCACCCTTTCCCCCATTTTTATTGCTGCTTGAGTGTCTAGCAATTTTTATTTGTTACTCATTCTCTTTTGCCACATACCTTCTCAATTGCCTTGTATGTTTTAAGATCTTCTTCAAAACATTTGATTTTGTCTGAATCTGCTAACATGATGTAATTCGAGATAGGTGCCCTGGCCCTTCCTTTGGACTGCACATAGGAACGATATTCTGTGGGCAAATCAAAACGAACCACCAAATTGCATTTTGGTATGTCAACACCCTCTTCTACAATACTAGTTGCAATTAGTAAGTTGGTCTCGTGTGCTCGAAATTTTCTAAGTACCTACAAAAGCAACCAAGAAGATACATATCTAAGACCAATCAGTTATTAAATCATCAGCTTGACAAAAGTTTAATACATATTTCAGAATTCAATAATCAAGTGTACAAATTTGTTCACAAGCCATCAGTTAGCAAAGACAGGTTTTAACCAGAAAATAATTTTGTAATTAGAAAAACAGCTTACTAGAAAAAAGTGGGGTTTGAATACTTTCAGCTCTTCTTCATACTAACAAGGTAAATATTGTAACAGCCCTAGAAGCAAACCAATATTTTTATCACCACGGAGGCCTTTGATAGAAACCCACTGGTTTTGAAGTCTTTGATGCAGACAATGGAAATCAGATCACACAGCAACTATGGTCTTACGGGGGTGGCGGACACTAAAGAATTCCATGATGTTGTGCTGTTCTATTCCTTCTTAAAAACAGGTATTATTCACCTTTGAAAGCAGGCTGGCACACTTTTGCCAAAGTGTAAAACTAAAGCCCGTTACATTTTTCTGGGGAGGAGGGACCCAGTCTGTTAAATTTTATCGCTGCTTTTAGAAAAAAATATGATTTTGTTTTAAAAGTTGCATTTTTCTTTACATTTCATTTTGTGTGTGTCACTCACACAAAAAGAACTAAAACTATCAGTATTTCAGAAACAGGGCATTTACAGTACCTTCACGGAGACTACAAATCTGATATCAAAGTAACATTTTGAAAAATAGCTAAAGTTTTAAACCAGGAATAAAATTTTTCATTCTGTAGTATTCAACATAAACCTTAGCTCATAAGCAGTACAATTTCAGCCAGCTGTTGTTTGTCATTTTTGTTTTAAAATTCAGGTTTGCTTCAGAAACTTGTGTGCTTCTACATACTGATCTATAAGAACTATGCAGAATTTGTAAGATGCAGAATCTCTGGACTTTGCAAAGGTTCTAAAGGTTAAGCAACTATACAGCATTTTTGTACAATTATTTTCATTAAAGTTACCTCTTCCTGCTTTCGGAATTCTACTTCCATCTGTTTACTACGGGGCTGATTCTTTCCAATGCCATGTCCAGTTATAAAATTGCTGCTGATGTAAGCCAGCTCCGGGTCTTGTTTGCCAGCTTCTTTTATCAACCTAAACACATTATATACATTTTGGAAGTAGTTGAGAAAATAGTTGAGAAAATGTAAGCTAATCATCTTCTTGATATCAAGGTGGCATTTGCATTTAAAATTCTTAAAATAAAATCCTCCAGTGGTTCTATACCCGACACAGAGAAAGACAGCCTTACTTTTGAAGAATAAAAGAACATCAAGAACATTTAGTTCATGTATTCTTAATGGTCCCAAAGTCTAGAAGAGAAAATATTGTATCTAACAAGTCCCAATAGTGAGTGCCAATTTAGTAGGGACTGATCGTCACATAACCCCACCATGCAGCAAAACCAAGGTTCTTATTTCTGAGAAAAGCAGTCCATAGGAAATTCCTATTCTCTTGGAAACCTGTTCCTGGATTTAGTCATTCTGATGATAAGCTTCCACTGGCTTAATTTACACATTACCCACTTGACAAGGGAAGATTATGTTTTAAAATCCCTCATGCTTTAAGTGGCCTGTGGTTCTAACAGCCTCTACAAGTATCCATAGCCAGACCTTGCCCTGCCCTACATTTCTATGAAGGAGACTGCTGCCGTATATTCACTCACAGCAGTGCTTCTCTTTTCTTTGGCAGAGAAATCAAGGAAATTACAAGTGTTTTCCTTTCTTGTTCTCTCTGCCAGCAACTAATTTTCTCCCTCATTGGGAAGTACCAGAACACATAGGGTCACATGGTTTGCTATACAGCCAATTAAATGGCTTTGTATGTCTATAAAGATGGCATGTATGCATGTATATAATATGGAATCTTCATATCTTGAGAAGCATTTTATAAGAAGCGATTGCTAAAACAGAGCTGCTAAATGAAAAGTTTGTCATTCCTACCCCCCCCTCCCCAAATATATATATACAGTGGAATTTTCTACTGCTCTTTTTTCCCCCTTCCAGTGGTCTTTGGTTCAAGAATGAAAGAAAAGTTCAGTCTTATGAAATACAAAGATCTTAAGTGAAATTCTTTTAAATCATAATGAACACTTCCAATTGACTCCTTTCCTCCCTCATTTCAATAAACCCAGTTTTTAAAGAGTACTATATGCAAATAAAATTGTACTCAGTATCATTTTCCCTGCAACTTTCCCCTCAACAAGCTTAATAATTTAGTGTAACTTCATAAAACTTCATTGTAAGTAGAAGTAATCTGTTCATTATTTATTTACTGTTTTAGTTGTTGCTTTGTTCCACATCTTGTATACCATAAGGCAGCCAAAATTAAATTTGTTTCTGTTAACAAGGCTTTAGTTTTTCCCTTTATGAAGAGGACATGAATTGTGGCAATACACAAAACTAGTCAGGATACTTTTAAACAGAAAAGTGGAAGTTGTTTTATCTCTATATCCCCACATACATACATACAAATATTAGTGCCTTTCTCTTATTACTCTGTATATTATCACCTTTGCTTGTGTGCCTGGTATTAGTGGCAAAAAAAAAAAAACCCCTTCTGAATTCTATTAAAAAATTATCCTAAGCTTTTAAACTGTTGATAACTGCATATTCCACATAGCCTTACTACATTTAAATCATTTAAATATATTTAGAAGTTGTTTTTGCTAATTCTTAAGGGTTTTTATGTTACTTTATGGCTATATCGACCATCTTTTTCTCCTTTTTATGAAGTGTGGTTTGCAGAGATTTGCAAAAACTAGCAGGCTTCATGAGCATTTGGACATATTTTTTCTATAATTATTCCAGATTAGAGTTCAATTAGCTCTTTTGCAATTCACAATATATATATTTTTTAAAAGAAATCATACCTGTTCAAAACAACTGCTGTGTATCTTCTTTCCACAAAAATAATTCCACATAAAATATTAGTAAAGGGAGAAGGAAAATTAGTTTCCGTTTTCTCTTTCTCCTCTATTTCTTCATCTTCGTCCTCATCCTCAGAATCACTCCAGGACACATAATTATCCTGATTCCGATTATTATACCACTCAACACTTTCAAACTGTTGCCGTTCATAGGGCTTGTATTTACGCAAAATTTCAAGCAGTTTTATTACTTTTGGGGTTACAAATTTCAGGTCAAGTGAGGCAGGTGAGAAGTGCTCTTCACAGAGTGCATGTATTTTCCTTAGGAAAGTATCTGTAAACAATAAAAATTTCCTGTGCAGCTCCTCTTGCTCGTGCTTTATGTACTTCTGTAGCTCTCTCACCATCATCCCAGCTACTTTATCAGCACACCAGGGTCCCAGAACAAGCAACACTGCTCGGCAGTCTGACAGTATCTGCAAACAAATTAAATTCATCAGTTTGGTATGGCCCTGTAGCAGTCGACACAGCTTACACTGAGCCTGCAAACCATTATTTAGAGCAGGGGTCAGCAACGGTTTTTGAGGCCGGCCTGGTCCACTCCCCAGCAGACCTCTCGGTGGGCTGGAGCATGCAGGCCTGTGCCCAAGCTATTTCCGGCACTCTTCCGGGTCGGAAGAGCACTGGAAATAGTGTGTGCGCATGCGCACAGGCGCTCCTCCGTCCCGGACGTGAGCCGGAAATAATGTATATGGGCGCTCCTCCAGGTGAGGAGCACCCGTGCGAGTGTGCACTTGCTATTTCCGGTGCACTTCTGGGACAGAGGAGACCTGTCCACACGCTATTTCCAGCGCTCTTCCGACCCAGAAATCAGTCCCCGTGGCGAGAAAAAAAATGACGCCGCAAAACAAAAACAAAAAACGGAATCCCCACGCCGATCCACGGAACAGCCATGGACCAGTTCCAGGAAACTCATGGGCCAGAACCAGCCCATGGGCCTTAGGTTGCCAACCTCTGATTTAGAGGGTGGGGGGAGAACTGCAATGCACATTTGCTTCTTTGTAGATAAACTAATGATATATACAGGGATTACTGTTCCAGATAAGTATAATTTCAGAAAGCAACAAAGGAAGGTAATGAACTGCATAGCTACATTTTCCTGGGGTTTTTTGTTTTTTTAAATCACACATTGGTCTGGTTTGATAGATGACCAGATTCTGAATGCTAAAGGTTTAGCAGAGAGACATGGCAGACAATTACAAAATTGTGCATCAATACTTGTTACCATACTTTGTGAAGAACCTGCAGTTCTAGGTAAGACACACGGAGGAGGGTTCATCTAGAGATTCTGAAATTTGTTCCCCTGTGTTTTCACTTTGCTAGTTAAAAATAGCTTTCACAATTTTGTTAGTTTCGTAAGCAGTATTGTGGAAACACCACGGGAGTGAAGTGGGATAAAACAAATCAGTATACCTGCAGTATGATCTAAGGATATTATGCGCTAACCGTAATTTGTCTTGATGTCCAAACTGCACAAATTATCATTACTGCAAACTATAGTATGCCTCCATAACAGAACCAGAAACTCATTGTGTCACACTGGTTCAATATGCCAAGGAAAACTGTAGTTACCATGAACAAGGATGTGAGGGAGGGAATTGGAACACCCGGGATGGTGTGCAGATTAGAAGTATACAAGTTCATAAAGCAAGTTCATGAATGAAACAGATCACTGTCTGAACTATTTTTTCTCACTCAAGTACAAGCTGCTCGTAGGGAAAATCTTGGAAAGTTTCTATTGTATATTTGTTCAGATGTCATAAAATAATCTCAGACTAGGTAAAACAAGGGACAGATTCTGAGACATGTAAAATTTTGTGGTACTGAGCAAATTAGCATCAAGAGTGACCTCAGTCCCCTGCCTACTACTTGGTCATTATTTGAAGTGCACTTTCTTTCCCATACTTGGCTGAAGTACTAAAGTCTGATATTCTGGAGAAGCAGCTGAAAATGTATGCTACCTTGCCAAACTGATTGTCTTAATAATGAGTACAAATAATTTAAAAGTGACAGTATTTCTGGAAGAAAGCAGTAAATATTTCTATTAAGAGGCTAGACCAAACTGCAGTTAAGCAATGCAGGAACAATGATAAATCATGTGCCCATACCTGTTTAGAAATTAAGGTAGAATCTCTCTCCCTACACAGTACAGATATGTTGCAATCATTCAGAAAGTGAAGTGCATCATCCAGCTCCGTTAACAACCTTTCATAGAGCCCACTTTTGTCAGCATATGGTCCACAATCTACCACAATCTCACAAGGCTGAGAAGTATACCTTTAACACAAACAAACAAACAAACAAACAAACAAACAAACTTGTCAGCCACATTTTAAACTGCTGTTTAAATGGCACAATTACAGATTTGGTAATTCTAAAAAGCTATATGGGCTGCACAGCAAAATACAAATTCAACCTGGTCTTACTTTATTGAAATAGGTTTAAAGAATGCTGTTGAGTGTTTAGATTAATTTTTATTTAAAACAACAACAAAAACAACAGCACACCAAGCATACAGATATCAAGTCACCTCTTCCAACATATTTTTTTATGAATGCTTTTCAACATAAAATTCAAAAATAACAAAATGTACCTGTCCAAAACCACTAAATCAGTTGCAGTTTCCGCACTACTCTTTAGAATGTTCTCCAATTTCTGAATCTTCTCTTCCAACTCTGCTGGATCACATTTCCCATTTAAAATGGAAGCTGTTAATCCTAAAATTCGGGGGCATGACGGACAACTCTCACAAAGCTGAAAAATAAACCAGAATAACCCACAAGGTTAAGTTTGCTCTTAAGTAGGATGGGGGGGGGATCCAAATCAAGAAAAGGATCCCAGTGGCGAACAGTGGCGTTCTGCACCTTCTTTTCCAGCATGACACAAATCCTAGAGGAGCAGAATGAAAGAGAGAAGAGGCTTACTGAACTCCTGCAGGGGGGATGAAAAAAAGAGTTCATGCCTCACACACACAAACCTGGTGACCCCAGAACTGGAATCGATCCTTCTAATATTTTGATATTTAAAAATAACAGGACTTTTGTTTTAAACAACAACTTTTCAAGTTAGTGCAGTAGGGTAACAGTTTTGAAGTCCTAAAGGTCATGTGATCCTAAATAAGAGAAAATTGATGTAGCTTCAATCCCTCAACGGCATGCTTCCAAAGGAGGAAGCCCAAGAACTCTGCAGAATCAGGTGCAAGCCCAGGTTCATTGATTTGTGCAATGTAATAGCTACTTAGTAAGCTCTCCTGGTGTTTCTGATTTAACTTTTGGCAATGAGAGGTCACCACAAATTTTCTGCCAACCCGTTCACTGGATAGTTTCAAGCAAGCCTGCCAACATTTAAAACAGCATCTAGTGCTCCACTTTTAGACCTCCTTGATGGAACATGTTTAATCAGGCCACTTCTACCTTCATTAGCCTCCTAAAACTTGGAGCAGGCTTCTGACTTTGTTAACCATTACAGTTGATGGTGACTGAAGAGAACTTCGAAATGTAAGAGGCACAACTATCCTTGCACACTGAGGACAAAAATAGTTTATTATTGACCATTCTGTCTGCACTGGCTCCGTTCCTTTCTTTTCCCAGTCACTTTGCAGCATCTGATGAGCAAAGAAATGCAATCCCTCCACCCCAATCCTTGGCAAGTGGGAGAACTATTTCCTCAAGGGAAAGCAGCTGGCACAAGAATGAGAGAAATACAGAGAAGGAAGCTTGGTGCACACTGAGTGCCCACATGGGGGTAGGAATGCAAGTCAAGGCGACAGAAAAGCACACACTTCAACCAGTGCTGCCTATTATGGTCTGTTCATTTATTCTAGTAGCAAGGGGGAGGTGGATATCCCCAATTTAGAGAGTAATCTGAAGGCCAGTCCAAAAACGGATAAAAATTAATAAATGCCAAGGTAAGTTAAATATTAATGCGTAATATGCAAACTCTTCAGTTTGCCTACTTATTTGTTTTGTCAGTGGTTAAAGCTATATAGACGGGTCACAACCTACCTGCATAATTTCTCGATAGGGGTGATCCTGAATTGCAAGATGGCACTCATCAAAAATAAGAAGATTAATGTTTGACAGGGATAAATGGTCATTTTTTAAAATATTCAAAGCGACACGACAGGTCATTACGAGAACCTGAAGAAAAACGAGATGGAAGAAAAAAACTGAATGTTATTTTATAAGATTTTTAGTCAGCATTAATAAAAATTAAGCATTCATTCTTCCCTCTATACAAAATGTAGGTTAAAACTAACAATTGACCATTCACTTGTACCTGAGACAACATTAAGTGAAGTGCATTTTAATTCTGCCCAAAGGCCACTCAACTGAAATAAAATATTCCATTTCCATCTACTCTAAGGAGCAAAGTAGACTTGTGAGCCTCTCCAGGAGCTTTTCTGGCTAAAGAGTGGGGTATAAATCTTTTGAACATGCTGCTCAGTAGTGACTCCCCATCTGTGGAATACTCTCCCCAGGAAAACACATCTGGTACTGGTTTTTAGGAGCCATGCTAAACATTTTAATCTACCCAGGTTTTTAGTGGTGAAGTAGTCTCTACTGTTGTGCTCATCTTTTAGTGGGCTGGGGTAGTACTGGAATATAGGTATGAAATGCCTACAGATGACCTCCATAGCATTTTATACCCCGCCCATCTGGCTGGGTTTCCCCAGCCACTCTGGGCAGCGTCCAACAAAATATTAAAATACAGTGGTCTGTTAAACATTAAAAGATTCCCTAAACAGGGCTGCCTTCAGATGTCTTCTAAAAGTCTGGTAGTTGTTTTTCTCTTTGACATCTGCGGGGAGGGCATTCCACAGGGCAGGTGCCACTACTGAGAAGGCCCTCTGCCTGGTTCCCTGTAACTTGGCTTCTTGCAGCTAGGGAACCGCCAGAAGGCCCTCAGTGCTGGACCTCAGTGTCCGGGCAGAACGATGGGGGTGGAGACTTTGCAAATCATCCTAAAAACAATAAAACCTTAAACTATGACGCTGGTTTATAATTTGCAGGGGCTTATGGTATATTAAAGCTATGGTTTTCCCTGTAGTGATGTATGGAAGTGAGAGCTAGACCATAAAGAAGGCTGATCGTCGAAGAATTGATGCTTTTGAACTATGGTGCTGGAGGAGACTCTTGAGAGTCCCATGGACTGCAAGAAGATCAAACCTATCCATTCTGAAGGAAATCAGCCCTGAGTGCTCACTGGAAGGACAGATCCTGAAGCTAAGGCTCCAATACTTTGGCCACCTCATGAGAAGAGAAGACTCCCTGGAAAAGACCCTGATGTTGGGAAAGATGGAGGGCACAAGGAGAAGGGGACGACAGAGGACGAGATGGTTGGACAGTGTTCTCGAAGCTACCAGCATAAGTTTGACCAAACTGCAGGAGGCAGTGGAAGAGTCGGACACGACTAAATGACTAAACAACAACAACAACATGGTATATCAATTTGCCTTACCTGATACTTAGCAAATTCTTGGTTCCATTTCTCTTTTGTCCATGCTTCAGTTATTTCCAAACTTGAATACTCTCCCACTTTGAGATCTGAATGCGTCCTAACAGTTGACACTTGCTGAGCAACTTGGTTTGCTGTATAGGGAAGAAAAAGTGGAATTTAGGCAGCAAAGCAACTACTTTGAAATGGGATTCCAACTGTGTACATGCAGTCATAGGGGTGATTCCATAGCAAGCATTTAGTGTGTGATTGTCATGCTTCATTCACTCACATTTTACAGGGCATCCATAAAATGCAGTCAACCAATCATTGTCATCTTTATTTTCTCTGTAATTCTTCTATTTTTACCCAACAAAACATTTTACTTTCAAAAAATTTTTTGGCATGGGGGCTGTGTTAAACAAGCTTTTAATTAGTGCTAGGTGGCCATGCTTTCTTTTTTTAATTAAAGAAACTGGTTAGGACCAGAATTAACATTCCTGTAGTATAGTGTTAACTGTAGCATAGCACCATAACACCTTAATACAAAATTAACATTATAAAATTATGGTACTACTTAATTTGAAAATGCTATAGTATTGCCCACTAATTTTATGGTACAGTTTGAACACTTATCCAATCCTTATCAATTATGTCCCGTACAAAAATGTGTATTACTTCCTTACCAGAGTTGACCAAGAATACTGTTCTTTTTCCATTTTTGTTAAAATCTCCCCTGATCTGATAAGACAGTTCTTTAATGAGTAGTACTGCAATAAAAGTCTTCCCTGAGCCAGTGTTTAAACAGACTATTGTATTATGATCCAGAGCTGCTTCCAGCAGTTCAACCTGTATTGGCAAATACAAAATGTTTTATTTATTTTTTAAAAAAAGAATCCTTAAAATTACATGTAGACAGGTTTCAGCTGACTCAATGCAAGACAATCCAAGACATAGATGTCTCTCTGATGTATCAGCCAAAGAAAGTCAATGAACTGCATACCTAAAACATCTAAAAGTCTATCTGACATTTCTCCTTCCACCCTGTGATATACCTTTTGGAATTTTTCTGTGAACGCTTTACACATGGAATAGTTGCAGTACAGCAAACTGTCATGTAAAGTTTTCAACAGGACCTTAAGATCCTTATCCCCTGAAATCCTATTCTAATGTAACTTTGTTGCATGGATGAGCTTACAGGAGTAGTTACACAAAGACTTCAGTATGAGCAACAAATGGCTTACCTAAATCAGCTCTAAAATATTTAGTATTCAAACCTTTAAAACAACTGACGTTGTGTGAATTTTTCATAAAAGTTGTAATTTGCCAGAATCGCTTTAAAATGCAGAGCAGTGTTCTTGAAACATGCAGTTCTGAAAGTTTTACTGAGCTCTTATTTATTTAGAATGCTTATGTTCCGCTTTATATCCCCATATATCCTCATCATCCCTGACCACTGGTCCTGTAAGCTAGGGATGATGGGAGTTGTAGTCCCAAAACATCTGGAGGGCCGAGTTTGGGCATGCCTGCCTTAAAGGCTCTCAAAGTTGTTTTAAGACTTCAAAATAAAAAAATCATACTTAAGTCTGATATCAGAACAGAAACATTATATGATGGCAGGATTATACAAGTGGCATTTCCTGCGCTCATCTTTGTTTTTTCTTGGTGTTTCCACATAGTCCCTGTCTACTAGGCAGTAGAGACCAGAAGAAGTCCTCTGAGGCAGGGGAGGGGCTGAGCAGCTGGAATCATTCAGCCCATGACAAAGGCAAGACACAGGTGACATATAATAATGATAATAGAAAAGAAAGTAGTTCCATTTATGCAAAGAGGAAGACTGCTTATTGTCACGGATGTTTCCTCACATATTTTTATTCACCCTTATTTATTTAATCTTCATCAAAGTAACAACTTCATGGTAAGACTATGAGCACTTTAATAAAATACACTTCTGTTTAGTCAAATATCCCTCAAGTGTGACAAGCTAATTGCTGACGCTATAATAAATTATCTCAGTAAGCCAAAGACGCTAGTGCTGATATCTTCACTGCTTCTAGTGTTAGCGAAGAAGAGAAAAGGGTCTCTTTTCACTGTGGTTCATTCTAATGGAAACGCATGTAAGACGGATACCAGCCTCATGGTCAGTCTCCAGGAAGCAGCCAGATTTCATTTTGCTTAACAAATATTAACATTGTCATTAGTACCTGGTATTTTCTTGGTGTGTAAATATTATCATGAATTGCTTCTTGTTGCCATGGAAGTCCAAAAAAAGGACCCATTGGTGAGGAAGCAGGGGTCATGAGTTGTAGTCCTGCCATGCTGAGGAACTGCAAAGCAGGGCTTTTCATTCATTCATCCAGTGTTTCTTTCATTGCATTTTTGTTCCAACACAGCTTACTGTGACGGGGGGAAAGAGCGTTGAAACCAGTTACTAATCATATCTTACAAAATAAAAATTACAACTTTTACAGTATGACTTTTCCACTCAGGTTTTACATTTTTAAATATGCTCATGGAATCTTTAAAGACAAACTACAGGCAATATTCCAGACTTAACGTATGATAAAATTCAGCTGAATACAGGCAGAATTGCTATCAATAGTAATAATAATAGAATAAAAGGAGTATTTGTATTGTTCTCAATGTTCAAAACGAGTCATATAAATCATATCTCACTGCAAGTGCTATGTAAATACTCACAACAGGTATGTAAGTAGTGCAAATGGGCACTAGGTAATGCCTAAAGTGGCTTGCCTAAAGTAACTTAGGGAGTTAGTAGCAAATATAAGATTAAACTGGCAAGCTTCCAGATCATTGCTCTTTCACCACTACATTATATGAGCTCTCCATCCTGGATAGATTATATTAATCACTTAAGGACTAACTCAACTATATTTCATGGACTTTCAACTTGAATTTTGCATACCTACCTCCTTATGGTCTTGTGCAGTACACCAAAGAATATCATATAACGTTTTTAAAAATCCGTAAATAATTGAAAGGTTATTTCCACATGCCACGGTTGGAAAATTGAGACCAAACAAGTAATGGAAAGCACCACAGATATACCCAGCAAACAAGGCAGTACCCACTTTCCCTACAATATGCTCATTCAGTGCAGTTAAATGAAGAGGAACTCAGATGATGAAAATACTTGTAATCCTGAGTTATACCTGTCCTTGCTATTCTCCAAATTAAACTGGAATGTTCTCTCAACCTATAGCACTTAACAGCAATTATTCCACTAGGTTCTCACTGTAGATTGCTATGGGCGGTGTGGGGGAAAGCCTCCATTTAATTGCACTTTGAAAAGATACTAATGCTATAAGCCAGTGGTTCCCAACTGGTGGTCTGCGGACCTCAGAGGCTCTGCATTACCCACCCAGGAGGTGTGTGGCAAAATTAACATAAAAACCACCACAGAGATATCAACATTTTCAAAAGTAGTGGTTCCACGACTTGGTTTTTGAAAAACAGGGGGTCCACAGTACCTAGCTGATTGGGAACCACTGCTATAAGTAGTTACTATTATTAATGTCAAACAATAACCAAACAATTGTGAAGTGATTTGAGAACTTATTTTAAAGAGAAATGTCCACAAACAAGTTCAAAATAGGTATCACCTCTAACTGCATTGGTGAAATTGCAGGATAAGCCACATCACCACCTTATCCAATCTCTGCCTAGAGTGCAAATTCTATGTGAAGGTATTGAGAGAAATAATGCTTGACAGGGGAAGATAGTTTGCAATTGCTTTACCCTACCTGATCCCTTAACTATTATTAAGATATAGGCCACACACTGGTAAATAGTGATATTAACTTCCAGCTGCCACAAGAATAGAGTTCATGGACTAAGCTCAATATAAAGTCATACATATATTTTGTGCTTTGCATTAGTTCAATTCTCTTTATACTGGTTTTGATTTTATTTTAAGGGGGCATTAACTCCAAACAAGTATGTTGCAAGTACTTAATTATACCAGTTTCCTCTGTACAGAAAAGAAAAGCTAGATATTGAAAAAGCTATGAACCAATAAACATAACCACAAAAAGTACTATCACCACTTTAATAATAAGTCGTATATAAAGTTTCAAAAGTAAACTCCTCAATTTAACACAATATAGATTGCTTTTTCAGAAACCCAAAAAGTTTTGTTTTAGAATTATTAGCAATATACAGCAATTCCAAAAAAATATGGGTGCTGCATGGGCCATTTCGTACGCGGATTTAACCTCTCTGGGGGAATCCGAGCTCAACAGGAGATTGGAGCTTCACAAAGGTGCTGTGAGCTCCGGGGAAAAACCCAAAAGGAAGTTTTGGGTGCTGGGGACCCAGCGGCACCCCTGACGTATCTCCCCAAAGGCAATCTATCCCGTAAAAGGGTTTGGAAGCTTGAGGGGATGGAGGCACGGGTGCGATGGGGGTCTACTCGCTACTGCTGTTGAGCGACGCCTCTGGTTCCGATGGCAAGCTGAAATGTTTGTGCTGATGGAACGATCAGAAGAGCCCAATGGTGAATTCCTCCCAATAGTCGTAAGAGAAATTGAGCAATGTGATTTGAAGTTTTCTTCCAAAGAAATGCCAGCATTATGTAGACTATTTAAAAAGATAGTGATTTCTGATTGAATTAGATACAGACTTACCATATTAGTTTCTGTGCCCTCTAAGTATATGTTCTCTGAACTGCATTTTGACACCATTATATCTGCTTCGAGGCTAACCACATTGCTGCTCAGCTCCTGCTCAATCAATATAAGAAAATTGTTAGCGAAGAGCTAAAATACTTTTGCATATATTAAGAATAAGATTCCATTCAAGATTTCAGTCAAAAGTGGATTTCTATTTGTAGTTTCTCTTTAGAACAATCAATTTATAATACTCAGATAACTGATGTACATAAACTGTGTTATTAAATTTGAAATAAAGTGTTATTAAAAACAAGAAGGGGTGGAGAGAAAAAAGTTAGTTCAATCCATCTTTGGATGTGCCAGCCCTCCCTGCAACCGAAAATGTCAGTTTTTGAGAGGGCTGTCAATGAAGAGGATGGAAAGACCCAAAGGAACTCCTGTACAAGGAGCCACATATGCAGGAAGGGGAGGAAATAATGCATTAAGTGACCATATTGACCCTAAACAGTTTTTGCTAGATTTGAGAGCTTTAAAGCTAAGTAAAGAAAATTATCATGGTAAGCCCTGTGTTATACCACAAATCCCTTGTATCTAGAAGCTGGGATAACAGAAGTTCCTGAATGAATATTCAGGACCACCCCAGTAAAAATGAAAAATATTGTTATTAAAAGGATAAACTCTTCAAGTTTTATTTTATAATGTTAATAAATTGAGTTATACAAAAATGGTGAACATGGCCAATATACAACAATAAACCAGCATAATTCTTCATTAAATAAAGACAAATATTAGTTTTAAGAAAGAGTCCTTTTTACATATGAAGCAGCAGGGATAATGGCTTCTACTCTTTCTACAGGTTGAGTAAGAACGTGTATATTTATACTTATCAAAATGACTAAAGCAGCAAGGTTCCCAGCCATTGTAGAAGATACATATAATCATTTTCTAAAATATGGATGCCATTTTTAAATAATTATCCTTGAGAATTTAATAAGATCATTATGCAACATTACATTTTAAACGTAAAAATAAATAAATCCAATAAATCCATACTGGTAAAAATCATCAAGGATTTGGTAACCACAATATAGAGTCAAAGTTTTACATTTTATGTACTGAATGAAAGACAATTTCCTACTCCTAATGAACTGTTCAGAAAGGGAAATAGTATGCTGATAGCAGGTCATTTTTAAAAGTTAAAACAAAGTCAGAATAAAAGGAAACAATCTTAATGAGTAAACTTCTAGCCCAAGTAGCATTTAAAAGCTAAGGAGCACCATAGCATTAAGGAGCACACGTTAGCATTTTTCTACCTTGAATCTTGATATTGAGCTTATCCAGAGTTTCCAAGCCTGTAACTTTGTTTCAAACCTAGATATCCTAGAAGGCAATAAAAAGACAGCACATTTTCAAAAACTCTAATAAAACCCAACCACACCATGCAATCCTTGCATTTTAATGTTTAGCTCTGGAGAACAGCACATTACCCTTCAAAAGTCCTTTTTGGCCAAGGATGCAGACAGTGAGCGTCTGAAAGATTAAGGGCCTGGACATATTAGCTTATTTTCTACTTTACCTGTTAAAACAATTGTTCACTAACATCAATTAGGTTTACAACTGGTTCTACTTCACTTTCTTTCACTATGAAAATGAAATCTTAGGGAAACTTAATATTCACTTTGGAGGAATTCGAAGTTGTGCTAAGGCAATCCTTCTGCCAGACAGAACGATTCCTACTGTCTTCCCCACTTCACACTATCTGCTGTTCTGGGGTTTCTCCTGACCCACCAAAGCCATTTGGGGGGCACGGGGGGGGGGAGCCCTGATACGCAAGGCGAGTTCCTTGTGCAGGGATTCCACTGACTGGATTCATTAGTTGAAAACAGCCCTATGTTATACGTTTTAGGGTTTTTTATGGTAAGATAGGGTTAAAATAAATTAAGACAATTAAATGACAGAAAATAGTGAAAGATGGAAAGGATTTGCTGAAATAATTAATAACTAGAATACAAAAAAGGGAGGTGTGAGGAGGTCGATGAAACAAGTTAATGAAAGATAAAGATATGGAAATATTGGATGTGTTTTTAATTGATTTTGCTTTTGTTTTGATGTATTGTGTTTTTTGTTTTATATATATATATGTATTGTAATGTATTGATTTGTATTGTTTACTTTTTCTTTTTCTTACTTTTTCCTGTAATCTTAAACTCTTTAATAAATATCATTAAAAAAAGAAAAAGAAAACAGCCCTATGTTATAGGGCAGAAGTGACTGGCATCCATTTTATTGCAAATTTCAAACACAACTTCCACATTATTTATTATACATACTGAGAAAAATGGCGAAACAGATAACCATTGCCCATTTGTGTGTCCTCATTGCCCATTTGTGTGTCTTCATGTAAAACAAGGCAGTGTATCAACAACCCTTTTTCCACTTCACTACGAGAACAGTACAGAAATCAATGGACACTTATTGGTTTTAAAAATTAAATGTTAATAGGCTTTTCAGTTTAACTGTTCTATTTCCCATGCATTTTAGCCAAGTGAAATCAAATTCTTAACAGCATGCTTCTAGTCTGTGTAGTCCAAAAACAGCCTATTTAGCAAAGAGCAAGACAAAATTCATCCACAGGAGTTGAAAAAGCAGTTCACTATCAGTGAAGAATATTGAGGCTATTATCAACAGCAGCTTTGGGGTGTGGGTATTCAGGTTCACATTGGGAAAGTACCAAAACAAAATATCCAGCCAGAACTGTTAATCTTCCTATCTCAGCTGTAACCCAGATCAAGGGGTGGCATGGAACACCATTACAATTTAGATGGTCCTTCTGCAATGAACATATCCCCAATATGCGACAGAAATTCAGCACACAGCATAACACACTATTTTGTGTCAGACTACACCATCTTCTTTCCTCATAAATTTATTATACCCTTCCCGCTAAAGCAGGATGGGGAACCTGTGGCCCTCCAGATGTTGTTTGACTCCACCTCCCATCATCTCCAGCCACCGTGGAAATGATAGTCCAACCAGACCTTGAAAAGTTTGCAGCAGATGGCTGCCCTTGCTAAAACCATGGTGAAACCACAGGAATCTCAGCTGTAGTTTCTGCCCAATGTTTCTGTAATAAATAGGTATGGTTATGCCAATGAACACAAACCTGCTTCCTTTTTCCACAGAACCTCTGCAGTTGCTTTCAATCCTGTAAAATTTCACTGAATTAAAACAGAATTTAGTCTTCCCTGGCAAGATAAAAGGTAATGCTGCCTTTCATTACAATCAGAACATTTGTCTGAACAGAAACATTTCATTGGTCTATCCCACCTTGACACTGGTAACTCATCACTTCAATCGCCAAAATATTTAAGATTAAGATGGAGGCCATTAGTTTTCCTCAAAAGTGGTGTAAACAGAAGAGTAGAAGTGTAGCTGACAGAAAAATATAAACTGGATACTGCTGCCCTCGGTGCAGCAGGCCCTTTCAGTTCCTAAGCTAACATACTGCTAGACAGGCTTCATGCAAAAGACTGAGCCAAGTTCTAGTAGGAAAGTGCAAGCTTACATCATATTACCATGTCAATTGTGTTGGTGCTCTCCTCTGGACAAAAGGCCTGTTGCAGCAGGCAGGCAGGCAGCCAGCTTCTGTTTGATGGTCAAAGTCATATACCATTTGCCAGGAAGCATAGCCTCACAGCAGCAATACTCCTGGTCCTAAAGCAGCACCACTCACCAGTAAATTTACTTTACAGATAAAGATCCAATGTAAGGAAAAGGAATATCTGCTAAGTACGGAGCATGCTGTTTTCCATTTTAGTTCTTTATGCAAGGAGAAAGATTGTGTGACCACAGTACGTACAAAGCGATGTGTGTTATATAAATGTGTTTTTATTTGTGCAACTGCTAGTTTAATCCTAGCATACATGCCCAATAATACTAAGTCCTATGCTCTAAGAATATTGTAAAAGTTAAAGGCTCCATATTGCTTCTTAGTGCTGGTCTTTTAAAATGCAGACACTGAAATTTGGCAACTCCTTAGTTTGAAGTATAATGAAACCTACTTAAATTTTAGAATTCCAAAGCTATCAAAGTTTAACAGTAAAAGCTTTTTTAAAAAATGCACCGGATTTTTCAGGATGCAATTACTTTCAAATAATAATGCGAAATATGAGATTTTGAACACAAAAACTATCTAGAAATACCTTTAACACTTTCCCTCCAACTGTTAAATCATTCACTTAAGGAAAAAAAAGGTGATAAACCAAACTGAGACTAATCTTGCAGTCAGGTCTGCAGAGTCAGTTTTTTCCATACTTTATAAACTTAGGACTCACTGATATAAGCTTCCTTTTCCATAACAACACTAGAGGCAAATGGTAGAGCTGGGGTCTTTTCAGAGCGTCAACCATTTTTTACTTCATGGGAGCATAGCAGCTGCCTATGTGTGGTTTCCAGACACAAGATTTGCATAAATGTAAATCATATACTTCTCTTTTCTACACTACTGAGTTGGAGCTGGCAAACTGCCAAACTATTCAAAGGAAATGTGTGTTCAACTCATTAAGGAATGGCTGTGCCACATTTCTCACCAAGGAAGCCCTTTAAACAAGCACTTTCTATGCAGACATCATCAGCCCTAGCTAATTTTCTTAAACATGGGCTTAAATGGCCCAGACCTGTAGAATGGCATGGGTCTTGAAACTTAGGAAGCTCCCCCCCCCCAAACACAGTACCCCTCCCCTACACCAACTGGAAAGCTTCCAGCTCCAGAACAACCTCCAAGAGATCAAGCCAGTTACAGCTCATGGATGTTTACTGCTCAAACCAAGAGTCTTCTGCATACAGCTGGAGAAGCTTGTATCAACTGCAATCTGGATGCTGAAGAATTCCCGAGTGAACTCACTTGGGCAGCTAATGTGAGCAAATCTAGCAACTTCTGGAGGCCAAAGGCAACTTATAAATTATCTTCTTCTACAGGGGAAACAATATCCACTGTTGAGGCCTGAAGTAACATACATATAGCACATGGGTCACTAGAATAATTCTCATAAGGCTCCCAATTTTATAAGGCACTTCAAAAGTTTACCGTAAAGGAGCTATAATCATATCTTGTCTGGAGACTAAAGATATTGTCACCATTCCCCATTCTACTGGTTGTATCAGGGCAGCAATGGCGTCTCGGTCATTCATTCCCTGAGATAAAACGGTGAAGTGCTAGAAACTAGGATAGAAACACCAAAACAGTCTAGTCGCCACTAGGGGGGCAGGTCGGCAACACTTTATTTCTTATTTTGATAAGCATGAACTCATACACAATTCACATAAGTGACACATTGATAACACACATTTTTAGCAGAAATTGTTAATACAAGTTTAATTTGATGTTGACAATAAAAATATTACTTCAGTTTTCAAAACACTCTACTTTATTGTTAAACTCCTTAACATATACATATACATTTGAAAAGTGAGTTCAGCATGTTCCTTAAGAGCATAAGTCATGAAAACTTCTTGCATGAAAGGACGGTCAGTCTACATGTGGAAGCCTTTTTCCATATCCAGGGGATCTATCCAAATGGTTGCCACTGACTTCAGACCTCTGTTCATTTCCTTGCGCCAATTTGAAGGAAATGTGCTTTAAAGTTTATTTTCCCACATTTTCTTTCCTACAGAAATTTTGCCAGTGCATTAATTATATTATTTATATATAATTATATACATTTATGTGTGAAAGCAACATTTAGTATATTTGGTGCCAGGCCATTCTGTTGTTAATTTTCAAGGTACAGGGGAAGACTTTTGTTTCAACTGTAGCATTTAAAGCAGCCTTTACCAACCTGGCTGGAACTGATGTAATAGTTATAGTCCAGAGCCTAGTTTCAAGAAAATGTGTGTTGTTAGGTTCCAGCTGCAATCACATCGTTCACTTTATATACCTCTCAAGCACTCCTAGCTGTGCTCTTATAGGCTGTTAAACAATTTCTTTGAATACAGAAAGTTTGTTGTAGCACTTCCAATTACTGGATGGAGGTTTATTCCACATGCCTAATTAAGCAAGATCAGAAAAGAAATGTATTAAATGGCTCTTGCCCTGTAAAGGTTACATATGATTGAAGAGAGCAAGCTCACTCTCACGGATTTAGTTTAGCTGGGCCCACTTACAGCTAAACTATCAGAAACCAAATACAGGATGCAGAATACCAATTTTGCATTGCCATCACCCACTCAAGTAGTTTCAGCTAAGGTTAGAAGCATGTGAATAATACTCCTAATTTGGAAACACTGACTAGTTCTCTGCTTCTCTCCAATATATCTCTTGGGTTCTAGATTGCAACCACCAGAGTTCATGAACTTGTCATGACATTCATTGTTTTGCTTCAGATAAAAGCATCTTCTAAAACCACCACCGTAATTTATTGATCTGTCCACTTTGTGACAGGATCAATCTTGTGGAATTTCTAACTTCCCCTTGAAAGAGGAATGGGGAGCCTGTGACCCTCCATATGCTGTTGGACTTCCATCAGTCACAGCCAACATGGCCAATGGCCCAAGATGATGGGGGTGTAGACCAGCAACATATGGAGGGCCACATGTTCCCCATCCCTGCCCTTTTTTTAAAAAAATGCCTGCTTTGACAGTATGATTATTATATAAATGATTACCGGTACATTTATTATTACATTTATTACCTGCCCTTCACCACCAAGACTCAGTGCAGGTTACAACTATTTAAAATTCAGTATTAAAAACAGTTAAAACTAATCACAGGACTATGGTAATGTTCACCAAGTTACTACTGCTGCCAATACTTCTTGGCTAGGAGCATCAACAATCAGAAAGAATTGTATCAAGTCTAATAAGCCATTCTGAGGCATTACTATTTTTTTAATGATATCCTTTGCAACATGTGCCCGATTCAGCAAGGGACTATACAGACAGAGAAGCAGGTATATTCATGCATATCCTAAGCTGGAGGGGAAACTGAATGCATGGACAGGGAAACTGCTGCACATGATTCCCCAGAGCAGTAGGAGCCACTCTTACAGAGAAAGGGATGGCCAACTGAAGTTGCGTCCAGTCAAGAATGGCAGGTGAGGGCAAAGTTTGAACAGTTCAGCCTCACCTCATCTCATCAACCTTTCAGATAAAGACATAGGCAGTGGAGAGAATTGAATAATACCTATAAATTAGAACGTAACCGGAAGGATGATCAATTTTTTGGATGAAACATGTTAAAAGGCTGAGGGCACATGCCCTCGAAGGAAGTAATATTAAAAATATTAGCATGAAGACAAGTAGTTCTAGGTTGCATTAGAACTGCTATTTAGATATCAGGATATTGATTATTCTAGTGATGTTGGATATATTGCCCAAAGTATTGTGGAATCCCCTGTGCTGCATAAAAATAAGGTTTGGATAAGCGATAACTTAACACCAAGGAAGAAAAACTTGCACAATACCTAGAAGAAGAAGATGGTCAGAATCCCTAATGTTATAAAAGTCTCAAGATTTCAGGTAATTTTCCATAAATATGCACCCCAATCTAGCTACGGGCTCTCAGATACACAGGAAGTAGCTCAAAGCACAAAATAATTTATGGGCTCATTCAAAGGAAGGGCAGGGTATGAATTTAATAAATAATAGTCATAAGATGGGTCAAGTGTTCTAGCCCTTATAATATTGAAGCTCTCTGGTGTCAGGTATACTTTTTGTTGTAACTGAATTTCTAGTAGATATCCTATTTCATTGTGAGTCGCCTTGAGTTCCTTCCAGAAGAAAAGTAGAATACAGATTTTTAAAATAAAAAAAATTATTTGACTCTCATACCCAAACTTTCTAACTAAGGTACACAGTTAATAAAAGGTGAAAAAATTATACGATCTGAAGAGAAACCAGAGTTCAAAGAAATAGTTAAAAGGACTAATCATTTCTGGTTGTGAAGTCAGCTCAGCAATTATTCTTTTGGCATTCTTAACATTGCGGCAGTGTCATAACTGATCTCTGATGGTTTTAGAGTTTGACTTGTTGAAGAATCAGCTTCCATTTAATATATTTTCAGTAAATGCTAAAAGGCTTATTTCAATTTGGGGAGGATACAATCACACAGTCCTGATAGATAGTTCTGACTGTAGTGCTGACAGCACCTGTCCACCTCCACCAATTCATAGCACTAGCAATTACATCCACTTCTCTGCAGTTTACATTCAAATACTATGGCTCTTATGGGGTTGCCAGTTCTAGTGACAGGGCATTATATCAGCATAGAAAGTAGGCTTCTGGATAGTTTCCTCAAAAAGAAGCTTTATAACCTCTTCCAACCTTCACAACTTGCCCTTCAAGGTGTAGAATTGTACAGTAGTACCTCAGGTTAAGTACTTCATTCGTTCCGGAGGTCTGTTCTTAACCTGAAACTGCTCTTAACCTGAAGCACCACTTTAGCTAATGGGGCCTCCTGCTGCCGCCACGCCGACGAAGAACGACTTCTGTTCTGATCCTGAAGGAAAGTTCTTAACCTGAAGAACTATTTCTGGGTTAGCGGAGTCTGTAACCTGAAGCATATGTAACCTGAAGCGTATGTAACCCGAGGTACCACTGTACTCTGAGGGACAAATTACACATAACATCAAGAGTGGTGAACCTGTGGCCCTGAATATATTGTCAGACTCATTTCCATCAGTTTCACTTGGCATGGTCAATAGTCAAGGATGATGGAAGATGAAATCAAACAACTTCTGGAGGACCATCTGTTCCCCATGACTGCTTTACAGAGTTGCCTGCAACTTTTTCCTTTCCTTTGTAACAAACATGGCATTTGAAATTGCAGTTAGGAAAAAAGAAGGGCATTAATTAACCCTTTCTCTGTTAGTAATTTTGCCTTCCCAAAATTGCCTCACCAATCAAGCTTCTTTTCCCCATGGGAAAAGAATACAGGGTGGCAGCAGCAGAAATAATGGTGCAGAGATTCTTATCAGGCAAAGGGTGAAAAGACAAAGGTCTTGAAGCAGCAACAAGTGTCAGGGAACGGGAATCAGAACTGTAGAGTTGGAAGGGACCCTGAAGGATCATCTAGTCCAACCCCCTGAAGAATTAATTCCTCTTCCCCAGCAGTAGCAATGGGCACTTTTGTTAAAGCTGTGAAATTTCACTTATCCCTTAAGTTCTTTAAAGGTGATAGCTGGTACTGTATATTGAAGAGAATGCATAACATACAATTAGCAGTGAATCAGGATAATACTTGTAGAGTGTTACCAAGGGGCAAAATTGCTTTATTGTTGCTTGGATGAACAAAGAACCTCATGAAATGTTACTGGATCACTATTCCATAGCAAACTATTGAACGCACAGCCCAAATATAATGAGCATGAAGAGAGCTAGCTTCTTCCCATTACTGAGACTGTAATGGGCCAAGATTATACAGAATATAAAATACTACCTCTGCATCATGTGATCAGTGTCTCCTTACACTCATCTAGAGCAGAAAATTTGCTACAATACATCAAGGGAATTCTGCTTTAAAAATCATGCCTTTCAAAAGATTACTCTACCACAGTAAAACATCCAGTTTATTATTTGGTGTTACTTAAAGCTTGATTGATACAGTAAACAAATCCCCACCACCACCTTGCCCTTACTATGAAGTTACAATTCCAATCTTCTCATGGAGCCATGAGGGAAACATTAGAAGCAGCAGTGAATAAAATTCACATCTTTTGCTCAGTTGCAAACAGAGGGATGAGAAGGGAAAATGTATTTATTCCAAGAAAACTGAGTTAATTTAAAGTGTGTGTGTGTGTGTGTGTGTGTGTGTGTGTAAAAGAAAGAACCCTCCTGTTATCCCAACAATGCCAGAGACAGACAGCCGGAACAGACGTGAGGCAGCAGCGTGCACAGGAAAAATCGAGGTTACCAGACATCTCTTATTTATTCTAGCCTCGTTGACATGGATCAATGGCAGTCACTTCAATTCAAACCCCTGTAAGCCCACAGTGTTATAGTGAGACCCCTTATTTCTTGGGACATTGTGTTCTGGTAATCCTAAAGGACAATGGATGAAGTAGGACAAGGAACTGGGAGGAAAAAAGAACATGCCTGCGAAAGCCCATTTCTGCTGCTGCTGCTGCCCTGCTATGGCCCACACAATTGGCTGGGGTGGGAGACAAGGAAGCACATCTAGCTGCTCTCTTAATGCAAAGTGTGGCAGCCTCATGAATTATACCCGTAGGAGCACATGGGCACTGAACACCCCTCCCCTCCACAGCCTGATCCATACCTCATTTTTAAAAAAAGAAAATGGAGAGAGAGAGAAAAAGAGTCTCACAGACTCCAACAAGACTTGTCTCCACAGGAAGCAAATGCTTTATCGAGCACCACCATTCTTTTTAAAACAATAAAGACACAGGATGTTTTATTTGGCATTACTGCGGGTGTTTAAGACAGAAATGGGCCAGTAGCACGGGTGCTTTCTCGGAACTGCTGGGTGAAACTTATAAGCTGCATCCAACGTTCATCACGCTCAGCGCACATGGCTCACATGGGCCCCGTTAATATCAGTGGATCTACTCTTGAGAAAGGAACGCAGCCTTAAGGGGGAAGCATTTCAGATTCATGGGCGGGTGGCCGGAGAGGGAAGAGCATTTGATAAAAAATAAAATAAAATAGAGGAAACGTTGGAATTCTGAATCCCTCTCCCCTCTGGGACTTCGCAAAACTGAAGAAAGCGGGATATCCCCGGGGAGACAAAGAGCAGCGGGAGGAAGCTTGCTGCGCGTGGGGAGGAGGAAATAAAGCGAAATAAAGGCGACACGGCCGCCCACCCCCTTTAGGGAAACGGAAAGGAGGCGGATTAAGCTGAGCGGAGGCCCCGACCGCGCCGCCTGGGCGAGACAGAGACAGACACCGGGAGGGAGAAAGCGAGGCTGAGAGGAAGACAAAGGCGCCGTTCCTCCACCTCCTCCTCCTCCCACCCGGCGGCGGCCCACAGCTCCGCTGAGGGGAGGAAAAAAGGGAAGCCCCCCCCCGGCAAGTGCTGGGCTCCAGGGCAGGCCCGTTGAGGAGCAGCCAAGCGAAGGAGGCGAGCGGGTTGTGAGGGAAGGAGAAGGGCCGGGTGGAGCCTCCTACCTGCCAGGCGGGACCCAGCCTGGAGCTGCCCCGGTTACAGGCGTCGCCTCATTATGCCGCTGCCGCTCCTTCCCCCGCCGCCGCCGCCATTTCGCCGCCTCCGCCTCTTTTAACTGTCAGGCTCCTCCATTCACCTGGGCCCGGTTAGGACAAGCCTCCTCCCCGCCCCTGCCTACGCAAAAGGAGCTCCACCCTCCTCCGCCTATAGGGCCCGACTCTGCGCTGCTGGCGCAGAAGCGTTCCGAGAATCCGGGACTCGCCGCCGCCTTCGCTATACGTAGACCAGCGCACAGGAGAGAGAGAGCGAAGGAGAGAAACCACACTCGCCTCAGTCTGCGCCGATGAAACGGCGGGCGCGATTGGAGAGGAGGGCCGGGTGAGAGGTGAAAGGTGGAGGGGCGGACCAATCGGGTGGCGGGAGGCAGCGTAAACGGGCGGGGGGGCTTCGCTTGGGCAGAGGCTCGCGTGCGCTGGTGGCTGCGGCGCCGGGTTGCGAGAGCGCTCGCTTAATGAAGGGCGCGCAAGGGAAGCCCTGCTGGGTCAGTCCAGCAGCCCATGGTGGGAAACCCGCAAGCGGGACCCTATGGCTTCCAGCAGCAGTTATTGGGAAGCATTGCTGTAGGTTGACTATGTGCTCTGCCCTGAATCTGCCAGCATTCAGCTTGACTTGCATGGATGTCCCATGAGTTCTAGTCAGCGTTCGAAGCTGCCATTGTTCCAAGGTGTATTTTGCGCCTGAGATTTTGAATTTGAAACTGCAGAGTGGGAGAAAAGGGGGAGCTTTTTCTGCCTCCCCACCTACAGCTACTCTCTGAAGAAGAGACCCTCTTAAAAATATTGGGGTGGGCAGGGGAAGGACCAGACCATGTGGAAAATGAACATAACATTTATCTGCAGTTCATGCATTTTCAGCTTTGTATTCTAGTTATATAAAAAAGCACGCCTCGACATTCCGTTGTTGCGCCCATAACCTAGGTTCACAGCATAAAAATTAAAAAAGCAGCAAAAAACCATAATAAAATAAAAAAACCAACCCATAACCCCACCCCAGCCCATTTTTAAAAGGACACCCTTGCCTTTTCTCTAAACTGAACATTACTGTTGTTGAAGCCTGTGGGAACAAAAGAGCCAGTTCCATTTTGGCGACATCCTAAATGGGCCCTAAATGGAAATACTTCTCCCTCATCCCCACAAGGTACTTTTAAATATTTCTTCCAGCCTTTGAGATTGGATGGAGATAGAAATTCTCCTATCTGGGATGTCCTCTCCCACTTAGCTTGGGAAGCTCAAAAGCCAGACCTTAGTGCAACAGTGCTTTCCATATATGTGATTCCTGCCAAGCAGCATTCAGAGGCATACTGCCTCCAACCATGGATGTAGAAAATTGTTATTGTGGCTAATAACTATGAATTTTGGTTGATAAAGGAATTATAACATTTACTCTAGCTTTCTGTTTATTCCTAATGAAGCAGCATAGCTACCAACAAGGTGTGTGTGCATTCCATTCTTAAAATGCCCTTCATTATATGAAGGTATGTTCACATGCTTAATAATAATAATAAATTTTATTTGTACCCCGCCCTCCCCGGCCGGGGCCGAGCTCAGAGTGGCTAACATCATATAAAGAACACAGTATACATAAAAACAGGCATCAATTAATTAAAATACATCTTAAAATTAATTCAGACAAATTAAAATCTGGACAAACGGCAGTTATCGGGTTAAGATTTAGAGCAGTTAATACTTGCCAGGACCAACTGTTTTCACTGATCATATAAGGACCTGTGAACAGGCTGGGAGGCCTCCTTCATGATTGTTCTTATACAAAGGAAAAAGGTCTGACTGCACCCTGGCCAAAGGCCTGTCAGAACAGCTCCGTCTTGCAGGCCCTCCAGAAAGATATCGAATCCTGCTGGGCCCTAGTCTCTTGTGGGAAAGCGTTCCACCAGGCTGGGGCCACAGCCGAAAAGGCCCTGGCTCTGGTCAAGGCCAGTCTAATTTCCCTGGGGCCCGAGATCTTCAGTGTGTTATTGTTTGCAGATCTTAAGCATGCTTATTCAAATACAGGTTATTACTGCATACCAGGGGGTTGGACTAGCTGACACTTGGAGTCACTTCCAATTCTACAATTCTAAGAATCTGGATCCCATTCTAGTCAATGGGGCAGACTCCCAAGCAAATGTACACAGGACAGTACCCAATAAATTTACCTACTCAGCCCCTAAGGGACCAGTACCCTGATCCTAAATATATTTACTTGCAAAGCAGAGGCTCTCCTCTTCAAAGCCTTCTGGTGCAAGCCCCTCTCTATACAAATTTTAAACTGCAGCCAAACCCACTTAAAAGTGACAGGTCAAGGCAGGAATTTAATCACCCTTTTCTTTTTTGTCTGAAATTCTACTGTAAAATGGAGTGCCCCTATCTTATGAGCATCAAGAATTTCCTAGTATCCTGATTTCCACATATGCCTAATCAGTTGTTAAGTGGGTCAAAGTGATTTTGTTTCAGATTGCGGGCTGTATATGTGGCATGTGGCATCTATCCTTGTAGATTTGTTTTGTTTTTGAAGCTTAAAGCAGAAAAGGAATTTACAAATGAAACAGACCAGAACAGACTCCAGCAAATACTCAGCATTGGGGAAACAAAACACAATGACGGAAGCAAGAACTTAATAAAAGATCAAGCACTTGGGAGTGTGTTTTATTTGTGTAGGTCCCCTCCACAATTTAGAACCCCAGCAGAAGTCTGCAGGAAAAAAAAGTTTAGATTTGGGGAAGGGGCTCTATCAGTCGCAACTTAGAAGATATGTGGACTAAAGATCATTTGAGGGGGTTGAAAAGGATTTGACAGCTGCTTCCAACGACCATACTATATACTGAGCAGTTAGCGTTCCTTCCTTCGGTTCATGAGATGAGTGTCAAGTCTCATCTTCAGCTGTCCTGAGGCCTCTAAAATTCCAGTGTCTTATCCAAGGGAACATAAATGCCTTAGAACTCCAGAGTGGAAAAAAAATATTTTAGATTCCATACGCCCATATTTCTGTTAAAAGAGCCACATGTAAACATTAAAATCTCAATTACTCAGTGGCAAGAGTTGCTACCTAGTAAAGGCAAGAATGATACTGTTAAATTGTGCATTTATATGTTTCTCATTATTTGATATCAACCAATGGCTTACATAGGAAACGGTAAGGGGCTAGCAACGTGCTTGTTGCGGTGGAAAGGCTTCTAAGCTAAATTTATTTTCTATTAAAGAGCCATTTGAAGTACATCGTCCAATCTCCTTAAAAAAACCCCATGCAATTTTAAAGGATTATAGTACTATTTAGCATTTATATGATGTTTATAGTGTTCAGAGCACTTCATATATGTTATTGCAGTAATCTTGTTTGGATAAAGGAGAGGTTATAAAACAGCCAGCTTTCTATATAGACAGACAGAAGAACAAGAATAATCACTTGGGGAAGGGCCACCATAGCTTAATGGCAGATCACATACCTTGCCCACAAAGGGTCTTTGTTTTACTCCCCAGCATCTTCCAGTAGGGCTGAGGAAGACTCCTGCCTGACACCTGAGCCACTGCCAGCCAGTGTAGCAAGGCAGAGGTGGGGAACCTTTGGACCAGAGGATGCTGCGTCACTTTCATCAGCTCCAGCCGGCATAGCCAATGGTCAGGGGTGGTGGGAGTTGTAGTCTAGCATATCTGGAGGGTCAAAGGTTCCCCATGCCTGAGATAAGGGCTGGGAGATCTGTGGCCCTCCACTTGTTTTACCTACAACTGCCATCATTCCTGACCACTGGCCATGCTGGCTGGGACTAGGGGGCTTTGAAACTAAACCAGGGACTCAGCTATACAGCTGCAAATGTGTTGTAAAGTGCAATATACAAATGTGACACTAGATAGCAACAGTGAGCTATGTCAAATTCAATGTAGTTTTCATAACTTTGTTTTTAAAAGCATTTTCACAGCATTTTTAATATGCGTGTAGAAGATTCCACCCAGATCTGGAGACCTGCAGTTCCTCACCCTTAGTGTAGACAATGGTGAGCTAGATCAGGGGTCTGCAACCTTTAAGACAAAAAGAGCCACTTGGACCTGTTTCCGAAGGGGAAAAAATCTGGGAGCCGCAAAACCATTGCGACATTTAAAACAAATATATCTCCGGAGCCGCGATCTGACAGCGGGCAGGAAGGTGACGTCAGGACGGTGCATGACTAACGCACGCACCGCCCCCATGCGACGTCACAGCCAGTACAGCGCCCGCCACAGTGGGGAGTGTCGGGGCGCACAATGCGCCTCCCCCCCTCGCTAGTATCCGCCCCGGAGCCGCGGCAAAGGTGTAAAAGAGCCACATGCGGCTCCGGAGCCGCAGGTTGCAGACCCCTGAGCTAGATGAACAAGTGGTCTCACTTGGTATAGGGCAGTTTCCTGCAGTCCTAGGAACAAGGATTGGGTAAAGGCTATGAATAACCACTGTTTCCATGTTGCTAAACAGTGTTGGTTTTATTACATCTCCTTTCCTATCTGAGCAGAATGCTGGTTATTTAAGAATGTATGTTCTGCAAATCAAAAAGAAGGGACATGTTCTAGGAAAGGGTATGTGTAGTATTACTAGTATTTATTTATTTATTTATTTATTTATTTATTTTATTTATTCAATTTATATACCACCCTTCATCATAAGATCTCAGGGCAGAATAAAATACAGCATAAAAACAAGTAAATAATTAAAAACAAAACAGCAAAACAATACCTGCCCTTGCCACAGACACATTTAAAAGGCTATAGAATATTAATCAGCCTGATTGAAGAGGAGTGTTTTTGCCTGGCACCTAAATATATATATAATGAAAGCACCAGGAGAGAGCATTCCACAAATGGAGAGCCACTATTGAGATGGCCCATTCTCGTGTTGCCACCCTCTGAACCTCACATGGAGGTGGCACACAAATAAGGGCCTCAGATGATGAACGGGACGGTTTATATGGGGAAAGGCCTCCACCCCGTTCAACCTACCAAGTAGAATTCAGCCCACCATGAGGTCAACCTCCTGTTGCTACTGGTTGGGGCTGCAAAAATGGAGGCGTGCCAAAGGGACAGGTAGGTCTCAAATTATGGCTGGAGGATTGTGCTTGCCTTGGTGGGTCACGTGTAACTCACACTTAATGAGGGAAGATGGGGAAAAGTAACCAGGCTCACAGACCTCAAAGGAAGCTCCTGCTGTCCCACAAGAATCCTGCAGCCTGCCCACAAGCTGATGCCCTCCACATGCTGTGGGAGTACAACTCCCACCATCCATTGACCATGTTGGACGGGGCTGATGGACGTTCTTCCAATACGGGAACATTGGAAGACTCAAAAGTCCGGGTGCAAATGTGCTCTAATCAGTGCTGCACCAGAAGGGAGCCTCTTGTGTTTCCTACATCTGAGCCACAGATGTACCAACCGTTCTGTTTGCAGATAAGATGCTGGAAGACACTTATTTTATTTTATTTTGCATTCATCTAGCACTTTGAGCTGTACCAGGTGGGACTGCCAAAGCCATTCTTTCGTCCGTTTCCGAAATTACGCCCGCTTCTTCATCGCTGCTCGGGTACTAATCGCTAAAGCTGTAAAGTATCTCTGGTTCATTCCAGGGGCATCGTTCTGCTCTCCGTGGCTGGAAGAAGAATTATGTCCTGTGAGGAGACCGAAGGAAGGGGAGCAGCTGTTCTGCTGTACGCCGTGGGAGTTGGTCAGAACATGTGAGGCCGTGCGTCTGCTTAGGTCAGGCAAATTTTGAATTCTTCAGTGTATTTTTAAAGTAAAATATAGCAGCAAGGTGGGAAGAGTGGGGGAACTCACACAAACCCCAAGACTAACCCATGCAAGTGCTTTGCAGGCTACCATCAAAGGACGTGGTTTATCATGATGTGCAGGAAGTTCAGATAAAGGCCAACATGGAGGATTTATAGACCCATGATAAAAGACGTGATAGGGAGATGAGGATTATTTAAGGGTGCTCCTCTATTCCTCCTGCCTCATTGCAGAAGGAAGTGGGTTTGAAGAGGCCGTGGACAGAGACTACCTCCTCCATCCCAGTGCTTTAACCAAGTGAGAGTGGGTGACATCAGGAGCATCTGGTTGTTGACTCTAAACTGCCATTTTAATTTTCCACTATACAGTGGTACCTTGGTTCTCAAACTTAATCTGTTCTGGGAGGCTGTTTGACTCCTGAAACCGTTCGAAAACCAAGGTGCGCCTTCCGATTGGCTGTAGGAGGGTCTAGCACTCAAGCGGATGCCGCGGGCTTCCAAAAAACGTTCAAAAACCAGAACGCTTACTTCCGTGTTTTTGGCGTTTGGGAGCCGATTTGTTCGACAACTAAGCTGTTCGAGAACCAAGGTACCACTGTTTTTTGCCTTCAAGGTGTTGGGAAGGTTTGATGTGGTAGGCCTTGCCAGAACACAGGGCACGTTTCTCAACCTGAAAAGCAATTTAGTTCAGAGCAGGTAAATTCACTATTACAGCAGGGATCGTGTTAGAAAACTATAGGGATGGAAAACTTCTGTGCTTCTTACAGAATCTAATAATACTTTAGGCGCCAAGCAAAAATGTTCTTCTTCAACCAGTCCTTTGGCTGATTAACATCCTATACCCTTTTAAATGTGTTGTGGGAGGGAGGGGGCTCTTTCTTGTTGTTTTTGTTATGTATTTTGTTTTTATCTTGTGAGCTACCCTGAGATCTATTGATGAAGGGTGGTATGCAAATTTAATTTAATACTACTACTACTACTACTACTACTACTACTACTAGTAAGTGTGGCCTCATTATTTCCCCAATGGAGGCTCATCACTAGGCTCTGCTTTTTCTGGGAGTACTCAAGAGTATGCAGAACCCCCCCCCCCATGTTAAAAGTGTGGCACTTATTGTAGCAACTTCATGTCAATCAATCAAACTTCAATCAATCTATCAGTCAGTCAGTCAGTCAAGCAAGCACTGAGTAGGCATGACTAGAACCAGGGGTGGTTGGGGCCTAGGCTATTCTCTTTTTCTCTTTCTTTCTCTCTCTCCACATACACTTATGGGGAATGGAGTGTTCATTTTTACAGACATGACTCTTTACCCCATCATCACAATACATACATAAATTTATTTGTATGCCACCTTTCCATAGTTAAATCCATGCTCAAGGCAACTTACAACATGAAGGGGGGGGGGAAATCACATAATTACAAACATAGTAAAAGTAGTCATAAACAATAAATAAAACGTCAAAAGTAGACAACGAAATTGAACCATTACCACATAAATCATAATAAGATCTAAAATAAAAATACAAAAAAAATAATGTCAATAACGGCAACAACCCCCTCCCTTAAACATTGCCCCCAGCCCAAGTGTGTGTTCAGCAGCCTCAGCTTTTGTAGCTGGAGTCAGTCCTCTCAGATCAGGTGGGGAAGGCCAGCAAGGCAGGGAGCAGGTCTTCCAGGACATAGCCAAGATCTCAACCACACTCCCTCCCAGCTCACCTAACAGTTGGGGGGGGGATTGGAGGTAGGACACCCCCGTTGGCCACACTAAAGGCCTCTGAAGACCGCATGATTACCATCTGTAAACTGGGAATTTTTAATTATGTAAAATGATTGGAGGTGTGTGCACTTATATCTCAAACGTGGAAGAGAGAAGGCTCTCTCTAAGGTACAGGCTCTTTGGTTCATTAATTTTAATTGGGCTTGTTCTGGCTTGCAGGCTCAATTTGGCAGTGACGCTGAGTTCTGAGTGTAATGCAGCAACTAGGTGCAGGTTGCTTTTTGTATAGCTTGTTCTTGTTGTCCTTCTCTCATTCTCCTGTCGCTTTTGCAAAAGGTCAGTGCCTCCCACTTTGTAACGTTGGTTTTTACAATGCCAGCCTGAATTTACAGGCTCTAGATGTCCGCTTCAGGAAACTCCTTCCCGAAAAAGAAGAGTAAAATCAATTCTAGCATTGAGCTGCATCGAGAAGTCTGTAAAAGATTAAAAGGTCGCAGAACATTAACCAAATACAGCGGGAGCCTTATCCCTTGAAAGAACGTGCCGTGCCTCTTGTTAGTGTGGGCTGATTGGAGAGGGAAATAAAATCAAAGGAAAGGGCATCTAATGTCTACGAGGAATCAATGACAGGACAACTTTGTGCACAGAAGGTAAGGAATGTAGCAAGCTGCCTTAAAAGCAGGTGAGAAAATCTAGCCCAGTATACCCTGCTCTGACTCACACAGCAATGCTGCTGACTCCAAACCCTTCATATTGTGTGGTCAGTCAATCCTTCTGTTATGTACTGAGTTGAATAGGACCCAAAAGGCAGCAGTCTGATTGATCCTTAAACAATAGGATCCAGAATGCAGCAGCCTGATTGGTCCACAGGAGCCACCCAATCCAGCTCCAGGTGGAAGGGAATCTGCAACCTGAATGGCCAACAAGAGAATCCCGGAATTAGCCAATCACGTGGGGCCCATTGTGTAAATAATGTATATAAGGCAAACATTCAGGGGGAACTTCCATTCCTCCTCACCACTACAAGCTGAATAAAGAGTATGAAATCCACTCTCGACTCTGAGTATATTTCACCTTCCTTCACCCAATGTCTGCACATTGAGCATGGACAGGTATGCATCACAGATGGGACTCCACGTGACGGAGGTGCCTGCAGAATTAGGAGCGCAGGATGCTGTCTTAGGTTGAGTCAAACCATTGTTCCATCTAATTGAGTATCATCTACATTTTGGTGGCTGCCCTCCAGGTGTCACTAGACTGCTGGTCAAGAGTGATGGAGGTTGAGCGTCCAACAAGATCTTGATGCCCTAATGTTGGCTACACCTAGTATACACTGACTGCCAAAGACTCTGCAGGGTTTCAGGCAAGGTTTTTCCCCAGCCCAACTTGAAGATGTTAGGAACTGAACCCAGGATCTTTTGCACTTTACAATGCACTGAATTAAGGCCCTTCTGCAAGGAACCACTAGGCATCATCAGCTGCTCAATTGGAAGGTTCCAAATGTCTACCTGTTAGGGGAAGGACTGAGCCAGCCATCTGACAGTAGGGCAGGGGCAGGCTTTGGTCACTTTTCGTAATACGGTGCCCTGTGTGAGCCCAAAATTTGGTGCCCCCATATTTTCAAGTATGGATCTTCTCAATTTTGTGCCCTCTTGCCTCAGTGCCCCCGGGGGGGGGGCACAGCTTGCACCTCCCTGAATCCAGGGCTGGATATGGGGTAGAGCAGTGCTTCCTAAACTTGGGTTTCCAGCTGCTTTTGGACTACAATTCCCATCATTCCTGACCACCGGTCTTCCTAGCTAGGGATGATGGGAGTTTTAGTCCAGCTGGAGACTCAAATTTGGGAAACACTGGTAGAGCCAGTTGCACAATTTTCCTCCTCAGTCTAATCATGAATCCCACTGTAGAGTCTGTATTGTTATAAATTTGTGGGGAGGATTCCCCTCCCCCAAAAAACCCCTAATAAATGAATGAATGTCAGGATCTAGTTAATATTTGGAATATTGAAGAGAAGGTTCCAGGCCATTGCAGAATACAGGCTAAGCTTCCTTTACAAGCCAGGGCCTCACCTGGGATAGAGACATTAGTATGACAGAATGTGTTGATGACCAACATCACAGAGAAATCCTTGGACCCTGGCAGACTGTGCTGCAGGAAAAATGTGGCTCTAAAAAACAAGGCTTGGGATAGCAGGGGAGGAGTTGCTTGCCAGAAGGGTATGCTGAGAACAAGAAAGAACAACAAAGGTCAGAACCATTTTGGCAGTTAGAGAGAGAGCCTCTGGTGCCTCTGTCTGCCAGTAACTTCTGCACTCCCCCCACCTACACTCAGTTTGCATATATGTGCATAAACCACATATCTTAAAAGTCACAAACTTTTCTGCCGCACCTTCATTTCCCCAAAGAAACACAAGACCGTGGAAGAGGGCCCAAACCCCTGGAATCTTGGGCATTGCTTGGCAAAACTTGGGTGTTGCTTGTACCACTGTAAAGGGAGGGAGTTTCTCTTGCACAGCTCCCAAGATGTTTGTCCATTTGGGTATTTCAGTTTGGTAACACTATAAGCCACAGATGTCACGAGACAGCATAATGAAACAGTAACCTTCCTACTCGATTGTGGGGATAGAATAGAATTTTGCTCCACACGGAAGGGATAAGTTTTCAAGATTAGAATGTGAGGGAGAAGGCAGGTGCTAGCCTGACACTTTTTCTACGTAAGGGATTTATTTTTGCTGAAGTAGTACAGTACACACAGTCTGCTTTCACCTGCTGCTTATGAGAACAAGACCTAGCAGGAAATAAGCACTCTGAGGGGCCAATTTTATCACACTGTTAATTAGAAGGATGTGAGGAGGAGGACATGATGGTAGGCTAGCTTGTAAAGGAACGTAATGGCTGGTATAATAGTTGGATTTTTAAAAATAAACTGTTCTGCATTGGTGATCTGAATCTTAACAATAGGATGAAGCTTTTTCACCAAGTCTTTCCAGCAGCAGCAGCAGCATTACAAGAATGCAGCTTGAAAATTGCCCTTTCTAGAGTGCACCAGTTGAGAAAGCAGATGGTGGACCAATTATTAAGATGCTGACTCCCATTAAAAGTCCCCTGCCAGCATCAAAAGTTAGACTGCCAGGGAGACTGTCACAGGTATGCTAGTTTTTAAAATGTAGATTTATTTTACACAGGGAAGCATTAAAAACATACCACCTCCATGAACATGCCATTTAGCCTTTACCATGAAAATAAATTCTGAGCACCTTTGGCTATTTGCTGAGCTGCTGTGATGTCATGGAAGGTTAATGAACACTAGCTGGTTCTATGAAATAGTATGCTGAAAACGGTGAGGCTGTTGAGTGGCAAATGGGAGGCTAGATTGGGGTGGGATGGAGGGGAAGAAACCAAGTCTATTGTTGTTGAGAGGGGATGCACGGACATGGGGAGGGTCTGAAATGGACATATTAAATTTGGTGTCGCTGGACTGATTTTTGGCGGCAAGTCTGTAACGTATCAAATGTCGGGTATGGAAATTAATAGACCAGCTGCTATGAGCCAGATTTGGCCTGCGGGGTCTTCCAGTCCTGTCAATCAGACCGGAACTGAAGCAAGCCGATGGAGAGCTTGTGGGGTACGGAGATAATAGAGATGACCAAAGCTGGGAATTCCTCTAAGAAGCAACTTTCCCCCTATGAGAAGGAGAAATTGCAGGAACTCTTTCCTTCATGATTGACCCAATAAGTGTGACTTCCATACAAAGAAAAGTCAAATCAAAAGACTAAGTTGTCATCGTTTATAAATGCCTTACAATTTTATTTTTTTAAAATGATGAATTGATGGCTAAATTGGAGCAAGGTACCAGCCCTCTTCAGGAACATTTATGGAAACATAGGAAGTGGGGACACATGTACAGTGGGGCTGTGCCTTTGGCCCAGTTTCACGTTACACCTCTTTCACTGTCTCCTTGGTGTATTTGCAGCAAACTTCTTCGGGGCACAAAGTGAGAACGCTGAGTTTCCAGGTTCTCACTCATTCAGGCAGCCTCCATGCAGGGGAAGCTGGCCCAATAGGGCAAACAGGGCACTGCCCTGCCATGTTCAGTCTGTCCTCAGGCAGCCCCAACCTCCTTACTGAAAACCTGTCCTAGGGCTGGCACTGGCTGTCAGCTTCTGACACCTTCTTAGGGTTGCCTTTGCAGAATTCAGCAGGGAGGGATGGGGACCAAAGAAGAATTCGGTGTCTCCACCTATCATTGGCTCTGGCTCCGCCTACTTTTGGCCTTCCTGCCTTCCTCCCCACAGACACACAAGGCGCCCATGCCACAGATGTTCCCCATAAACTCATAAGTGCCGGAGGAATCGTGCAACTCCAGAGCCCTGCTCCACCCACGTCCCACTGATCATCCCTGGAGAGGCTGGCAAGAGCTTCTTAAGGATGCCGTGGCTTAAGTAATTAAAATATGCAATTCTTCCCGATATTGTTATTTGTATAATGCCAGTACCAGCATACATGGCACTTTATAAAGTGTAAGAGGACAAGCCCTCTGCCCCAAGGAACTTACAATCTACAGTTCAACCCATGGGAGACAACAGAAGACAGGTGAGGGGAAAGATGTAGTTGGGGGAGGGTCTGTGTTTATTTTTGTTAAACTTATTATTCTTAGTTACAGAATGGCAGTGGTTCCCAAACATCTCCCTGCCCCTAGACCATTTGAAAATTGCGGAGGATCTTGGTGGACCACTCAACGATTTCTCTGCCTGTTTAGGAATCATGATATGCTGTGTATGCTTTCTGAGTTTCCCTCTGCTCCTTTTCAAGTGTCTTGTCAGCCTCTTTCCCCAACTTGGGATCTATCTCTATCCTGCACAAGCCAAAGTTTATTCACCTGGGGAAGAAAAAAGCCTCCTTTCTCTTTAACTTCCACAGACCACCAGAATGAAACTCCCGGACCACGCGCTTTGGGAAGCCCTGTGGTTGCATGCAGGGACTAAGAGAGGATTAGGGGTCCTGATATTTGTAGGACTCCAGCTCCCAGCAGCCCCAACCATCCTGAAAAATGGTCAGGAAATATGGGAGTTGTAGTCCAGCAAATATCTGAAGGAAAATTGGCTCCCCAACCATGGAGTAAGATGGAAGCCCTAGTACCTGCCTGCTTCTTCTCAAATCTTTTCTGTGAAGTGCCCTGAGACCTCTGGGTATAGGACAGTATATAAACTCTAATAAATAATAATAATAACCAAATTATTTCAGCTTGTGACAAAAACGGTACGAAAAGCTGTTCTGACTTCCTAAATATGCAGAGGTTAACATAGATTTTGAAGAGGAAAGTAGGCAAACAAACCAATTTAGTACAGAAAATCCATCTATTTATTTGAAAATCAGAGGCATTAGAAAATAAAGTTTCAAGCTGTTCACTATTGCACTCTCCTTTTAATATAACTACAGATCAGTGGTTGGGGCAGGGGCAACCCACGTCCCCTTTGCTGTTTGTTCCAACTATACATAAAACATTTTATTTATTTATTCTTAAAAAAATACTTTTGGAGACTAAGTGCAAACATTCAGTGTATAGAAGTGACCAGGAAAACATACCAGGAGTACATAATGTGCTTGCTTATTTCTGTGCTTTTAAAAACAAATCCTTTTGTCTTAGTAACACCATGTTCAGATTGTCCCCGCTCAAAATGCCAACGCGCCACAGAACAAAACCTGAATAAGCCAAAGGTTGCCAGTAGTTTGCAAAGAGTTCAAATCGCAGCCCAATCCTTTGCATATTTACTCAGAAGATCTGTCAAGTATTTCTGCCACAAAAAAGTGTGTATAGGACTGCAGCCTAAATAAATGAACTGCACTATGCACCCCAGAAAAAAAAATATTGGTGCGCAGTAGTGTAAGTTCATTAAGGAAGTTTTGTTGCTTTGTGTGTTTATTACATTTATATCCCATCTTTCCTCCAAGGAGGCTCAAGGCAACATACACAATTGCTGCCCCACTTTATCCTCACAACAACCCTGTGAGGTAGGTTTGGCTGACCTAAGGTCATCCTGTGAGCTTCACATCTGAGTGGGGATTTGAACCTGCAACTCCCCGGTCCTAGGTAAGAGTGCTGAGCCACTACATCACATTGGTTTGCTCCAATTCATTTACAAACTCTGCTTAAGCGCCTTCAGGATCTTCTTTTCCTTTAAAAAAAAAAATAAGGTTCTCTATTTTTCTCTACAACCCTGAGGACTAGAATATTGGAATACAGTATATATTTAAACGAAAGTTCTGGGTTTCAGGATTTCACCTCTGGAAATGCGAGCTTCTTCCTTTGGTGCTTTAAGTGAAGAATTATACAGTTATTTAAATACTTGGCTGAATTCGGCCCATTTCTTATACAGTACAGCAGTGGAATAGACTGCCAAGGTAGAGTGTGGCACCTCTTTTTTTTTTTTTTTTTTGGAAGCCTGCACAGAAAGGTTGGTAGGCATCTGTTGAAGATCCCTCGGGTGCAGGAGATGCTGCCTTTGGAAGGGTCTTGTGTGTCTTCACGTTAACGCAGGCGTGGGGAGCTGGATCTGGGATGGCAAGCTACATCCTTACATCCCCTGCCTCCTGCAGGATAACTCCGCAAGTACCGTATTTTTTGCTCCATAGGATGCACCTTTTTCCTCCTAAAAAGTACAGTGGTGCCCCGCAAGACGAATGCCTCGCAAGACGAAAAACTCGCTAGACGAAAGGGTTTTCCATTTTTTGAGTCGTTCCGCAAGACGAATTTCCCTATGGGCTTGCTTCACAAGACAAAACGTCTTGCGAGTTCTTGCGAGTTTGTTTCCTTTTTCTTAAAGCCGCTAATAGCCGCTAAGCCATTAATAGCCGCTAAGCCGCTAATAGCCATGTTTCGCAAGACGAAAAAACCGCAAGACGAAGAGACTCGCGGAACGGATTAATTTCGTCTTGCGAGGCACCACTGTAAGGGGGAAAGTCTGTGCGTCTTATGGAGCAAATGCGTGGTCCCTGGAGCCAAATAGCCCAGGAAACAAAAAGCAGATTGTGTTTTTCTTTTTAGAAAGAGGAAAGGGGGTGTTGAAATGAAGCCGCTGAGCAGCTGATCGGCAAGCAGTTGGGAGGGAGATAAGGGACACTAGCGATAAAAGAGGCTGCCTGGGAGTAGACAGCGAACTGTAAAGACAGCGAACTTGCAAGGAGAGGAGACAGGAATACTAAAACAAGCAATGAGGAGAGAAATTAGACGAAAAGGAGGAGCAAAAAACTGCTCCAGCTAAGGAAAAGACGCTCAGGCAAACAAGAGGGAAGGGGTGTTGAAAGGAAGCCACTGAGCAGCTGAATGGCAAGCGATCAGGAGGGAGATAAGGGACGCTAGCAATAAAGGAGGCTGCCTGGGAGGGGGGAGGTAAAAGCACATGGATCCTTGGGATTTTTGCATTGGGTCACCCCAAATTCACCATCAGATCACATAGCATGTCCATGGCTACAGCCTGCACACACAAAAAACCGCATCCACTGTTTCATGGGGCCGCAATGGCACAAAAACCTGGTTACAAAGCATGGATCCACATGAATCCTCAGGATTTTTGGATTGGGCTACCCCAAACTCACCGTCAAATCACATATCATGTCTGTGGCCACAGCATGAACCACAAAAATCATACATCCACTGTTTTGTTCTGAATATTTTTTTTCTTGTTTTCCTCCTCTAAAAACTAGGTGCGTCTTATGGAGTGAAAAATATGGTAAGTGCGGCCGCCCAAGTGTCCATCACTCAATATCAGAGTGACATCAAGTGACCCCTTTTCCTTTGCCTGTATGGTCTGAAATCAAGCTGCGCCAGAAAAGCCACAGAGCTTTGCAGATGCTAAGGACCATCTGATTGCCAGTGCTTGCAAACTCCTGTGCCTTTGCTGGGATCACTGGCTGTGCCTCTGCAAGCTCAACAATCAGCTGTTCGGTGGCCGAGAGCCATGAGGTCTCTCATGCCGCTTAGGGGACGGAATTTGACTAGACGGCACTGGATGGTTTTAGCTGTCCTTGTTGCACGATTGGGCCTGCCCCACCGAGTGAACATGCTTAGGATTGCGCTGTTAATGGGCAGGGGGGCTGCAGCTGCCACAGGGCAGTTATGTGGTGCAAAAGCTAAGAAATGGGATTTCTTAGCCTCCTACAACAGCACCCTCCAAATTACACTAAGAGCTATGGGAAAACTGAGTGGGCAGACAACACACCATTGTTTGCTTCTCTCGCATTCTCCCCTTCCCGTAAATTCAGCTGGGTTTCTCGGCGCTGTTCAAGAGACAAATTCTGTTTTGCTAACCCGCATGATCTATCAACTGCATGATGTTTAGGGCAGCAGCTGCAGACTGCGTCTGGTTTAATCTGAGCGCTCTGCCGCTTGAATGGCTAGTTAGTAAGCACTGGGGTGGTAAGGGAGAAATAATAATAATAATAATAATAATAATAATAATAATAATAATAATACAGTCATCCTTGCAGCCCTTTTGTTTTCCTGGCAGAGGAATCATTTTGGAAGAATATCAGTAGCATCAAGCGGCAAGAGAAACACTTTTCTGAGGTATCGTGCTGCTCGTCACAGATGACTTGACTTTTTTAGAAAACAAAAATGCAGCTATGACACATTTGGGGAAATTCAGCAGGATTGCCTCCAAATGATTTCTCCCAGTGATCGGGATGCTTGCCAAAACGGACGTGCACAATTCAAAACAGCCAAAATCACATCACACGGAGAAGGTCCTCTTCCTGCCACGTTAATCTGACACGGAAATAAGACCCCAGAGGTTTGGCCACTGTTACATGCAGACGGCAGCAGAGGCAATAGTAATGGAGTTAATGCGGCTGAGAAAAGCCCAGCAGAACCACCATGCGTTTGGGTCAATTCAGGGACATCAAAGAGGCTTGAATAATTTGAAATTGGGACAAGGTGAGCTTGGGATGTCAACAGGCTGGATGGCCTTTTAAAACCTTCCCCAGGGCAAGCTGAATTGACGGTATTATTTCTTACTGCAGACAGGAAACATCATTTCTACGTGCTCCTTGTCTCTAGCAACAGACAGGACACAAGAAAGAAAGGCTGTTGATTCTTTGGAACTTTTATATATATCTATCAATTTATCTGCACAGGAGAGCTTTTAAAAATTGTATTTTCCCCACCTGCAGTCTGAGGTGGCACATTTCCTCATTCTGCTGCATGAATCCAGGGAGTGTGGTAACAATCTTCTCATTGCATGAACTGAGCCTACATTCAAAGAGGTGCAACAGGCTCTACCCTCTGTATTCAGAACATGTCAAGCCTGCTGGATCAGGCCAATGGCCCACCCAGCCCAGCATCCTGATCTCACAGTGGTCAACCGGATGCCTCAATGGGAAGCCTGCAAACTGGACATGAGCACACTGCCCAGCTGTGATTCCCAGTAGCAGGGATTCAGGGCAGGTAGAGGAGCATCATCATCATGGAAAGTAGTCATGGATACGCTTGCCCTCCATGAATTTGCCAAATCCTCTTTTAAAGCCATCCATGCTGGTGGCCATCACTGCCTCCTGTGGCAGCAGGTTCCTTCATGTTCCGTTTCTGAGCTCTCCAAAAGGATCTGCTTAGCTGCTTTTGGAAACCAAATAGTGGACAAAATGCATATAGGTCTGATCCAACTTCTTATGTCCTTATTGCCATCCATTGGGACATTATGAGTTTTATCTGGGAAACCTAACCATTATTGAGACCCCATTGTTCACGCCTGTTGACATCCCAACTCTGGTTCATGTTCGTTGACATCTCAACACACGGAGCAAATTCCGGTTGTGCGAAGGTAGAGGAAGAAGCATGTACAAGACACACACTGGAATCCACTATATAATAATGCCAGCCATTGACACTGCAGCTCTGGTGCTACGGGATTATGCTGAGAGAACCATGGACTGAGCATTTTACAGATGCTAGTATGGCAACCAGAGGCTAACAACTTTCCTACCTTGGTCAATAAAACACAGTCTCTCACCTCACCTCAGGTATATGGCTCATCTTCTCTCTTGTCCACCCTCATGACATTGATACAGTTCTAAATAACAACATTTCTTCCGTACATTTCCACTAAAAATTATAAACAGGGTCCCTCCTTCATTTTTATCTAGAGCAAGGCTGAGGGGAGCTTGTGGCCCTCCAGGAATTGCTGGACTACAACTCCCATCATGCCTTGCCACTGCCTGATGGGAACTGGAGTTTCTTGCGATGTAAGCAGGCGTCTATTTCTATTCTGCCCCATGTCCATAGCACGCCACGCCGGTTCTGTACCACTGCAGTTCAACTTCCATCAAAAGCCACATTGTTCATCTTGCTGTTCACTGTGGTGAAATTTTACATAATTATGTAATTAATCCATGGTACACCTGAAGCAGCAAAACCAGAAGCCTTCATCTGCCCCACCTGCAATAAAACATGTCTCTTCTGTAGCCATCTCTACAGCCACAGCAAGCACTCTCCAATGGTTTGACTTCACCTCCAAAGGTGCACTCCTCCATTGTCTCCCGAAACAGACAGATGCCAACGATTGTGATACTATACCACATCATTCATTTAAATACAAAGGACATTGGATTAAAAAGGAAACAATGCAAAGGTTGTGTATCACATCAATTAAGTATTGTTTGGGGACTAAAAACAACAACAGTGAAGACGTGAAGAGCCGCAGGTTCCCCATTCCTGACCTAAATCACTGTCTGCCATTCCTTCACAATCCCATATACATTAACCTCAAAGTTGGTTAAATTCTGGTCTTGAGCCATATCACATACTTCTTAAAAGAATTCTCTGGAGCTATTCCAGATTCTTCTAGCATAGACTATATAGTGCAATCCGATACATGTCTACTCAGAAGTAAGTCCAATGAATTCAGTGGTGGGTACCGGACTGCAGCCTTAGATTGGCTCTAGCTGCACATGTTAGATAATAAAATAATTACATCTTGTTTCAGTTTATGGAGGAAGGACAACTTTCTTCAATCAAAAATTTCTACTGAAAAGGCAACACAAAAAATACACACATATATATTTTTGGCAGATTTCATGGCTGTAGATAAAATCCGAAGTATAAGAATGATTCTTTTTGAAGACTAGAACTCTCTAAATCTAGGATCTTTCCCCTAAGAGATTATTCATTTAATTTAACATCCTATAAAGCAAGGCACATACATACAAAAATTGCAAGTATGAAGTAATTATCCCAACGTCTTCATTCTCACTCTCGATATATATAATCTCTACCTACCTATCTATATAAATATATACTATATGTACACAAAGTCAGGTGAGCTGAATCTTCATAATGTAACAAGCCACCTGAGTAAAAGAACGAGCTCTGAATTCAGGGGAGGGGCGTGTGGAGTCCTGTACTTTGGCTAACATTTCTACCTCCTGAAGAAACGCATTTAGGGGCACATCAAACCAAGAACATCAAGCCGCTATCTTTTATTATTCTGGCTCACTCACAGGGATCAAAGAGGGCTGCTGACCAGCTGTGGAAGGAGCAATAAGCAGTAGACCAGCACCCAGAGGAAAACAATGAAGTAAAACAGTTCAGGCTGGTCTGTGTGCGGAGAGGGTGTAGGCACACTGGCCTTGTCAGAAGAGTCTTTCTTTTCAAGGTCTTTTCTCTTCCTGCAAAGGAATAGGAAGAAAGATAGTCACCGGAGGCCTATCTCAGAGTACCTTGGCTGAAGGTGGGCAGCTACTGCAGAGAGGGAGCCTTGTGGAATTCCAAATTTGATCCACCAGGCCAGAAGCAGCTCACTGGGATGGGGACATTATGCTAGCTTCCTAGCAGGTGGGTTGCTGTTGCCTACCAGGAGAGAGAGAGGCAAGGCAGCAGGGAGAGTGGCGTGGTGCAAACACATCATCAGAGTCAATCCAGTGCTCCTGCCGATGGAACTGCACTGTGCTGACCTCCTTGCCACTTTCCCTCTCACTAAGCAGCAGCGACTCATGTGCCAGGCTCCACCACATCCACTAAGTCACTTCTACTCCGGACACCTTCATTACTACCCTTCCAGGTCCAAGGAAAAGAAAATCCTGATTATCGGAGCTTTCAGTAGCTAGTTTCATTGGTTTAATGCATCGCAGAATTTGGTTTGCTTCACTGCATTTGGCTTGTGTATAGTTTAGAGCCTGCTGAATTAGTTAAATTGCTATTATCGATTTTTTAGCTCCCCAATGGCAGATTTTTTTATTAATTCGACTGGCTATTCTCTATTAGGATAATCATTTTTAAAAATAATGGAAAGTTCGTTACGTCACACTGAAATGCCATTTGGCAGAAAAAGGTGGCACACAGATCTTTCAAGTGTTAGTGAGACAGTTTTTTTAATGCTTGGGCCATAGGCCATTCGCATAGAAGATAAATACAGTGGTACCTCTGGTTACGTACTTAATTCGTTCCGGAGGTCTGTTCTTAACCTGAAACTGTTCTTAACCTGAAGCACCACTTTAGCTAATGGGGCCTCCCACTGCTGCCGCGCTATTTCTGTTCTCAGCCTGAAGCAAAGTTCTTAACCTGAGGTACTATTTCTGGCTTAGCAGAGTCTGTAACCTGAAGCATATGTAACCTGAAGCGTATGTAACCGAAGAACCACTGTAAATGCAATATAAAACCCAACAGTATAAAATACTGCGTAAAATCATCTTGCTGCCTGAAATCATACATAAAACCTGCATCTTTGAAATGCTGCATAAGTCACATCTAACATATTAAGAACTTACATATTTAATACAGACAAAATCATTCATCACTATCCCCAAAGCAATCGAATGCAATCTCCTTAATAACGCTTGCCCGGATTTTCAACGCTGCTAGGGCAAAAAGAGAGACCTTGTGGGTTACCCTACAATCGGTGTTTGACAGGAAGTAGGAAATCTTTTCTGGAATGGGTCTTTCAAGTGTAAAATAAATCAATATGCAGGAGCAGCAATGGGTAGTAAAAATGCAAAGTCAGAATTACCAATCATTACATAGCGCTGGAATACATGGCATTTTATGGAGGAAGAAGCAAAAAGACAGATTGCTGCTATGATTGGCATTACAGTGGTACCTCGGGTTACATACGCTTCAGGTTACAGACTCCGCTAACCCAGAAACAGTACCTCGGGTTAAGAACTTTGCTTCAGGATGAGAACAGAAATTGTGCTTTGGCGGCAGCAGAAGGCCCCATTAGCTAAAGTGGTGCTTCAGGTTAAGAACAGTTTCAGGTTAAGAACGGACCTCCGGAACGAATTAAGTACTTAACCCGAGGTACCACTGTAATCTTAATTAAGTCTTGGTGTCTGTGTGCATGTGCAGGGGGGCAACATGGAGTTGGGATAAGGAAGCTTAACAAGGGATAAATAACAACCAGGGCATAATCCTCCTTGTCCTCAGGCTCCACTGCAGGCATGGGGAACCTCCAGCCCATGGGCCAAATCAGGCCAAGCAGGGTCCTAATTTGGCTATGAGGTTGTTTCCCCTAAGCCACGCCCACCTGCACCATACCTAATGCCAAATAACATAAGGTGTACAGCAGGTAAAGACACACAATTCCACTTGCAGCTCCTGACTGGAGCTTATCCTTTGCGAAACCGAGGCTTGCAGTCAAAGCTGGTGTCTGTCTACACCCTGAGGCTCAACTTATGAAAGAAGGGTAAGTGCCCACCTGGAAGAGGAGCTAGCAATTTCACTTGTAGCCGTGCTGCCAAGTTCCTGGAAAATAATCAAATCCAAATAGTCACAACAATATAATTAAATAGCCTGGACTGTAAAAGATATAACAGGTGTATTTACAGTATTTATATCCCACACTGTAATAAAAGTCTGGACAACTTACAATCAAGGGGAAATGGTTGCATTTTAAAAAATGAAAACCATGAAATCTAAACACAGCAATAAGCCAGCATCAGAGAACAAAACAAGAAATGAAACACACCACGGTACCCAAACTTTCACAGATCTTAAGACCCTAAACTGGTTAAGTATTTGGGATTGTTGTAAGCTGTTATGGAGCTCAAATCTTTTGCCATTAAATCAGTAACTGATCATTTGAATAGTTACAGGTAGGTAACCATGTTGGTCTGACGTAGTCGAAACAAAATTAAAAAATTCCTTCCAGTAGCAGCTTAGAGACCAACTAAGTTTGTTATAACGACTGTTAATGACTGCAATTGGTCTTACAGGAAAAAGCAAGGGGTGAGATGATAAAACATGATAAAGCTATTTTTAGCCATCTTACCCCTTGCTTTTTCCTGTAAGACCAATTGCAGTCATTAACAGTCGTCAACAGGTTTACCACACCTATCAGCCAATCACCCATTCCCACCACACTGAGTAATACCCCTCCCCACCCTCTCACTATATATAAGGGTCTGTTTCAGTGTATCTGAAGAAGCTTGCATGCATATGAAAGCTCATACCAATAACAAACTTAGTTGGTCTCTAAGGTGCTACTGGAAGGAATTTTTTTATTTTCTTTTGATCATTTGAATGTGGTGACTTGTAGTAGTTTTCAGAACTGTAAAAAGGCTTCATTTTTTCAGATAAGATGATTTGGCAAAACGAAATGGAATGATATCGTACTCCTGGATAAAAGATTAAACCGGGAGAACCCTCATTATTAACATTTTCAAAAACGCAAGACACTTTGGAGAGGAGACCCCAGTAGTCACCACCACACCTCATTTGATAGGAGGACTTGGGGAATGTCCTTCAATGATCATCTTAGTGCACAGGCAGGCAGCCTGCTGTTTTAACAGCACTGACATAGGGAAGGCATATTGAAAAGCAACAGTGTAATGCCACAAATCCCACGGCAGAACATGCTGAAAGAACCTAAAACATGGGGAAGGGTCATAGCTCTATGGTAGAGCATCTGCTTTGCATGAGAAGGTCCCTGGTTCATCTCTAGGTAGGGCTGGGAGGTGGGCAATTGGCTTGATCCAGCAGATCTCCTCCTGCGATCTTATCTAAACAACAACAGGTCTGCTAAATGCATGGTGAGAGCAGACACATATCAATGCTGGAGCACAGTAAGCAGTTTAGTTCAAGAGAGATCTCAACTCAGGGTGACAGAAAACAGATCCCCCACATACAGAAAGATTAAAAGCCACTGGCTGTCTAACTGCTTGCTAACCAGAATTATTTAAAGCCATCTTGTACTAGCTTGGTTTTGAATGAATATGCAAAAGAGAGAGACGTGCATATATTTACCTTACTGGTCGACTCTACTAAATATCTTTGGGAAACGACATTGGGATCGCTGTGACTGACCCTGAAAAGGTTAATTGAATCAATATGTAAGAGAAGCTTGACTGGAAAGACAGCCCAGCTCTAACACTTTTGCAAGGCGTGCTCCAAAGAGACAAAACACTGGCTAGATATTCTTCTTCAAGTTATGCACAACACCGTATCGTCCAAAGACATTTATCTCCTGCGTGGTCCAAGTTCTCAAACTCCTCCGCAACCAGCATTCCCATTTACTACAACCCCAGCCCAAATTTATATGCAACACTGTAGAGAAACCATAGCTCTGGGAGAGAAAATGACCAGACTCCCAAGTTTGCATCTAGGGATGAAGCATGAACTTGCTGTTGTCTGCACCTTTTCTCTCCAGAATGAGTAGAGCTTATGGAGAAGAGGACAAGGCAGTGAGGGTTAAGGGATGAAACAAAGAACATCCAAAATAGTTTCCTGGGGGTTATAGAGCAGGAAAAGGAAATGGTGTTGAGGTGGCCCAGTGAAATTGCTAAGTAGGACAAAAATTCTTGAAAGTGAATAAGTGGGGAGAATAGGTGGGGAGAATACCATATTGGCTCGTAATTATCCACATCCCCCCCAAAATTCTGACTGTGAAAAGTGCTGCTTATATTCGCAACATTATGGTATACAGCCAGGTGTGTGGGGCAAACAGCGCCAGGAGCGTGGTGAACTGGCGTCTGCCCTGCGCATACTTCCCCATCTGCATCCAAGGCCAGGAAGGGAGAGAGCAAGGAAGGGAGCAGCTTATATTTGGGTATTTTTTTCTTTCCCTCCTCCAATTTTAAAGGTGCAGCTTATATTTGGGTGAATACCGTAGATATAATATCATCATCATCATCATCATCATTACTTATTACTTATACCCCACCCATCTGGCTGGGTTTCCCCAACCACTCTGGGCGGCTTCCAACAGATTAAAAATACAGTGGTGCCTCGCAAGACGAAAAGAATCCGTTCCGCGATTCTCTTCGTCTAGTGGTTTTTTCGTCTTGCGAAGCAACCCTATTAGCGGCTAAGCGGATTAGCCCTATTAGCGGTTTAGCGGCTATTAAAGGATTAGCGGCTAAGCCGATAAAAGGCTATTAGCGGCTTAGCGGCTTAGAAAAGGGGGGGGGCGGGGAAAAACCCGCAAGACTAGCAAGACGTTTCGTCTTGCGAAGCAAGCCCATAGGGAAAATCGTCTTGCGAAGCAACTCAGAAACGGAAAACCCTTTCGTCTAGCGGGTTTTCCGTCTTGCGAGGCATTCGTCTTGCGGGGCACCACTGTACATATAAAACAATGTCACTTGAATGCATAAAGCTTGCTTGAGACTCCCCATTGTGCTAACAAGGTTTAATCAGTTTGGTTCATTGTACTGAATGATCATAGAATCATAGAGTTGGAATAGACCACAAGGGCCATCGAGTCCAACCCCCTGCCCCTATATTCATTTGTGAGTCCACCACAAAGTCTCTTCTCTCTCTCTCTCCCTCCCTCTCCACATGAACAACTCATCCAGACAACATTTAATAGCCTCCCACTGAGTGCTACTGCAGAGATGGGTCAAGGCCCATAGCTCAGCATCTGCATTGCACACAGAAAAGTCCCAGGTTCAAACCTCACATGTCCGGATAGGGCTGGGAATGGCCCTTGTCTGAAACCCTGGAGAGCTGCTGCCAGTCAGTGCTCATCCAACTGTTCCATCTGCGCAAGTATTTCAGTTTGCCAGATAAAACGGGCCCCTCTTTCCTCCACCTGTGTGCTGATCTGGGGGTTCCCCTGACCCTCCAGAGCCAATTTCAGGGGCGGGCAGGTGGGTGGGGGAAGCGACTTGCTCATTCTGCTTGGAGATCAGTCATCGTTAAGAACCAAAGCAGGTTTGTGCTAAATTCTTCCACTGAAGCCAATGGGGCTTAAACACAATTCGGCACTTATGGGAGCTGATTACCCAGCAGGTCCCAGAAGTGCTTAGATTTTGGCTGCACCTCGCCCTTCCCAAATGCATCCGGCTGCCTGGACTTTTCCTCCCCTGCCTGTGCTATGGCTGTCCAGGACTGCAGCCAAGAAGGCCAGCAAAATATGAGACGTGGCAGGCAAATAAGCTTTGCCTGGAAACCAGACAAGAAAAAGTGGCAAGACGGGTTTTGTGTTTAGGAACCAAAGAAGCAAACGGAAAGCACCTCGAAAGGCCCTGATGGTCTGTGGATTCTTCCTCTAGCTTATCTAGTAGCCGGGTGGAGCCAGCTTTCGGACTTGGGTTGTTTTCTCCTTGAAAAATTGACTTGTTCTTCCTTTTCTCTTTCTTTTTGCTCCTTTCTTCTGGCAATTTTCTTTCTTCAGCCGAAGTATCAAACTGGTTTACCACTATCTGTTAAAAATAAAAATGATGATAATTCAGGTTTTTAAAAGCAAGAGTTTGTACAAGTTTATCAAGATCTGTCTATTTAATATTTGAAGCTCCTTTTTTCTTCTTTATATTGGCAAACTACATCCACTTGCTTGTTTAGCTAGCAGGCTAACTAGACACACACATGCTTAGACAGAGGGATTTCTATTTTGCCCGCTACCCAGCAAAATAGAGGTGCCCAAAGTGGCAGGAAGTTGGCAAAGAACATCAAAATAAAATAGATACAGAGGTGGGTAGCTGGGTGGAGGGAAGGATTTCTGCCCTGTCTCCTGACCACTACAAAATAAAGGTGGCTAACAAGCAACAATCAAATGAAAAGTCACTGAAAATACAAAAGGCAGCGATCTTAACACTGAGATACCCATACAGAAGCCTAGACCAAGTAGAAGAACTCTGTACAACAAACAACTTAAAATCTCATTGGAAAAAGAAATCCTCAGGTAGCAATGGAAAAATTGTGAAGTATGAAGCCATCTATTCTTCTGGGGCAGATAATTTCACATACTGGGTTCCACAACTCATTTGGCGCCAGATGTTGCTGTACTCCAACTCCCAATATTGCTACGCATTAGCTAGGCTGGCTGAGGCTGCTGGGAATTGGAGTCTGACAGCATCTGAGGGCTGCCATGTTGACGACCTCTGTCTCAGAGGGTGTTTTAGTGCACCAGAATGTAAGTAGGGCTCTACCGATACCAAAACAAGCTGAACAAAGTGGGGTTATGTGTGGACAGAACATGTTGTCCATCCTTAAGCTGATCTTCTCATTTTGACAACTGTTTCCTAAACAAGTAAATGTATACAGCGTCACTGCCAAATGATGCTTGGGACACTTTCAAGAAAAGCGAAGGAGAAATGAAACCAACCAAGTATCCAGGTTCAGGGCTGCTTCACACATCATGGTTTGCATCGAGGCTAATTTAGTTGAACTTTGGCCTCCTTGAAATCAACAGGGCAAATTAATTCTGACTGATGTTCCACTGATGTCAAAGGGAATGAAGTGCAACTAGGTTGGTCTGGATCCAACCTTATGGTTGGTGTTTAGGTATAGGTGTTGCACCTATAGTGCAATTGTGACAGATAGGTGTTTGAAACCAAGGGCACCGTAGAGGCAAACTCACAAGAAAAGGCAGGATTGGCTACAGCTCCCTGTTGAGAGTACACTTGCATGGTAAATCGGGGATTGTGTTATTTGTGAAATGACCCTTGGGATTTTCTAACACCCAACAAAACACAAACACATCTATGAACACAGCTGCAGGATCAGTACGTACAGTGGGAGACTTGCCACTTGAAGATCTCACTTCCCCAAACAGAGCTAACCTCTTAGGACAATACATCAAGCCAAACAGAAGCGAGTCCAGATTAAACTATCATTTTAGGCTGATATTACACCTTATTTTAATGGCTACTAAATCGGGTCATAGGGTTGTATCAAAGTAAGTCCTAACCGGAGTAGAGTCATTGAAATCAATGGACCTAAGTTAGTCACGACCACTGATTTTAATGGGTCTACTTTGAGTAGGATTTAGTTGGACACAACCCATAGTATACCACATGAAAATACTGCATTGCTCCAGAGGCTCACAATCTAAACTGAAGTACCATCCTGCAGTACCATTTACTACTCCTGCCAAGAAGTCACACTGGTAGAAGACAAGTGCCCTGACTCTCATGGGAGTAGCAACCACCCAATATGATTAGTGTGTTTGACCAGTCAATGGGCCTGATCCCAGATATTTAAATATAAGCATTTAAGTCAGGGGTGGGGAGCCTGGGCCTCTCCAGATGTTGCCAGACTACAACTCCCATCAGCTGCAACCAATGGCAAAATTGGGGCTGATGGGAGTTGGAGTCCCAACAACACCTGGAAGGTCACAGGTTCTCCATCTCTGCATTTAAAGACTACTTCCAGGTGCAACACCAGGGGGATAGACCCAAGCAGTTGCTAGTCACCAGAGCCCTCAGAAAAAGAACTATGGTGTAAGCTTCTCTATAATAATTTAGATGGCATCCAGTGCAAGGGAAGAATTTGGCACAAGCAAACAAGTAAGTGCAAAAAGCAACCGTACCACAGGGACATCTGAGTGAGCAGAATCCACGCTGTTTGCTTTGAGTATCACATTCTTCCCTTCTGCAGCAGCCTTGTTAAGGGAAGCCTTGGTGTGACCACGAGCATCTTTTTTCTGCTTCTCCGGGCTTTTATCATCCGAGGCTGTTGGTGCTGCATTACTCGTGTGTAGGCCTGCCTTTGAAATATCCTTCTCAGCGTTTTGTTCAAGCAACTCTTTCTCCGCCAAACAGTTTACTAAAAGCTCGGCGCAGATCTTGTTGTTTTCCGAGAGGGTAGGGTCTGCGCCGGGTGTAGCAAAAGCATCCAAGACGTCCGATATGGGAACGTCATAATGGGGGTAATAGAAGAGGTCATGGGGGATTATGGAGATTTTGGAAGGGTTTGGCATCATTTCACCCACCGAGCTGCCTTCATTAGTAATATCTAGGCTCTTGGGAGTGTTTCTAACTGGAGAAAAACGTTCCAATGGGTAACACTCTTCTGAATTATCGTTGAAATCAGGTCCACCAGTTTCCTGGTGAGTAGCATGTCTTTCCTTTACGGAAGAAGACTGCATTGCATGGTCATATTTTTCTGGGAGCTTAGATATTTCCTTGTTCAACAATTCTAATATATATTTCTTTGTGCTATCTTGCTCATCAGCAGCTGGAATTGGATGTTGAAGTTCCGTTGTCAGGTGTTCCGGTACGTTTTCAGGTAGAGGGGATGAGCAAGGCTTTGCATCAGATGATTCTTTTGTTTCAGTGGCTGGCTTGTTCTTGCTGAATTCTTCAGAATCGACTCCCGAAGAGTCAGCAGGTTCAACAGAATGTTTGTGATACGGAGGTGAACTTGGCGGAAGAAGGTCATCGCTCTGGGTTGGTGAATCGGACATACTCAGCTGATCCCCTTCAGACCCGTTTACATTATTGGCAAGAATGTCGGCAGCAGAATTGGACCGATAATCCACAGGCTCTGTTATTGGCAGTGAGCTCGGCCTCTGAGGTTCTTCTGTGGAAGTCTCTGAATGATCTGATAGTTGCTGCTGCAGATTGTCATTAATCTCCTTATTTGCCATATGAAAACTTGGGTTCTCTGGATTAAGGGGCGAACCAGGAATATAGATTTTTGGAGGTGAAGACTGGCTTCTGTCCAGGTGACCGGTATAGGTGTGCTTCCCATTCTCATTCAAAATCAAAACCTTCCCTTGATTTTCTTCCCCTGGTGTCCCTTTGACGTGGAAAGGAGATTCAGCTGCAAAGTCCTTGTCCGGATCTGAAAAATCTTCCTATACAACATTAAATAAATCATCATCATCACCATCATCATCATTTGATAAATAATATTTCTTTTTGCAAGGTAGTTGTCGGAACAATCAAGCCACGCTTCCACCAGCCCACCAAAGACTTGCTATCATCATAGGAAACAGTAAGACATCTCTGCCTGAGTTGCTGCGTGCTTCCCAACCATAAGGAGGCAAACCAAGAGCAGTGACTCACATGCAGACATGCAATGGCTGGTCTCCTCTGAGGGCAGAGGGTGTTTCTGCTGTGTCTCTGCAATAGTCAGAAGTGACCAAGCCACCTTATGCAGAGATGCATTGGGCGGCCTACCGTGAGTTATGGGAGTGTTTAGTTGATGAACATCTAATGATATACCTGCAGCCCTCTCAACTTCCAGGTTTCTCAGGTGCAGTTCAGGAACTGCTCATGCAGAGTCAAGATCCCAACAGTGTCTCTCTGATTCTTGCCATTTCCAATCTAGGGGGTGGGGAGACAAGAGGAAAGCCACCCACACTTGCTGCCCACTGTCCATATTGTTGGGAATTGGGTTGACCTAGTGAAGTAAATACAACTGAACTGAAGTAAAGGAGGCCAGGTGAGGGAAACAATCACCCAACTTCCTCCTAACTGTGGAGGAGGTGCTTATCGCTGAGAGTGACCTAACTACATTTGCAGGAAAGAAACATTCAAAAAGCGAAGTGAAGGAACATACGTACCCCTTCCAGCTCTGGGAAATGTTCCAAAAACTGTGCCACATAGGTCACAATGGACTGATCGTCGGGCGACTCAACCATGATGTCTGGGGAGACACACATATTGTCTCGTGATGAATCTAAATTTATTTCCTTTGACTTATTGATTTCATAAAAAAATTATATGACACTGGAGTGTAGAAAAAAAATTCAGAGTGGTTTACAAAGAAAGATAAAACAATGTAACGATCACAAGGCCCCACTGATCAGCCTGTAAATCCCAAATGCCTGCAGAAGACATTTAGGTATGAACAAGTTACCTTCTGGCTCCAGAAGTCTTGGAATACCTAGGTGGTTATGTGCTGTAGTGAATGCATCCTCTAAATTCTCCCGGGGTGATTTCTCCAAAGCTTGCTTCATATCTACCAAGCTCGAATCTATGGCTTTGATTACCGCCAAGAAAGCCAGGCCACTTCGCCAACTGCTGGTAAAGTCCTGAACGGCAACCCCATACCTGGAGGCGAGAGTACCAAGGAGAGAGGTGGTATGAAAATCCATACAGGGAGATGGGCATGTTCAGGACTCTCATAACACAGAAATTTATTCCAGTGCAAAGGCTTCCTAGCTTTAGGGAAATGCATCATACTCTAAGCATTCACAAGAGGGAGTTTTTGTACACCAGGTGCCTTTTCCTCCATCAGGGAGTGAGAGAGATCCAGCTGCTTAGCCCTGCTGCCCACCCTCAGAGGACCACAGTGGGAGCTTTTGCCTGGCAAATGGTAACTGTCAGCAAAGGAATGTAGGAAACCAACCAAAGCAGTCCATTGGTCCATCTAGCTCCATATAGTCTACACCAGGAGTAGGGAACCTCCAGCCAAATTTGGCCTGGCATGCGTCCCAGTTTGGCCGTGAGGTTGTCCCTGCCACCCACCCAAAACCACACTCACGTGCCCCACACGTGAGGTCACCTATACATGTGGAGCAGATAAAAGATGCATCTGGAGTAGGTGAGCTGAACCACAGAATTGATCCCTGTAGAAAGCAGGGCTGAAGTCACCTTGCATCAACAGGCGGGCAGCTGGATTGGCTTTCACAAGCAAGTTCCCTGCGGGGAGCTTGATCATGCAGCCAAGCCCTGTACTTAGTACTGACGAAGCCCCATGCACATCATTTTCCAAGCATCCAACAACCCGTTTACCACTGGGCATTTGGGAAGCGCAGCACGAGAAACTTTGACAGGTGGACAGGACAGCGCACCTGTCGGTCACCTGATGCCACTGATGATTTCACAGGTGGGTTGTCCCACTCACCTGTCAAAGTTGTCCCACAGTGGTGGGGATAGGGAGGGATCTGACCCACCAGGCCGAAAAGCTTCCCTACCCCTGGTCTATTGAGATCTATTGATATTGATGCTGCATTTTATGTTGTATTTTATGCTGCTTTTAAGTCATATTTTAATCAATGTTTTATATTTCCTGTTAGTCACCCTGAGCCCGGTTTTTAAACCGCGAAGGGCAGGGTATAAATAAAATTTTATCATCATCATCATCATCATTATCATTATTATTACATTAGCTGGGAGATGGCCTTGTGCCTCATGTCAGCTAATGAAAGGGCCAGCCATGAGGACATCTTTACACTTGGGATCACCCCAAGGCAACGTATGCTGCAAAGAAGAGTCGGAATAGGGTCTTATTACTGACACAAAACACAGAACTGTGAAACAGGAAGGACAGGGAAAACCCAGCTGCATAGCCCAAGATCTTCCTTGGCTGATACAGGCAAAATTACAGAGCCTGTTCTATTGCTTGCCCTCAAATCCACTTTGAATGCATCCAATCCATTTCATCACACAGATAACTAATGGAAATCTTCCATCTGATTGGCAGTGGGATTTCCGGCGACTTTTAAGGGGGGGAGGGAGAAAAGTTGGCTTACTTTCTTGTTTTCCTTTGGACCCAGTTCAAAAGGGTCTTGATTGCTTTTCGCTGATCCTTCACCGAGACAGACATGCTTCTCTCGACATTAGGCGTGTTGGGATGAGAGGTGTCTGAATCAGGGCCACTGGGTCCCGACGACAGGCTGGAAGACGAGGAGTTCCTATTGAGGTTGCCTGTGAGTTCTTTAATCTGTAGCGGGGGGTGGGGGGAAGGCAGCAGCCAGGGTCAGAAAAACAGAGCAGAGAATCCATCATTCTGTCATGCTGCCTTGAGGACAAGCAACCCTATTCATTTCTTCAGGCAAGCAGCCGCTTCCAAACTTCACAAACAGCCCTGTCATGCCAGCTAGCCCCGCGCGAAAGGCAGCGTTGACTTGGGGCCCGGTTTCATGCTATCTGAAAGAGCACTCGCCCCTCGGCGAGACACACGGCAAGACTCAAGCCAGCAGCCTCGGCCGCTGCATTCCAGACACAGGGAGTAAAAATGCATAGCAACTTCTAAATCAGGGATGTGGCTGGACTTTAGCTCCTGTCGGGGGGGGGGAGGTGGGAGTCCCACAGTATCAGGAGTGCCACAGGTTCCCACCCCCCAATTCCTGCTCTAAAGGCAAGGATCCTGCAATGGAATGAATATGGCCCACATGTCTTAAGGTCGTATTTCATGTCAATGTCCTGCTTGCACGATTCCCCTAAGCTCCTCTGGGTTGGTTACTGCAGTTAACAGGAGTGCTAAGATGGGCCTGGGATTTGATCCTGCAGGGCTCTTCTTATGTTCTGGTATAGCAACAAGAGCCACAAGAAGAAAGGTCACATCCGTACCGTGCGTTTTAAGCACTCTTATGCTATTTCAACAGTCAGGGGTTCCCTCAGAGAGTCCTGGGAACTGCAGTTTGCTAAAGCTGCAGAGAGTTGCCAGGAGACCGCTCACACAGCGAACGTTCACCAAAGCGACTGCTTTGAAAGGTGCTTGGAAGTCCTGACTTTGGGACTTCAAAGCACCTTGCTCACGGCATCACTATGATGTCATGGGTGCAGCCTTGCCCACCAGACAAATGCAGTCCATGAGGCTGACCCTGATAAGGATCTCGCCCCTGGAGCCAAAAATGTTCCTTGCTCCTTGTATAGACAAAATGGATTTTCCCATAAACTATGGAAGACACAGAATGCTAGAATGCAGAGGAGCAATTCTCTCAGTGGAGAGAGATCAAATGGTGAGAAGAAAACTACAACAGAGTTTTCGGGAACATATAGGCAGCTGGGGGATGGGGCAGACTGGGGTAAATGAACCATATAGTGCTGGAGAGAAGAGCGAATCCTTGCTTCTCAGTCATTTGATCTTGTGGTGCCAGAAGACCCCCCATCAGCAAAACCAATATTAGGAATTCCTTTGCATGAGATAACAGAAAAAATCCAGAATCATTTTGGGTGAATGCAGACGTCACATCCTGATCTCTTAAGGGCAGTTAAAGAGTTCAGTCATAGACATGCCTTATGCTGTCTTAATAGCTCAGTTGGTAAAGCTTAATCTCACAGTTGTGTGTTCAAGCCCCACATCAGGCAAAAGATTCCTGCATTTCAGGGGGTTGGACTAGATGATCCTAGTGGTTCCTTCCAACTCTACAATTCTATTCTTTAATAATAATATTATTTTATTATTTATACCCCGCCCATCTGGCTGGGCTTCCCCAGCCACTCTGGGCAGCTTCCAACAAAACACTAAAATACAGGTTATGTATGAGCACATAGGGCAGGAGTGGAGACCCTGTGGCCCTCCAGAGGTGGTTAGACTCCTCAGCCAGCATGGCTAGTGGGCAAGGATGATGGGAGATACGAGTCCAGCAACATCTAGAGCTTCTCCAATTTAAGGGGCAGAGTTGGGGGTAGGAAAGCTGTCCTGCTGGGTTTGCTGACTTGGGAGGATCTGCTTTCCTGTTTTTGAAAACTTGGCTCACCTTTAAAGAAACAGAGTCTGGGTCAATCTAGAGGCAGCTACAATGACACAGCTGGCAATAAGCATGATTGTCCTTTGTTTAGTAAATAGTAGCTGCCAGGGGGTCAGTTGAATTTGGATTGGGACCCTGGTGGCAGCAAAGGGTAAATTCCCACCTATCACCAGCTGCAGTCCTAATCTGGACACACACATACACACACAATAGCCCATGAGTGTCGTTGCTATTTAACTGAACAAAGAACAATCACACAAGCTACCAGCTGTGCGATTATCATCATGTCTACTTTGGCCCTTTGTTAAGCAATGTCGGAAATTTTTGGATGGGAATTGTGTGGCTAAGAGGGTGACATAAGAGATGCTCATGATGCCAATTGGATTTGGCCTTGTGGGGGAAGGGGGAATAAAAGATTTTAAGTGTTCAAACTGGATTTTGTTTAGTTGACTGACTACATCTGCTAGGATGTTTGGGGATGAGGAATTCCAGGTGCCCAAGCAAATATATCAATATCACCACCACTACCACCACCACCGTCATGTTTTCATCAGTTCCATTTGGGAGGATACTGGAATCCAGAATGTAAGAAGTGCCCTGCTGGATCAGACCAGAGGCCCATCCTGTCTTCTCAGTGGCCAACCAGATGCCTGTGGGAAGTCCACAAACATGACATGAGCACAACAGCACTCTCTCCACTTGCGATTCCTCTTCTTCTGACCCAAATCTGAAATTTGGATTCTTCACCTGAAACTCTCTAGGAGCTTTCAGATTCCCTAGAAGGGGATGGTAGGCTTTACACAGAGGAGAGGGCATTGCTAGGCCCTGAAAAGACTTGAGGCACAGGGCCATGATGCAAATGTGAATAACAATGACATACGTTAATTTGTAAGTAGAGGTGCAAAGTTAGACAGACTTTCAGAGGGAAGGGGAAGGTTGACCATCAAAGTAACCCTGAGCAGTGGAATGCCAAGATTTTCTAGGCCAAGTACTGTATGTGGATTGTGCCCTCTACCTAGCCTGATATTAAAACTGAAACAAGTGTCTCTGGGCAAATGAGGTCGGCAGATGAATAGGGCTTCACTAGTACTGTGCTTTTATACTGTACCTGTTTGCACCAACAATGCCCCTGTATGGAGATGTCATAGTTTTTCAAGGAAGCTCAGGACCATGTCAATGCTTTTCAAAGAATCATAGACTCTTATGAGTTGGAAGGGACACCAGAGGTCATCTAGTTCAACCCTCTGCAATGCAGGAATCTCAGCTAAAGCATCCATGACAGATGGATATCCAACCTCTGTTTAAAAACCTCCAATGTGTCTATTTTAAATGTTTTGGGCACTCGTTGTTTGATCTCTGGCCTTTTAAGCAGGAAAAAACTATTCCAGGAGTTTTCAGAAATCAATTTCACACTTTAAAAGCTTTAAAAATACTAGGAGGAACTTGGCACACTTTGATGGGCTCTCCCATAGGCCATCAAGGTCTAGTTTAGGAATTACAGTAACCAGTCTCCTGAAATGGCCCATAGATGTCAGTGTCCTTCCTTAAATTCTGAAGGCTCTCAAAAGGTGATAGCCAGATCCCAAGGCACAAGAAACAAGGTGCTTGCTTGTGGCCATTCTATAGAGCATGATAATCCAACAGTCCACACCTTCCCTGAGTAACAGGGAAGTGGTTCAATTTAATGGTGTAACGTTGGAAAATGTCGACCACTTTTCCTACCCGAGCAGTTATCTTTCCACAAGGGCCAACTTTGATGCCAAAATCCAGCATCACCTGAGTTCTGCAAGCTCAACTTTCTCCTGATTGAAGCAACAAGTGTTTGAGGACCAGGACGTTCACAGAGAAACCAAAATGCTCATTTACAAAGCCATTGTACTACCAACTTTACTGTATGTTTGCAAACCATGGACCACTTATAAACCCTATCTCCAACTCCTCGAAAGATTCTATCAACAATGTCTCTGGAAAAAATTACACATCTCTTGGGAAGACAGGCGAACAAATATCAGTGTACTAGAAGAAGCAAAGATCACCAGTGTTGAAGCAATGATTCTTCAACATCAACTTCGTTGGACTGGTCATGTTGTTTAGATACCTGATTACCATCTTCTAAAACAACTACTCTATTCCCAACTCAAGAATTGAAAGTGAAATACTGCTGAACAACAAAAGAGGTTTAAAGATGTTCTCAGGGCAAATCTCTTAAAATGTAGCATAAGCACTTATAACTGGGAAACACTGGCCTGCAAGCGCTCCAATTGGAGAACAGCCTTTACCATAGCAGCCATGGACTTTGAAGAAGCACAAACTCAGGGTGAAAAGGAAAAACAAGCGAAGAGGAAGGCACGCTTGGCAAACCCTCACCGTGATCAACTCCCACCTGGAAACCTATGTCCCCACTGTGGAAAGACATGTGGATCCAGAATTGGCCACCACTTACAGACTCACGGTTAAGACTGTTTTCATGGAAGACAATCTTACTCGGCTACGAGTGCTCGCCAAAGAAGCAGCAGCAATACAGTAAAAGAACAAGAAGTGGAATGATTTTGTGAAAGGGTATAGAATTGCATCCAATGATGATTTTGAAAGCCCTATTTCACTGCACAAATTAGACTGCCCAGTTTTTTTCAGATTATCCTTGCGTACTACCCTCAGGAACAGCGTTAGAAGAGGACAGTGAGAATCAAGTGGCTTGGGGAAAATGGGGTGCCATGCCTGGCACAACTGGGGCGTTTTCTACTAAAGAGCCACCTACAACCCAATCTACAAACGTCTCCTGAAGATAATAACAAGGAATTCAGCATGGTGCTAAAAGCCAGAGATCAGGGTTACCTCCTAATAAATTTTTGTAATATTATTATACAACGACAAATGCCATTATAGCCTAATAATCAGCCTCCTTTGGGGATTAAAATTATTTAATCCTGAAATCAGGGTTGTTATCATTATTAGGGTGACATATTCACACAGGATTTCATTTTTCGCAACTTCCCCACAAAGCAGTCAAAAAGACAGCTGTCTGCTATGAATCACTCCATGCATTTCCCTTTTTGTTTTTTGTTATTTGCTTCTGGAATTGAATCACATTATTAGTCAGGTGCTCCTTGAATTTGACAGCTAGCATGTAAGTGACTTTGAAAAATCCCAGCATTGTTCATAATCTACAGGGGTTCTGGCTTTAACCAATTTTACTGTCTGCCCCCCGCTCACTCCCTACACTAATCAGTAGTAAGAGAAAATATCATCATGTTTGGATATGAGCCTAGAGCACAATCCTAACCTCCCAAGTAGTAGTGCTGGGGAGGGTGGCTTGAATTCAGTGAAGTAGCCCTCTGCCTAGGGACGCGGAAGGCGCTGTGGGTTAAACCACAGAGCCTAGGACTTGCCGATCAGAAGGTTGGCGGTTCGAATCCCCGCAATGGGGTGAGCTCTGTTGCTCGGTCCCAGCTCCTGCCAACCTAGCAGTTCGAAAGCACGTCAAAGTGCAAGTAGATAAATAGGTACCACTCTGGCGGGAAGGTAAACGGCGTTTCCGTGCGCTGCTCTGGTTCGCCAGAAGCAGCTTAGTCATGCTGGCCACATGACCCGGCTGTACGCTGGCTCCCTCGGCCAATAAAGCGAGATGAGCGCCGCAACCCCAGAGTCGGTCATGACTGGGCCTAATGGTCAGGGGTCCCTTTACCTTTTACTAGCCCTCTGCCTGGCTCTGCCAACAGGGGGCAGCATCACAGCAGAGTAGGGCTAGGCAATATATCGATTTATTGTCCCAAATCGATTTGAAGTCCACATTGTCGTATCGGATTCATAACTATTGACCTGACAATATATCGCCAATTGTGTGTGTGTGTGTGTGTGTGTGAGAGAGAGAGAGAGAGAGAGAGAGAGAGAGATGCAAAAATCACAATGTGGGGAAAACTATGAAGCCAGCCAGTGCTTCTATTGATCCTGGTAGTGCCTGTTAACTCTGCTGACAAAGCTCTCCCCTGCCTGAGGCAGGGGGCAGCGAATCACAAGATCAGGTGCTGGCAGAAATCATGGTGAGGGGAAAACCGTGCCCCTAGATAGCTCCATCCTTATTTCAGACATTGTGATATATCAGTATATCGCAATGTTTAGCTGGTGATATATCACAATGCTGAAAACCTGATTATCACCCAACCCTACTGCAAAGGATCTTGCAGAGGGCGGGCAAGATATGGTAGCCAACAAGGGGACCCTGAAATGAGACATGTCAGGCTTAGGGTGAGAGCAGAACTGTGCTGGCTATGGATCTATTGGATCCTAAGCTAAGCGCTTCCTGGAGAGGAGCCTAATTTGGGTGTAAAGCTGGTGTAGAGGGGGAAAAGTGTGTGTGTGTGTGTGTGTGTGTGTGTGTAATGGCTGCAGACTCAATGAAGGACCCTCCATATTGCACCTCCCTCAAAATTTGCCCAGGGAAGGAGAGGTGGGTGTGGGTGGGTAGGTAGAGGGGTAATACACTAGCCCATTGTCTGCTCTTATCCATGATTAAAGAGATTGAACTAGGTTACATCTGCACCAGACTTTTGAGAATGGTCAAGTTCACTGGCTGCATTCAATTCTTGGCATTTCAAGGCTCCCAGATCGTTGAAATCCGTATCAGATTCCATCTTAGTACATGAAAGTAGTGCAAGTAATGCATATTAAAGGGCTTTAAAGCCTCGTTTCAGGACTCAGGTCTTAAGACCCATGTTGCTAAAAATGCACAAAGCAGCATTCAAGTGTTTTCAGCACAAAAATAGAAAACAAGATCTTCTGATCTGGGTTCTGGCCAGCAGCCACGTGCACACAAGGCAGGCTGGACTCAAGTACTTTGAGGCAGAAATCCATTTGCAAGGGCAATGAAGTGGACTGAGGGGTTTGCAAGGTGGGGGGAGGAAAGTGTAGTGACGCCCAGGTGTCTCATCTATTTCGGTTTATCCAGGTTTGTTCATACATTTACGGAGTCTTTAATGCAAGAAAAATGAAGACCCGACACAAAACGAGGTACATGGGAGAAACAAATCTGTTTCATCCCTAGCCTTTAGACATAACAAATCTGTATTCTGATGAAAGGTTTAATGGAAAAGCCAACATGTAACAACATTACCATTTGCTCCTTACCTGAAAAAACAGGATTATGTTCCATATCAGGCCCAGGACCATGGAAGAGTTTCCATCTGCTATTTCAGCTGCATCAATGCTAACCAGCTTCACCTACAGAAAAGGGGGTTGCAGGTTTTAAAAGACGTTTAAAAACAGGTAGACAAATGCACTCAAGTGCAGTTTTAATTACAGAATGCGCATGTGTCACATCTAAAGGCCAGGGAACAGGGAGTTGCATTTTGCACTCATACTGGGTGAGGTTTTGGCTTGCAATGTATAAAGCTGGATTGCTTGCTTCTATGTATATCTAGTTCATGCAATATGGTTGCAAGATAGCGGCTCACTGAAGGGAGGACTGTTTTCTTTATGGGGGGAGAGGGAGAGAGAGAGAGAGAGAGAGAGAGAGAGAGAGAGAAAGGAAGGAAGGAAGGAAGGAAGGAAGGAAGGAAGGAAGGAAGGAAGAGTGAAGCCACATGGCTGCTATGCACTCATGTAACTAGTTTGACCCTCAGTTGCATTATTCTTAATGCCCTTGTGATGAAGTATTTACTTGATTATATTATGCATATTTGCAGCTACATAATCTGCTGTCATTGTTCTGCTGGTCAGATTTATCAGGTCCATCTTGGCAGACAGCCTGCTGACGTGCAGCATGTGTGATTCGGGGAGGGGCAGGCATGGGTAGGCAAACTAAGGCCCAGGGGCCAGATCCAGTCCAATCGCCTTCTAAATCTGGCCCATGGACGGTCCGGGAATCAGCGCGTTTTTACATGAGTAGAATGTGTGCTTTTATTTAAAATGCATCTCTGGGTTATTTGTGGGGCATAGGAATTCGTTCATTTCCCCCCAAAAAATATAGTCCGGCTCCCCACAAGGTCTGAGGAACAGTGGACCGGCCCCCTGCTCAAAAAGTTTGCTGACCCTTCCTCTAAGGTGCCATCTGAGCTTCTGGGGTGATAGGAAAGCGGAACAGAATGCCACTCTAATACTAACTGGGCAGAGAAACACCTCTCCACTATCTTGGGAGGCTCAGCTATCATTACAGATGCCTTCTCCATTTTTAAATGCTTGTTGAGCACGATCTGGGGAAGGGCCGTAGATCTGTGGCAGAACATCTGCTTTGCATTCAGAAGGTCGCAGGTTCAATCCCTGGCATCTTCAGGTAGGGCTGGAAGAGAACCCTGCCTGTAACCCTTGAAGCACTGCTGTCGGTCAGTGCAGACAATATTGAGCTAGATGGACCAGTGGTCTCTGTATAAAGGCAGCTTCCTACATTCCTATCAAGTTACCAAGGATTCTGGGTTTGAAGCCATGGCAGGACCCAGAGTTCCCACAGAGAGGTTTAATCCATATGACAAGGACCAGCTTATGTTTCTCCTTCAAACGACACACTCTCTTCTCTTGCTCATTCATTGCAAGCAGGATGGCAGAGCAGAAAAGAGAGAAATCCCCAGGCTGCCCATGATAGTGTTAAACCCTTGCGTTGCAATACAGGGCCTCACACCTTTCTGAAACGCAGACAGTAAGAATATTGAGCCTCTCCCCACCTGTCACAATTCCTCTCAAGTTCTGCATTAACTACACACCATGGCTGTCCCTTCCCACCTCTTTCATGGTGGTTTAATATTTAAACTGCTGGCTCTCCATTGCCAAGGGAATGGTAACAACATTTCCCTGCCCTGACTTTTCAAATTTGGTTAAACTGCCTTGCGATCAAGAGGGAAACCTTTTAACCCGTGGCTCAACTGCAACAATGGTTCAGTCCCGGTAAGATGTCACCAACGTCATATCATTCCTCAGAGGGAAGGCCACAAAGGCAGCGCATGGGCTGGAGCAGGATTAAGCAACATGGCGCCTTCACATGTTCCGGCCTACAAATCTCGCCAGTTGCAGTCAACATGGCCAATGGTGAGAGATGACGAGAGTCAGCAACCTGGGGAGGGCACCATGTTTGATGCGCATGGATAAATTTTAGGCTGGAGGGTTTTTTTGGGGGGGGGAGTTGTTGTTTGCGTGTCCAGGCACAGTCCCACCCCCCTCTGAGAGCCAGACCTCAGACCAAGGAAAACACATGACAACATATTTTGGGATTAAAACGGCCACAACTTTATTGAATTTCAAATGTAGGAAACCTTGGCTTAGGCATTGGGCGTATATCCCTCTCAGCCCCCAGCTGGGGGTCTGAGGCAAGACAGGGTCAATCGGGAATATGGGGGACACTGCAAAACGTGTGTTTACACAGCTGGCCCCCTCCCTGCACTGCTGAGGGAAGCTCTATGGCCCACTGCTGAGCGCTTGTGGTCAGAGACTCCCCTCAGGACCCCTCTAAGAGGGAACCCTGATATCGCCGCCGCAGAAAGGGGTGAGTCACCGCAACATCCCTTCCTCTATTGTTGGACTAAAGGATTCTGCCCAAGGCCTTGAAATTGCCACCTCGCCGCCAAGACCATGAAATTGCCACCTCGCCGCCAAGACTACCTACAGCTGAAAGCCATACCTCATGTCCTCATTCCTCAAGGCCCTGCTTCACATCCCACAACCAGTGTTCATTTCCCAATGGTGCACGTCGTCAGCTCTAAACAATTCCAGCTTGTACATTTTAATGTCCGGATGTTTAATCACTCGGCCCCCAATACACAGAGTCACATTGAAAATAGCCCTGTTCATTTTAACTTGTGCGCTGGGCCGCAAACCTCGCCCACCGCCAGACCCGGTGAGCGGTTATTTAAGCACATCTCTATCCCACTGTAGCACTTACAGTTTGCAAAGTACTAAGTAAAGGTAAAGGGGCCCCTGACCATTAGGTCCAGTTGTGACCGACTCTGGGATTGCGGCGCTCATCTCGCTTTATTGGCCGAGGGAGCTGGCGTACAGCTTCCAGGTCATGTGGCCAGCATGACTAAGCTGCTTCTGTCGAACCAGAGCAGCGCACGGAAATGCCATTTACCTTTCTGTCTTACTTGCACTTTGACGTGCTTTCGAACTGCTAGGTTGGCAGGAGCAGGGACCGAGCAACGGGAGCTCACCCCGTTGCGGGGATTCGAACCGCCAACCTTCTGATCGGCAAGTCCTAGGCTCTGTGGTTTAACCCACAGCGCCACCCGCGTCCCTTTTTTTGCAAAGTATATAACCACCCATATCTTTGTTTGGTTCTTGCTGCAACATCCACAAGAGGTGGATCACTCTTATTCCCCCCCCCCCAACTTCCCAGCCCCATTCCCATGGTGTTTCTGTTTCTTTCCTTCTGCTGCACTGTCTTTTATCTCTTAAACCTTAACAAGAATACCATAACCTCTAATCCCTTCTGTTGCTCATAGTTCCAATCGTGCTCATGTGTTCATCATATAATAATATTTCTTTAAATTAATCTGAAAGGGTTAGACCTTCATTGTTAGACCAAGCCTGACTTTTCTTATCTACTGCCCAAGGTGGGTCCTGTGTTGGAATTTAAAATAGCCTATAAATGGGAAGCTGGTTAGATTTTGCCAGTGCTGGACTTCTCCTGAGTCACACAGCTGTTGCAAGTCCTTGGATTCGAGACCTGGTGGCCCTGGTTTCACCACCATACGTGAATAACTCTTCTACATCCTTTCCAACTAAGCATGACTTACAAGAATGAGATTGTGAAGACCCTTGGAAGGGGCTGGACACAAGAGACCAAATCAGTCCATCTGGCCTCTGAAAAGTTCAGTGTGTGCCTAAAGGAGTGTTTCACCTTACATAAGCTTTTAAAGCAAGGCAAGGCACCTTACTATGACATACCAAGGCCCCTGGCAACAGGGCTAGCATGAGCGTGTGAAGTGTGATGTCAGCAGCACATGCAGAATCCAGTGATAAGGGAGCAAAGCAACAACGGCCTAACAGAGACGCTGCTGTGAGGCTGGGTGGTGATTTATAGGGCCACAGCTAAGCGACAGAGCATCTGTTTTGTGGCTCCAATCCCCGACACATTCTGCTTGTCAGTGTAGACCAGGGACAGCCAAGGTGTCTTCCAGAGCTTGTTGAATCACAACTCTCATCATCTCTGGCCATCTGGCTGGGGATGATGGGAGCTGTAGTCCAAAAACATACGGAAAGCACTACGTTGGCTATCACAACGCTGAGCTAGCTGGGCCAACTGCCAGACTTGGTATAGGCAGTGGTGGTGTTTAACTGCTCGAGGTGAAACAGGAAGAGCCACCATGTCACTCCTGCCACCACCACCACCACCAGCACTGATTTCAGATGGGAGCATGCTGATTTCAGACGAGATCTCACCCAAATTGGCACCGATGGCAGAGGTGCTTATTTGCTGATTCGGTTCTCATGGCTGCCAATACCTGACTTGCTTTACATTGCTGCCCATCGCCCAGCCTTGAGAGGGAACTGTATCCATCTCCTCACCTTCACATAAGACTCCAAAATGGGTGTGAGTCATGCTTAGGGGAAAGGCCACAGCTCAGTGGTAGGGTACATGCTTTCATGCAGAAGGTTGTAGGTTCAATCCTTGGCTTCTCCAGTTGGTGCTGGGAGATAACCTAATCCTGGGCAGCCTCTGGCAATGCTGAGTGAGATGGACCAATCTTCTGATTTAGTATAAGGCCGCTTTCTACATCCCTCCTTCTGCACTTGATGCAAAGGCAGCTTGCACAGCATCACTAGAGTGGGGTGGCATCCCCCCCCCACATAGTTACACAATGTTCAACCCCAGACCTTGCAGAATTCTAGAGTAACAGTTTCCATCTTTCTTTGCACAAAGCTCAAATGATCTCTTGCTATAAATTGGGCAGAGAAATATAGAACTTGTGATGCTGAAAGCATTTTTTTTTGGGGGGGGGGAGGGAAAGTCAGATGACTCAAATCACCAACCTTCAGAGCAACTTGAGCCCAGCTGCTTAAAGGTTCCCGAACACAGGCATTTCTTTTATTTTCTTTTAATACTGGCCTCTTGATCCTTTAATCCAGTTGAACATTACGACATTAAAATAATAATTTGCGTTGAGAGGAACCCCTCCTTCTGCATACTGTATGCAGCCTTTCAGACACAACTTTAAACAAAACATAATTCCTTCAGCTTACACATTCCTCATTTTGGAGAGAGAGATATTGTACTGGGAGAAGTGAAAAACAATTCAACAGCTTTCGAATTACTTACATTGCTGTCCTCCAAAAACTTAAGGGCCTTTGCGATATTGTTCAGTCGAAAAATACGATGGGTTGAGGGCTTGTATTCATGTAGCTAAAGAAAAGAGGGAAGTAAGCCAGTTAGTGCTTTTTAAAATGCATTATTGAAGGGGGAAAGGCTGTGGCATCTGCTTTGCATGCAGAAGGTCCCAGGTTCAAACCTACTGCCTGAAACCCTGGAAAGACATTGCCAGACAGCGCAGACTCTACTGAGCTAATTCTGAGCACATCTACCAGGAAGTAAACACCAGTAAGACAAGCTGGAACGTTTGCAGAGGAGAGTGACTGAGGTGATCAAGGGTCTGGAAACCAAGCCTTATGAGGAACGCTTGCAGAGGTTGGGTATGTTTAGCCTGGAAACCTGGGAGGATATATGATAGCCATCTTGTCACATGGAAGATGGAGCAAGCTTGTTTTCTCCTGCTCTGGCGTGTAGGACTTGAACCAATGGCTTCAAGTTACAAGAAAGAAGATTCTGACTCAACTTCAGGAAGAACCTTCCGACAGCAACAGCTTGTTCAACAGTGGAACAGACTCCCTCAGAAGATGATGGTGACTTTCTTTCTTTGGAGGTTTTTAAGCAGAGGTTGTCTGGCCACCTGTCATGAATGCTTCAGTTGAGATTCTTGCATTGCAGGGGGTTGGACTAGATGACCCTCAGGGTCCCTTCCATCTCTGCAATTCTATGAGTCTATGACTGCAGTTATAATATAATTGCCAATACTGGCTGCGTCCATGTACTTTCTATGAACCACATACAACTAGGATATACAGACCAGCTGCAGCTGCCCACCTCAAGATATATTTCTGATGTGGTCCTTGGGTGTTGAAAAGGCTCAATTTTATCACAAATGCTGGGAAAGCAGTAACTGTGAGTGTTTAGCTCTGCCTGGACCTCAGACTGGAGGTATCTTCAGAGGATGAGCAGAGGAACTTGACTCACCCACCACCTGCAAACCTCACACTGTCATTGGCCATGAAGAGCCATTGGATCCAAACCCCATTCCTTCCACAGGACTGGCGTCCCCCTGCACCAACTGCCTGGGCTAGGTCAATGACCCACCATTTCTGCCCTAGCCCCATAGGAGCAGGACAGCCCAGCTGGAGCAACCACCAAAGAGGCCAGCTAGCTGAACACAAGGCCACACAGATGGAAGGGGAAGCCACATGGGACACTTGTCCAGATCAGGGCCTGGCTGAGAGCCAGAAAGGGGTGGAGCCACCAGTGCCTACGTAAAGCGTCCGATCTGAGCCACTTCATGGCTGAAGAAACAGCTCTCTTACAAAATCCAGCCCTCCTGACCTGGTAAAAACAGGCAACATCATGTCAGACAGAGGCTGTTAACGAAGGTTTACACCTACCAGATTTTGCCCAGAGAGAACTTCCAGCAGAGCCATCAAAATTTTGCCATCTTTAACATCAACCAACAAATCTTTCACTTCCAGAGGGGGGCTGCACTGTGAAGAAAGAAAGGGGTACAGGATTGAGAAAGGTGACCTTTGGCTCTGTCACAGGGCAAGCGAAACAGTAAACCACACAGTTCAAAATTGGGAGTCAACTCGTTATTTGCAAACACTGTCTTCATAGACTTAGCGGAGTGTCAGACCTAAAGAGCACAGAAGCTCATTCCCTGTAGGTCTTACTCCACGAAATCAGTTGCCGAGACTGAAGGTCCCTGCTTCCTCACAGTTGTCTATGTCTCCACCTTTTCAGGACAAGCAATCAGTGACTATGCCTGCATGCCTGTTTTTGCTCCTCCCGTTTCATGCTTCTTCTAGTTCTGGGCATCATGGGGAAAGTGGAGACACCCGTGACTCTTCACCGGCATGACTCATCTCTGCCACTTCACCTCTCTCCTTTCACTAGCCGGAAGAAGTTTCTGATTCTGAACTTCTCTCTGCCACAAACTCTCCCTGTTCACTAAGCCCTGTCACCTCTTCAGCTTCCAACACCTCCTCCTCCCAGTCTTCTCCCTCTGACCACTAATCATCATTCCACCACCAATCCCCTGGCTCTGAGTCTTCTTCCTTTGGGGGTTTCCCAGCTGGTTCCTCCCACCACTTCTCTGTGTCCAACGAGTCCATGATAGGCACTCAGTTGGAAAGGACCTCAATGGTCATCCAGACCACCTGCAAACGTATCATCAGATAATAAATATTTAAGGAATAATATAAACCCCTATCCTTTCTCATCCACTTTTCAATAACTGCAATTTTTAAAAATGATTGTTGGTTTGTTATTGCTGTTGTTATTTATACAACCTTCATCCTAAGGTCCCAGGGCAGGTTACAACAATTAAAACATTATATTCAAAACAGTTTTAAACAACTTAACATCACAGAGATAAGGTGGGTCCCAAAAATACACATCCAAAATGCCAAAAGCCAAGATAGAAAGGTGTGTCTATAATATCTGAATGGGCTAATTTGTTCAGCAGGCTTACCTTTTCCAAATGTAGATTTATCCAACGGGTAAAAGTCCTTTTCTGCACATTTTCCCTTTCCACTAGAAAGGAAAGATATAAAGAAACTCAGGTTTATTAAAAAGGGAAAGCGCCTATTTAACAAAGTGAATCTGCTTAGGAGAAGCAAGGTTTGGCTTCCAGTGCAACTGTGGACTTATATGTCATGCAATAACATTAAGGACACTTGCCGAAAGAACACCAGAGGATGCTCCCAGCATCATTGAGCCACATTTGATTCACATGTCTCTCGCTGCTTGCCCCTTTTCTATTGCAGAACTCCCAATACGAACCATTTCAATCTGCATAGCTCACAGAGGCTCCATAAATGTAATACCATTTCCAAAAACCCAATTAAACATGTTCTTTTTGCACCTATCCTTGTGAAAAGCAGCAGTCAAAAAGGAAGAAAGAAAAATCTGTCCAAGTCTTAAGATGTCTGCTCACATACATATGGTTTACTGAATCTGTGTTGGCTTTTTCTGGGCATCCAGAGAGCAGTAACAGGATTATAAATCTCATAATTACATACAACACATGGCTAGGCCTGTTCACCAATCCACGGCACCATGCCAGAAAGAAGTCATGTTTGCTAGAACTCAGTAATATAAACAGTAAAAAGAGTGAGAGAACAGTCTGGTTTCAGTTTTAACCTTCCAAGAGTTCCAGGCTCAATAAAGACAACAGGAACTCAAGAGGAGAAATGATCACCAGGCAGCTGACTTCGAAACTAGACTTAACTCTTACTCTCAACTCAAGTTTGAAGCAGCACACCGAGACCAGTCCTTGCTCGTTCTCCCTGTGCACTCGGGACTCCAGAACCCCTTCAGCATTTGTGTGTAAAGACGTGACAATGGCTCATTGGCATTCTAGAGCCCCGGCGCACCCAGGTCATGTTCCCATGGTATGCCTCTGCAAGATGATGCAAACTGAGTCAGCAGCAAAAGTTAACTCAGTCTGAGATTCATAGAGTTGGAAGGGACCCTGAGGTCCCCCTTGCAATGAAGGAATATGCAGCTGTCCCATATGAAGATCGAACCTGCAACCACGGAGTTATCAGCGCCAGGCTCTAACCCACTGAGCTTTGCATGCAGGTGCTGCAACTCAGATTAACTACCGTATTTTTCGCACGATTGGACGCACCGGACCATAGGACGCACCTAGTTTTTTGGGGGGGAAATAAAGGAAAAAATTTTTCCCTTTATTTTCCCCCCAAAAGCAGGTCAGGGAAACCGAACCAGGTCGAGGAACAGCGGGATAGTGGCGCTGCGCCTCCCTGCTGTCCCCCGAGCTTGTGGGGCTGGCTGATGTCTGCCTGGCGCGCGGGGCGCTCTGCTTCAGGGCGCCCCACCCACCAGGCAGCAGGCTGCTATCCGCAGTGTGGGGAGCCCTGTGGGGAACTCCTGCAAGGCTCCCCACTCTGCGGATGTCTGCCTGGCGCGAGGGGCGCTCTGCTTCAGGGCGCCCCACCCGCCAGGCAGCAGGCTGCTATCCGCAGCGTGGGGAGCCCTGTGGGGAACTCCTGCAAGCCTCCCCTCGCTGCGATGTGTTCCCGAAGCGCCTGGAGCTCTGCTTTCAGGGCGCCCGACGCTCCGGGAAGCAGGCTGCTATGGCTAGCAGAGCGCTAATCCCGAACCTTGGGGCGTGCGGAGCTCAGCGCGCCCCAAGCTTCTGGGCGCCGGCAAGGTCTCCGCTAGCCTAGCGGAGACCTTGCCGGCACCCAGAAGCTTGGGGCGCGCTGAGCTCGCACGCCCCAAGCTTCGGGATTAGCGCAGCGCTTCGCTAGCCCTGGGAGAGCCGTGCGATGTCGCGGGGCTCTCCCAGGGCTAGCGAGACCTTGCCGGCACCCAGAAGCTTGGTGCGCGCTGAGCTCTGCACGCCCCAAGCTTCGGGATTAGCGCAGCGCTTCGCTAGCCCTGGGAGAGCCGTGCGACGTCGGGGGCTCTCCCAGGGCTAGCGAGACCTTGCCGGCACCCAGAAGCTTGGGGCGCGCTGTGCTCCGCACGCCCCAAGCTTCGGGATTAGCGCAGTGGTCCGCTAGCCCTGGGAGAGCCGCGCGACGTCGCGGGGCTCTCCCAGGGCTAGCGGAGACCTTGCCGGCACCCAGAAGCTTGGGGCGCGCTGAGCTCCGCACGCCCCAAGCTTCGGGATTAGCGCAGTGCTTCGCTAGCCCTGGGAGAGCCGCGCGACGTCGCGGGGCTCTCCCAGGGCTAGCGAGACCTTGCCGGCACCCAGAAGCTTGGGGCGCGCTGAGCTCCGCATGCCCCAAGCTTCGGGATTAGCGCAGTGGTCCGCTAGCCCTGGGATAGCCGCGCGACGTCGCGGGGCTCTCCCAGGGCTAGCGGAGACCCTGCTTGCACCCAGAAGCTTGGGGCGCGCTGCGCTCCGCACGCCCCAAGCTTTGGGATTAATGCTGCGCTCCGCTAGCGGTGGGAGAGCTGGGTCTCCCACGGCTAGCGGATAGCTTCCTGAAGCCTGGAGAGCGAGAGGGGTCGGTGCGCACCGACCCCTCTCACTCTCCAGGCTTCAGCGAAAGCCTGCATTCGCTCCATAGGACGCACACACATTTTCCCTTGCTTTTTAGGAGGGAAAAAGTGCGTCCTATGGTGCGAAAAATACGGTAGTTAACAAAAATCAGAGCAGGGTAGCAAGGAAATGAACAGTACGGGACAGGAAAGGGTTGTGTTGGGGCTACCCTTGAGGTTGGTCTGGAGGCTGCAGTCAGTGCAAAACACAGTACCTAGATTGCTTGTGGGAGCAAACTACTGCCAGCATATAATACCTGTTATATGTTATTTAAAAAATCCTTCCTACACACACAAACACCCTAGATCACTGGATCAGTTTTGAATGAAGTACGATTGCATCTTGTGTGCAATTAATTCGTGCTCTCTGTTCCTGTTTTTGAAAATGCAAATAAAAATAAAACAACAACAACAACTTGTGCAATTTCAACCTTATGCTCTTGAAAGCCGGCCAGTTGAATTTATGGACATGCATGAACAACATAGAACAAGGGAACCGGGTAGGGGTGGAGGGAAGTAATTCTAGTAATCCCAGGGTTTGGATTCAATGTGGATTGTCTATAGAGTTGTTTTAAGGTTTTGATGTATGGTTTTTCTTTTTCATGTGATGTTTAGTTGTTGTAAAATTAATAAAAATATTATTTCTTTTTTTAAAAAAGAAAGCCGGCCAGCTGAAATCCCGCAAATTAATTGCATGCAAAGCAGAAAGCTTAAGAGCTCCTTTTGCACCAGGTTTTTCTGGTGCAGAAAGAGCTTTTAAGCTATCTGCCTTGCTTACCAGGCGCTGGGACACTCTCACAAGATCTTCAGGGATCGTGAGCTCTTGCAAAAGCATTCTGGAGCCCAGGAAGCAAGGCTTAAAAGCTCCCCATCTTGCTTAGAAGGCAAGGATGGTATGTGTGGAAAGAGAAGCAGCAAGGCGGCAAATGAATAGCAAGGCGGCAAATGAATTTTACAAGCAATGTGGACAAGATGACTAAAGCATGCAAAACCAGGCTCTGGCACATTGAGTGGACAAGACCAATTGTGGGTGCAACGGTCTAGAAGGCGGTTTCTGCACATGCTGTAGAGGGAAGTGAGGGGCAGATGGGGCTCATCAACCTGGGAAGGTAGCCCATCTAGGAGAAGGAAAAACTCTGATCCTAAACCTCTGCTGCCTTGCAGGATATCTTTGGGAGAAGAAAAGGCTAATGAGTAAACACTACAGAAATTTGGAGTCCCTAAGACTAAGATCATGGCCACTGGGCCCATCACCTCCTGGCAAATAGAAGGAGAAGAAATGGAGGCAGTGAGAGATTTTACTTTCTTGGGCTCCATGATCACTGCAGATGATGACAGCAGCCACAAAATTAAAAGACGCCTGCTTCTTGGGAGAAAAGCAATGACAAACCTAGACAGCATCTTAAAAAACAGAGACATCACCTTGCCAACAAAGGTCTGTATAGTTAAAGCTATGGTTTTCCCAGTAGTGATGTATGGAAGTGAGAGCTGGACCATAAAGAAGGCTGATCGTCAAAGAACTGATGCTTTGAATTATGGTGCTGGAGGAGACTCTTGAGAGTCCCATGGACTGCAAGAAGATCAAACCTATCCATTCTTAAGGAAACCAGCCCTGAGTGCTCACTGGAAGGACAGATCCTGAAGCTGAGGCTCCAATACTTTGACCACCTCATGAGAAGAGAAGACTCCCTGGAAAAGACCCTGATGCTGGGAAAGATGGAGGGCACAAGGAGAAGGGGACGACAGAGGACGAGATGGTTGGACAGTGTTCTCAAAGCTACCAACATGAGTTTGACCAAGCTACGGGAGGCGGTGGAAGACAGGAGTGCCTGGTGTGCACTAGTCCATGGGGTCACAAAGAGTCGGACACGACTAAACAACAAGACAGTTGAATAGCACCTTGTATGCCTCTTTCCGGCAACTCCTTCAGCCAAGCTGGTGCCAAACATATTGCTCTGCTTTCTTTTGGACCACATCAGCGAGACGGAGGGGGGGTGTCTTGTTGTGTGGGCAGCCCAGGACCCCCATACACACTGCCCAGACTTGCGCCCCAGGGAGGTCACTTTGGTGCTGCTAACACAGCCATTACGACTTCACCCCCAGAGGCCACTCCATTGTCTCTCAACAATGTGCATCCAACTATCAAACTGCAATAGTAGGAGGAAGGCTAGGCAGGGGGAGGGCTGGAGGGACTGGGAGTCCCTTTTATATTACAGTTGTTTCTGCCCTTCAACATCTTTTAAAATACATACTTTTCACAACCAACACGAAATTAACAATGGCTCAGTTCATTTGAGGCTCTTCTCAAGGTTGTGATGTGATTAGAGCATACTAAATTCAGGCAGTGCAATCCAAATCCTTGGAGATAGTGGAAAGACCATGAAAGCAAACAGAATTAGAGAAGACAGAGTATTAATAGTTCTGAAAAAGGCTGGGCAATGGTTACTGGCTTTATGGGAACATTACTGAGGCTAAACAGAACCATCTCTGGCTCAAGTCAGAACTTCTGGAGCTCACCA